CTTGACTCAGGAACCACTGTTCAACTGAGGGGGCGCAAGTCGCGTGGTTGCACACCGGGCACGAAGGACCATCGCTCTCTTTGCAGGAGGTGTATGTCATGGAGTCTGGGTCCACGACGGCGACGTGCGGCCATATTTCCACCGACCTGGAGAGGTGAACGAGAACCGCGGTGACAGCGATATCACGTGGCTAAACCGTGCAATTCAGCCAATTGATGTCCGGACGATGGCATGTAAGCCACGGCATCCCAAATATACAGTCGAATGATCAACTAAGGTCAATTACCAGGAATTCATCACTGCTCACAAAGCCGTCAAATTGATACGGCACAACTACGGAACTCTGTTGCAGCGTGCGTGGCTTGCCGTCAGTATACTTGACGGTCATCTCTACCAATTGCTCGCGGACACACAGCCGCGAGAATCTTCAAACTTTCGGCGTGAATAAAGTTATTCGTTGCGCCTGAATCCAGCAAAGTACGAAGGGGTCGACTGGAGTCGTCGACATACACATTGAGTACATCAGTCGCTTGTTATTGCTGGATGTGGTGGTATTAAGCCGTGCATGGAGCGCAGCGGGGCTATAAGAAGGAGTCACCACCGGAAGTACGTTTCTTCCAATATGCCCAGTAGGACGCCCCGCGCCTACTGGACGCCGCCGTTTTTTTTCAATGCGCAAGCGGATCGACATGTTTGTCGGATTCGACAGCGGCGAGAACGGGGTATGGTGCACGGCATACCGCCGCGCGATGACCCGGTTTGCGACAACGGAAACACACCAAGGGACGTTCCAAACAAACACTACTACTACGCGGAGGCATTGGGCATCAAGCCCTAGATGCTTCTACTGCGTCGAATTCCATTGGCTCAGAAGTCGATGCACGGGCTTCTGTCATCAAGGTTTTGGCGTATGAAGAAGCCACGACATAGTCTTCACAAAGCGCGAGAGCGAAAGCCTCTGTAAAAGAAGAGGGTCGGCACGCGTAAGGCAGTATCTCGCCATGCCTTCGCGTATGCCTGAGACGAATAAGTGAACTTAAGACGCCATGTCAACCGGCTTCGTGACGATGCACGAAGCCAGATGCCGTGTTTGCTGAACGTAGTCGCGCATGGAAAGCTTGCTTGGCTAAGGTCAAAGAATTCGTTACGTAGGCGTAACTCGTCTTGTGGTGGCTCAAAAGCCAGTCGTAGGTCACTCTGGAGCGCTTCCAGAGTGGGGAAGGCGTACTGATCGACTACCAGCTTTCCCAAAGCTCAATCTTCGCCTTACCAGTCAGGCGTGAGAGGAGGAAGTTAACTTTTGATGACATCGCTTCGATGAGTCTCGAGCGATAGCGATATCGATCTTTCTAAACCAACGATTGAGTGGGAGACGATCTGTACACGCACCCGAGTATAGGGACATCTCCAAATTGACTGCTTCAATTCTTGGAGAACGCGAGGTAGTTTGTAGTCGCCGATTCGCTTCGGCAAGCTTGCGTACCGCGGCATCACGTTGTTGGCTCGGTGACGCTGCGTTTAGCAGCGTCATAACAACAACTTGTCCAGACACCGCTGCGAGGTGGTGAAGGGCTTCCCACTCCACTAGCGTGTGGGCAACGAATTGTGTTCCAGTGTCTTCATGACAGGTTTGAGGGACTTGTCGTCGTCCATAGCGCTGGAAGGAGTACTAGGTGCTACCAGGTGTAACGGAGCGAGAGCTCCGTTACGTAGCCTACACTAAAAGTCTTACGAGGAAACGTAAGAAGCACGCAATTTATTTGCGTACTTAAGACCAAATTAAACTTTGTTTGTTATTATTAGGGTTAGATACAAAATCCTAAACCTTCTGTGAACCACCCAAATACGTGCCAAATATAATTGGATGAAATGGGGCTAAACCCCACTTTCAACCAATCAAATAATGGCACTAAAAGATACGCTATTCGTATCTTTTCCTTTTCCTACTTTATGTAATATTCTCAATATTCTCTACCTAATTGTGCATAATCATGGGACCGTTATTATTGCCATATCGTACTTGATATGGCGTGTAACGATACGACCCCGTTACAATAGGCTTATTACTGCGATGTGCTACGCCTCTGGAAATGATCATGATGCGATAGTCCCGTCAAAGAAAAGGGTCTAGATAAGGCAAAAAGACCCTTTTGAGATCTTCACAGGTCTCCTGCCGTAACCTTTGCTAGCATGTTTCTTTTCTCCTGATGGAGACAGTACCAACGCTAACACGGCCATACCGAATCGGTAGTTCGGCATCCAACCAAAGCACGTCTCGGCTACAACAGATTCACAAGGTTGTGGAATCCATCAAGCGTGACTGTCAGCAAGCTTCTTGCGATGTATCGTCCGGCACTGCTGCGAAGGGGGCGCCTCATATGTGATTGCTCGTTGGTCCTTGTTTGTCGGCTTCAAGCTCATGGTCCGTTGTTTTGCCTCTTTATGGCCATTGAGATCAAGTAGCATTGCTTTAGAATTGAAAGCTTGATGACCAAGTCTCGGAATGACGTGCATGGATCAGGACTGAAGCTTTATTCGGAAACCGCACTCGAAGTCACCAGGGATATATCTCGACAGAGGGTCTGTTCTGGCCATGAGATTATGAATACGCTACAATGATTCGGCTTCTGCACCATTTGGTTTTTAAAAATGGTAGAAAGTAGTAGTAATTCTTTTTTTTTTTTTTTTCTTTTTTTCTTTTTTTTTTTCTTTTTCAATTTTTTTTTTACCCCTCCTTCCTTTCCCTTTTTTCTCCCTCCCCTTTTTTTTTTTTTTTTTTTTTTTTCTTTTTAAAAATTTTTTTTTTTTTTTTTAAAAATTTATTCTCTTTTTTTTTTTTTTTACAAACACCCTTTCCTCCTCTAAAAATTTTTATAACAAAAAAAAAAAAAAAAAAAAAAAAAAACCTTCCTTTCTAATAAAAAAAATTTTTTTTTTTTTTTTTTTAAAAAAAAAATATTATTATTTTTTTCAAATTTTTTCCAAAAAAACAAATTTTTTAGCTTACATCCAAGCCCACAGATTTTCTATGATTTTCCACTGCTCAAAAAAAAGTTATAGCTGACAAGGACGAAGGTAACAGGTCAAAGTACGCCTTACGAGAAGTTGATGAACCACACAGTCTACCATGCAGCAGCGAAATTTGGCGCACTTTCTAAAGCGCTTACCGCATGTATTTGCTTCACAAAAACGTCGACGGCGAGGTCCAAAGACGATTACCTTGCAAATCTAGGGGAAAAAGCGGTGCAGTGTAGACAGCGCATCTGCATTATGGCCATCAGAGCTTTCGTCTGCTACTTGTGTCAGCACTATATATGTAATAAGGTTACACAAAGGTGTGTATTTTACACACACACCTGTCACAGCTGTGCTTTGGGCACACTGTGAGTTGATGTGCCCGTACCTAATGTACAAAGGGTCGCATCGACGTGGTCATTATACTTAGTTTAAGTATCATGTACATATGTCATACTAGTAGGCTACAGAGCTAAATAAATAGTGACTAAGTATGGAGTGGTTGCTTTTATATTTAGTGCTAGATTATAAACATTAAGTAAAATAATTCTACACCTGCTCTGAATAGAATTTGTTGCTAGAGCATTAGTCCTTGAAAGAAAGGAAGTTGGTCTTAGATACTGGTCTCTTGGAGACGTGGTTATTTATAACCAAAAGGCACAAGCTTGTTAAGCTAGCCTTGGGAGGTTTAAGAGCCTTAAAACGTAAAGACCTTTGATTTTGTCCTCCTCTGCCATAAATAGCCTTGCTACGGTAGCTTTACATGTTTATATTGGAAGGCTACAGAACCATGACGAGCAATAAGTACAAAGTAGGTAATTTTATATCTGTGTTACAAGATGAAAACAAAATTGATTAGTTTAAAACCTGTTTGACAAGCACATAAGCTCAAAGCATCATTTATTGTAAATGTAATAGTACTGGTATCTTAAAGACGTTATATATACAACCAAGAAGCATATGCCAGTGTAGCTTGCCTTGTGTGGGATTAGAACCTTTGAGACGTACAGCTTGTCTTCCTTTGCACTCAGTGCATTTTGTAGCTTGGCTACGATAACTCGCCTGCAGCATGTCATAAGGCGTGCATCTGCAGTTGCTAGCTAACGGAGATGTCCTGCTAGGTGCGATCCGCGTCAGCGCTACTAAAAGCCTGACGTGACCTTATCAATGACGTCTTCATTGCTGCTTGCGTAATATTTTTGTGCTTTTGCTGGATTGTTTTGTGCGGCGTTGCCTGCACCGGTTCGTCTCGCGTTTTCATCATGACATATTGCGGCATTAGCATGCAATACAACGTAAGAAGTGACGGGTGGCAAACAACGCCCAACGCAGTCACGACATGCGTTTTTACATGCTCACCTTTCTTGTCACCTCTATTGACGACAATGCCGAAGTCACAGTGATTCCTAAACGTGTCCTCATCAAATTTAATGTAGCGCATCTGCATTATCAAATCTTGCTCAGTTATATCCCATGTGCTATTCCCTCAATATTGTTGATGTATAGTGTCATTTTTAGCGTTTTTGCCTAGGGGTTGCAGTATTCATTTTTCAATACCCTTAGGGTGCAGTGGAACGAGCACATAGCAATTTCTCGGTCAACTCACACCATATCTTACACGACACATAGCATCGTCTACAGTGGCCGCGACGTAGTTTGTCAGCTTTCTGATATCAACGTACCACCCGCGCCCCGCAACTTGCTTTTATTGCTGGAAAACGTATAGCAATAGAGCGCACTTCATCATAACTTTCATGAATAAAGCAATGCGTAACGCCTGTGTAACAAACAACAACCAATACCATACAGCGTAACAGTTGTACTAGCAACGTGAACTATGGGCAATATAAGAGTATACATTTCAATTACATTGCACATGGGTAGGTAAGAAAAACGAGCAAGTTGAAGTTGAAGCAGCCATCATTCTTGTGCGCACTCGTTGGAGTTCACCACATCTTCAAAGTTTCCAGATCTACTGAAGTGCAATGGAAGATACGGCTGCGCCTCGTGTGGAGCTCAATGAGGCCACGGTGAGGCCTCCGCGGTACGGTGTCCCCACTCACGATGGTGCTGTGATTTTTGCTGGTAGATCTGCTTCTCTATGTCTCCCTTCAAGCCGCGGGGGATCAGGCTCACTGTCTTCTGATATGGACTCCAAATCGTCGTTTCTCATTGCTGCTGTGGCGGAGAATCGTGCCCGAGAGATAGGTAATGTTTTAACGTGTACAAAAGTAGACCTGAAAGGATGGCTAAATGTTTATTACCGTGACTCTAATGTTGCTAGGAATATGTGCAATTGACTTGGTATCACCATACGAGCTATTGCTGTGGACGGTGATCGACTCGCACTCTTATGTAGATGCCATGTCGCTGCTTCAAGCTTATCAGGTGAGAGCAGTACATTGTGCAAGCCTGTGTGCAAACTCTGACGCAAATATTTCGCTTTAGCCTGTAGAAATTCTCGTAGTTGAATCATCCAAGTCTTGCAAAATCAACGACGAGATCTCCAAGCGCTTTGCTGGGTCAAACTGCCGAATCGTGCCGCTGGCACGGAAGTATTTTGAGTTATGAATTATAAAACTGGTGGTAGCTGGTCATGTTGATGTTTCCTAACGAGTTTGATTATTTGCAGTCAAACCAAAGGAGCAGAAGATATCAAACGCGTCATGGCAAACAACGTCGATATCAATATTGGAAGAGTAATTATGCTGGCATCTCTTTTTCTTTCAATAGCTGTTTTTCACGACTATTGACTAAGACGTTATCAGAATTACGTTGCCATGGCCTCAGTGGCGTGTTTAATGAAATACGTCGAGTACATCCAGGGCATTTACATCGCGGAAAAGACTTTGAAGGTTGTCTCGTCATTCGACCGTACTTTGTACCGATCATAATATACTAGATTACTAAAAAGCTATGGTGTACAGGTTGTGATTAGCCCATCGACACGCAAACTGCTCATGGACCAAGCAACGGTTTCTGCTTTGGAGCTGGTGCAAGGCACTCGAGGAAGGAGCGACAGCCAGGTTCTTGTTAAGCTTGGAGTCTTCTAGATGTTTATATAGGTTATACACCCCCTCACAGTAAACTATTGTGTTGCAAGTCGCTGTGCAAGATGCTGAACAACACGCAAACCATGGCTGGAAATCGACTGTTAAGATCTACGGTACGCACGCAAATAAATTGGTTTGAGCATATGCCTCGTTACTCGTATCAACCCAGATATTTGCCGTTTTTTTTGTTTCAGATGCTGCAACCAACTTGCCACCTGAAGACGATGTATTGCACAGCGTTTGTCATGTTTCCTTGTTTATCCGAATCACACTCACAATTCGCTGCTCCAGTCAGGCGCGTCATGATGTCGTTGGAATATTCCTTGATAACCCTGCATGGTTTTTCGATGTTATGGAAGCGCTACGTGACTTTGTTGACTTGGATCGGCTACTGGTTAGCAAATTTACTTCTTTCATGAGATCGTGCAAACTCTGTGACTTGTTGTGTGTTTTTTTCTTTTTTGAAGGGTCAACTTGTTTTTGTTCCTAAAGTGATCACCCCACGGGTTTCCCGAATTGCCATAGGCAGTGTGATTGCTCTTAAACACACATTAGAATGCCTGCCGAAACTAGTTTCGTGTCTGGAATCAACCTCGGCGAAGCTGGATAGTCCCTGCCCTCTACTCAACTCAATCATTCAAAGGTACGCTTGTTTACGATGGGCGGTCGATGTGTCTCAGTGTAACAGTCCGTCCTAGTTTGCGTGACGAGCAGTTCACAGAGATCAAGGCAGATATTGAGCGAGTTGTGAATGACAGGTAACTTACTCTGTCGAAGCACTTTTACTTTTTTACTAACTTAGCTCTTTCAAATAGGGTCAAAGTTTGCCGCTTAGCTGCACAGAAGCGCATACAAGAATGCTTTGCTGTCCGAGCAGGCGTTGACGGAATGCTTGACGTCGCAAGGCGAACCTATCTCGATACAATTGAGAAAATTCACGAGGTCATTCACACGTACAAAGAGAATCTTGGGATTCCCATTCGGCTCAGTTACACGTAAGCTACTTACTTCTTCACGTGCATATTCATGCTGCATCGTCCAGAATTAATATCTGTACTTTGTGGAACACGCGGGAACTAGATCACGGAGAGGATACCATTTAGCTGTTCCCGCCAATACGAAAGACTTGCCCGCAAGTTTTATCGAGAGAGTGACAATGAAAACTGGTGCGATTATTTCTCAGCGCATTTTATTTCATGATGATGCTGAGTCTCATTTTGGACAACGCTTGTCATAGTAATCTGCTGCTCCACTAGGCCATTGGCCTCTCTCAATGCACGGCTAAATGAAGCACTTACCGCAGTCTACAAGCTATCGAACGATGTTATCCAACAACTCCTCGACAAGATCCGCCCTCGATCCTCTACTATGCACGCGATGGTCGAAAGTATCGCGCTGCTGGATATGCTTTTGAGGTACTAAGCGCCATCATGTCTGTGTAACGTGTGGGAGATGGTACTGACCACATTACAGTTTCGTAAACGTCGTAGCCCTGTCACCGCCAGAACATCCATGTAGAGTCAAATGTAACGCTTGGTCTTTGACGTGTGACTCACAAGCTACGGTGGTAATTCTTAGACACAAAGCCAACAGTAACTGAGCATGGCAACCTGATCATTAAAAAGGGCCGACATCCGTTAGTTGAACGCGTGCTTAAAGATCAGGCTTACATCCCTAGTGACACGGTAAGTACACCAGATGTGGTTATTTTTTTCTCATTTCTAACGACACACTTCTTGTGAATAGTTTTTTGACCCGCTGAGCACTTTTCACAGTAAGCAACTCCTTCATAAACACTTACAGGACTGGCAAAATTTGACACTCCGGTGAAGTTATCACTGGTCCCAATTGCGCAGGAAAGTCAACGTATTTACGAGCAACAGCTCTGATCACAATACTTGCCCAAATGGGGTGTTATGTCCCAGCTTCCGATGCTGTTATTCCGATACGAGATCGAATTTGTACCAGATTTGGAACATCGGACGATATGGAAGAAAATGCAAGCTCATTTGCTGTTGAGATGACTGAGACGGCTTTCATCCTGGAATCATGTACGGCGAGGTCATTGGTACTAATTGATGAGCTAGGCCGAGGCACAGCCAACAACGAGGGTACTGCGATCGCGTGGAGTATCGGTGAAGAACTGATCCATCGAAGATCCTACACGTGCTTTGCGACCCATTATCATCAGCTAAATCGACTCTCGCATCTGTATCCTCGCTGCCGGTGTTACCACGTGGGCACTGAATCAAATACCGTGCGTACTCAATGTTTTCAGTTGGTGTTGATTGCCTCTGCTCACTTTTGCTTCGTTATCAGAATTCTGTGCACTTTCGCTACGTATTGAAAGATGGACCTTTTCCATTGATTGGCATGTACGGGATCAAGACAGCAGCATTGAGTGGTTTGCCAACAGAACTGATCCGTGAAGCAGAGAGCATCTTCGAAAAGCTCTATAGTAAGCGCGAGGCTACAGAAAAGTCAGCTGCTGAAGGCCCAACGACCAATGATACCAGCAGGATCAACAAAAATCTCCTCCATCATTTGTACGCGCTTCGGTATGCGGACCTAGATTACGCAGGCATGTACACATAGGACGAGAATTTTTCTGGCAACGTATCAACTAACTCACTCTGTTTCCAGGTCTTCGGCGCCAACTACAACATCTGAAGAATCGATTTCTGGCCCCGGCAGAGTAACTTAGGCTTTCGGTATACTTTACAATCGTCAAACACTTTTTTGGAACTGCGGCTATTTTAACTAGCGTATCCTCCGTACTATGTCTGGCTCTTATCAGTGCTTGAGGTGCAGTGGCGATACAGCATCAACAAACGTACCAACAAGCGCAAAAAAGTGGATGCAATGAGAGCAGTTGGTCGAATTTTTACAGTGAACGGTGCAGATCTGCTTGAATGTTGCCGTACAACCTTGGAGGACTGACCACGGCTGTTGAGGACCACGTCAGACGATCCTATACGTGCACAACCTTGCTTAGTTTTTGTCCGTGCAGCATTTTCCTAAGATGAAGCAGCGTATATGATAAGATTATCGAATAATCAGCCTTATTCATTCAGCATGCTTCTAGACCTTGAAGCGCGCGAAAATGACAAAATGCTGCTATTTTGAACGAGCAAAGGGCATTACGAGTGCATTATTACGGCACAGGTACAACATTGGAGGGCAGAATTGCTATGAGTGATTGCTAAACCAACGCTAGAACATTGCGTCATTGCAGGATCGGAGCTGTAATCACAACAGGAACGCTAAGAAGGGAGTTCTCAATAACCTCATTGGCATCTTCATCGAATTTTTCCGTGTCCATGATGAATCGCGCTGAAATAGTCGACTTTGGAGATGCATCACCAAGATCAGCGACAATCTGCAGTATACGAGTGAACATGTTGCGTCAGGATGCATTACGTCTATCTACACCACATTCACCACGAGAATCTGACGTACAGGGAGTTTGATCTTGATCAAATTTCGGGTAGCTTGAAGCAACACTGCGTTAGGCTGGTCACCATTAGCACCAAATGGCGGCTGATCATCCACAAACGCATCCACGAGATCAGGGTCTTCATACGGCCCAATGATGATTGGAGTCAAATCTTGCAGCACGACCTAACAAAGCACAACCGTTAGTTTTGGCATCGACAGATTCGAGGATAACAACGTACCTGTCCGTTATCAGGTAAAAATTTATCAGCATCAGACGGTGGGGCAGAACGGAATGTGATGCGAATAGCATCGTCAAGTGGATTTTCAATCAGCAAAACACATTCAAGACTACCACCAGCATCACGATAGGGTAGTCGCTGGAACGTAACTAGAGGCACGTAGTGTGCGGCCAGATTGGCTTTTTTGAACCAAGATGCGGACACAGGAAGGGAGCTATCTCCACTCATCGGGCTGATCTGAGGCTTCACAAGGATGCCAGCTGTGCCACGTTTAATTGATTCATCACACCGCCACGTGCGCTTCACCCGCAGCAGTGGTCGAGACGGGAAAAGCTTGTTGATTTCGCGCGGTTGATCCAACGGATTCAGTAGTCGCTGGTGCAACGTCGACACTTGGCCCATATTACATGTCTGCGCCAAGTTCTCCAGCATCTCACGAGTCTTATCCGGTGTATTCTCTCTCCACGATATTCCTTTGGTCTGCAGCGCTGCAAGTGGCTTCGTTAGCTCCGGCCACTGGTGTTCATGCCGCTGCTCCAGCAGCCACTGCTCCTTCTCCTGTACTTTTGTCAGCAGCTGGTCATACTTCCAACCTCCCATCTCTTCCGTCCTTTGCAGTCTACACTTCTTTATCTGGTGCTCGCGTTGCAGCTCCTTCATCGAATCTGCCAGCAGCTGGAGCGAGTTATTCCGACCAAAAATAGTCCCTGATATCAACGACAGATCTGTAGCCGTTCCCTTGCTAGACGAACAGTTTGCATTTGTCGAGTGATGCGAGTACAATGTTTGGAAAACGTCTTCCTGGACCGCTTGTCGCTCCCACGTGATGGCAGTCATGATGAGAGCGTCGGGATCGTCATCCGTCAGCCCCAGCTCTATCGAGTCCCAGCGACAGTGCAAGCACAGGAAGAAGAATACGTGCTTGCTCTCGTGAAATGCAGTGGACAGCACATTTTCACACTCGGGGCAACTGAAGCAGCGGCTCGAGCGGTTCTGGTACATGCTGGCCTCCTTTGACGGTAAATTCACCAGCAGGTTCCCGCAGTAATACGACTCAAACTCCTCCACGCTGCAGCTTGGAAGACGACACACAATCTTTTCACATGTTTCACTGAAAAAAGAGAGCTTATGGGCGCCAGATACCCGCATTTGCACTCATATCGTACGCACACGCCGTCTACGCTTTCACGGAGCATTATTGGCACAGTGAGTGCGACTTTGTTTGCATCATTATGTTGTCTGAATGTCGCTTTAACGAGTTCGCCAAAAAAGTTCATTTAGAGGGATAATGACCGATGGGAAGCGAAAGACACTATCTTCATCGTTCCTGTGCTCGCCAATCCCAAAGGACCCGTCCCAAGTCTTCTTCGTAGACACCAGCAACTCACTGCAGGTTTATTTGACACTAAAACTTGTCATCAATTGCCTCATAATTCTTTTATCGTGACTAAATAGAACACACATAATTTGTCGCTTTGTATCCAATACTTGCGCAGTCCAAAGGCGGATCCAGCGACAATTTCCTGAATGACATGAATATACCGTCCAAAAGCAGCAGCACATTATCACCTGATTATGTCTGGCATCTCCAAGAGCGTGTACGAGAGCTCGAGAAGGAACAGAGAGAAGGTATAAACGACGATGTGAATGGATCACATGCACACATTGTACTGACTCCACAACGTCTTTTTCATTACTTAGCAAAACAGAAGGAAGAAAGCGAAAGTGAGAAGAAGAGCAAGAGACAGCGAATAGAGATTGAGAGCATTGCTGTGTCTAAAGTGAGAAGAAGAAGCTATTTGAGGGTTCGGGAGTGATACTTACTATGTTGTGGGAACCATCAGAACAATGAACTGAAGCGAGAAGTGGAAATGTTGAGAATTCAGCTCGAGACCAACTCCCAACGGCACCAGATTGAGCTGAAAGAGCGTGATTTGCAGTTGGACCAATTGCGGCGTCAACTGAAGTATGCTGTGACAGAAGAGGAGGAGACAATGAAGGAGCTAAAGACCATCACGAACGAACATTCGGCCGAGAAATTGCAGTTGGAGAAGAGAGTAGTTGAATTGGAAGCGCAACTAGCACTTGTCGAAGGAAAGCTCAATGAATGGAAGGAAAAAGCTTTGGAAACGACTAGCCAGCTCCGCACACGAACGAGGCAGACTGCAATGAAAGTAAGCGTGATGAACGAGCTGAGCTTTAGGCTGTTTGTCAAACACGATAGCTGATATGTGTTTGTATGCATCAGATCCAGCTTCTGCAACACGAGCTGGAAGTAGCTCGAGACTCATCGTCGATGTCCTCTCAGGTTCGTGCTAGCCAGTATCGTACCATTTTCTTTTTCCAGGTATTTATTCGCTTCATGTTCCTCAGAACGAGGACAATATTCTTGAATCGAAGATTCGTTTGCTAGAATCCCAGCTCAAGCAGAAGAGCTTAGAGGCTGAGCACATAGCTTCCAGTTTGCTCGCTGCACAAGAAACAGTAGAAAACGCACGTGAAGTTCGCGAATTGAATGAGCAGATCATGCAGCAACAGTCGACAGAACGCAAACTTAAGTCTGAGGTGCGCATGTTGTAGCTGATCTTATAATAGCCAACTCTTAATGCATTGTGCTTGCTACAGTTGGTGGACTTGATCGAGGCATCTCGATCGTCTTCTGTGCTGCAGGAGAAGCTCTACCAGATGACCCAAAAGCTTCAGCAGAGCGAGAAAAGGAACGCTCAGTCGCAAAAGCGCGTCGTACGTTGATTAGAGTATGACGTCTTGATTTGTTGTGCTTGGGTTCTTAGTATAACTGACTTTTTTTGTAGGAGAATGCAATGCTCGTAGAGGAAACGCACAAGCAATTCTACGACTACTTTGAGCAAGTTGTAAAAGAAGCCAAGAGTAAGCCGAGCTGTTTTTTTACTCGCTTGTGACACAGTGTTGACATAATCTAACATGCTTCGTGTTACGTATCACCATCTGTAGTTGGAGTGTCACTGGACGATCTGAAAAGCCGACCAGCAGCAGCGATCATGGAGCTGTATAAAGCGCGTCAGAATGCCTTCGAGATTCTGTTTGAACAAAAGAGTAATGTCGAGATTCAACGTCGGCGACTAGAAAAGCAGTGTGAAAAACTTCATAGCGATTTAATTACGTCCGGAAACAATTGCGCAAAACTTGAAATGCAGTTGGCTGTGGTCCAGGAGAAAATGAACAGGTCTAATGATGTGGCAACACATTTGCGCAAGACCAATGCAGAGCTGATAGAGATTCTTGAAACGTATGGCAAGGATTTGGACGACCAAACTGCAAATGAAATCTCATTGAAGCGCGTTGCCCTGCTGGAATCGTCACTAAAAGACTCACAAGCGCTGATCGAGGGGATGGAATCTACCCAGAAATCCATGGCAACACCTGCTGCTGTCAAAAAGTATGAAGGGCGGATTGAGCGACTGGAGAAGGCGCTAGCTGATGCAAAGCAAGAGAATGTGAGACTGACAAAGCATCTTGAAAGGGCAGAAATGGAACTGGTAGTTTTTGAAAAGCGGCTAGGCAGAGGCGAATTTAATGTTGAAACGACAAAGATTGTGCATTTGGCTGTAAATCCAACACGCGAGCTGCTCCAACAAAGGAAGGCGAAGTCGACCGACATTGAGAATTTGCGTCAGGAAAACAAGGCATTGCGCGCACGACTGAACACGCTCACAGGTGGCGAAGATACCGAGGTATTTGCATGAGCACACGTTGCGCTGTTGTTGTTTTGGTGCGGCGGTTAATGTTGATATGAATCTCTTGCTTGTGTAGTCTTTGAATGCCCATGTGGAGGACAAACTTACGACAACAACTTCGTATGATACGGTGGAAGGTCTCAAGAAGCTCAATCAGCGCCTGAAGCAGGTGCCGTAGCTCATTTATTTGTTTCAGTGACAGTGCATTGTTGTTAACGTGCTTATGAACGTCTACAGGTGTTTGGAGACCAAATTCGACAATACCGAGAAGCCGTGTATTTGCTGACGGGCTACAAGGTGGACCTGAAAAAGAGCGATGGCAAGGAGTTGCTGCGCCTGCGCTCCGTTTATGCCGAACACGACGATGATGAGCTTTTGGTTTGCATGAAAGCCGACGGGTCATTGGAGTTGCTGGACAGCGAATTTTGCTCGCAAATTAACCAGCGTGTCTTTGCCTACCTGACAACCTGTCGATCGTTTCCAGCGTTTTTGTCGACACTGACGCTGCATCTCTTTGAGAAGCAGACCTTCCAGGGCAATTAGTAATCAAACGACATTGCACAAAATAATGCTTGATTATCATGGTCACGCACTGTGTTATGGTCACGCACTGTGTTATGGTCACATATTACTATACTAATGCATTAATTATATGAATTTTAGTTGATGTGCAAAATGGTAAACACAGGATTGGATGTCAAACCCAACTGATAGTTGTGTATACCACATCATTTCAATCGCATTGAAGTTATCTGTTCACAATTACATTTGCTTGTCAAGTAACGGAACTACATATAGAATGCTAAGTCTTGTACGTGGAAAGCGACCTCAATCAGCACGTCTACTGATACAGTTGACTCAACATTGCTCATCTACGCGATATCACGCACAGTTTCCATTTCTGGACGAGCTTGGCCTCAAGGAGGAAAACCACGGTGTATTCAATGGTCAGTGGTTTGGAAACGGCGATGTGTACACTTCGGTGAGTCCCGTGAGTGGTCAACCTATTGCCAGTATCCGTACTGGCAACAAAGCTGACTACCAGAAAGTAGTGTCTGCTATGGACGATGCTAAGCCTGAATGGTGCAGTCAACCGGCTCCACAGCGTGGAGAGATTGTTCGTCAGATTGGACAGGAGCTTCGTAATAAGCGCGACGCTCTTGGTAAGCTCATTGCTCTGGAAATGGGCAAAATTTACGTGGAGGTGAGTGTGAAGTATCATTTGTTGGTTGTTTTCATACTCAGCTGATGGTCATTGATGTGCCTTTGCTCCTGTTTCTTAGGGCGTTGGTGAAGTCCAAGAAGCAATCGACATTTGTGACTTTGCAGTAGGACTCAGTCGTGCACTCAATGGGTCGGTGATTCCTTCTGAGCGTCCAGGCCACTTTATGATGGAACGTTACAACCCATTAAAGGGCCATGTCGGTATCATCACGGCTTTTAACTTTCCATGCGCAGTGCTGTTCTGGAACGCGGCACTGAGTCTTGTGTGTGGCAATACCCAGATTTGGAAGCCGTCTGAATCGCTAGCACTTACATCTGTGGCGTGCACCAAGATCATTGCAGACGTGCTAGAGCGCAACGGTCACTCCGGTGCAGTTGCTTCGTTGATCTGTGGCAATGGCGCTGAAGTGGGCGAGACGCTACTGCACGATAAGAGAATGGAGCTTGTTTCTTTCACGGGTTCCACAAAGGTGGGCCGCCACGTGAACAAAGTGGTATCGTCCCGCTTTGGCAAGACAATCCTTGAGTTGGGTGGTAACAATGCAATGATCGTGGACAAGGATGCGGACTTGGAGATGGCGCTGCGTGCGACGTTGTTTTCTGCTGTGGGAACGGCTGGCCAGCGGTGTACGTCGCTCCGTCGTCTTTTCCTTCATGAAAATATTTACGACAACTTTCTTCAGCGTCTGCTATCTGCGTATCGGAACGTAAAAATTGGCGATCCTTTGGAGGACGGTGTTCTGTGCGGTCCGCTGCATAACACTCATGCAGTGGAAAAGTATTTGGATGGAATTGGCTCGATTAAAAAGCAGGGGGGGAAAGGTGAGTGCATTGCTTCGGAAAGGAGAGGCGTCAAATGATGTGCTTACAATTGTTCACTACTTGTGTGCAGATTCTCATTGGTGGTAAGAAAATCGAAGGTGATGGCCACTTTGTAGAGCCGACCATCGTTTCGATCGCTGACGACGCTGAGATCCTCCAGGTACATTTGCTTTATTCAACATTAACGTCACTCGGTTGTACCATTGTTGATTTTGGTGCATCTACTGTGTATTTTATTTCAACAGAAGGAAATCTTTGCACCGATTTTATACGCGCTAAAGTTTAAGACGCTGGACGAGGCAATTGAGAAGAATAACGCCGTTCCGCAAGGCCTGTCGTCTTCTTTGTTTACGAAAAACCAGTCGGCAATTTTCAAGTGGACGGGTCCGTTAGGATCGGACTGTGGCATTGTAAATGTCAACATTGGACCCAGTGGTGCCGAAATTGGAGGAGCATTTGGCGGTGAAAAGGAAACTGGTGGTGGCCGTGAGTCGGGTAGTGACGCGTGGAAGCAGTACATGCGTCGGTCGACATGCACCATCAACTATAGCAAGGAGCTTCCACTTGCCCAAGGAATTGACTTTAGTTAGACGCTTTCAATCCATCTTGATTGTCGTCGGGCTTTTGTAACGCATTAGCGACAATTCATTCGCCGTTTGCTTCGATCTTTACGCAAGTTTTAAATACTTGGCTTTTTGTAACAAATACAAATTTTACCTTGAAATTTTGTACTCCGGAATAATAGACCCAAATCCGGAAATAACCGAATTCATCCATCGGCAAACCTCAACATTTTAGGATCTTCCCTATTACAGTACAATACAAGAATAATGAGTTGCTGCCCCGCCACCGCTGAGCTCGCCCGCAGTCCTGCCGATCACATCGGCGTAATGAAAAAGGCTGGTAGCACTAACATTTATGTGACGGGCCCTGCTTCTGCGAAGGCTGGCGTGATTGCATACCCGGATTTCTACGGCCTGGACAGTGGCCGCACGAAGGCCGATGCCGACACATTAGGCAAGCTCGGCTATGCTGTTGTGGTTGTAGACCTCTCGGACGGTGACTACATGGTAGATGGAAGTATGGATGGATCCGAGGAATGGATTAAGAAGTTTACGTTTTCTGAGAACTTTGGCCCGCGCATTCAGGATGCTATCCATTACCTCAAGACTGAGGTGGGCGTCGAGCGCTTGATCAGCTATGGAATGTGCTGGGGCGCATGGGTGGGCGCCATACAAACCACGCAGGACGATCCGGTTGTACTAGGTCACGTGTCCTTTCACCCTTCGTGGCGTATTGAGAACATTCTCAATGGTGATGGCGCCGTCAACAAGCTGGCCGAGAGCGTCGAGGTACCTCAGCTGCTTTTGGCTGCTGGTGACGACGACGACTTTGTCAAGCCTGATGGCAGCATACACAAGATTCTTAAGTCACGCAAAGACATTGGGTCCCAGTCAGATGTGCTGCTCTTCGCCGATCAAAACCATGGCTGGGTTAACCGTGGAGACCTTGACAATGCTGCGACAAAGACAGCTGTAATGAAGGCTTGGCACAGTGCCGTCAAGTTCATTCAAACGAACTGCCCACTTTAAAGCATTCGCCAATCGTTACTAGTAAAATCTGCTGCTTAAGACGGATTGAAGGTATGCATCGCTACTGCTCCATACGTACAGGATTGACTCATTGCTAAAGCATCCGTCGGTATAGGCAGTTAGAATCATATCTTTGAGCAGTTACGGTTGATTCTTTTCCACTCATCTGATTTGTTGAAAAACCACAACGCAACAACAATACTAAAACACGTTTACGTCATCCTCAAAGATTCAAATCAAATCAGCAGCTTTAATTTCAGCAATAAAATCACTTTTACATAAAACCCATTTTACCAACTCTAAAATCTTTTTTATCAGGATGCTTCGATGGACAAGGTTCACTCGTGCACGACTGCCACTGCGGTCTCGTAGCACGAGTCGTCCACTTTATACGATACAGCCAGCAAATGGCTTTCAATCTAGTTTTAAGTCGCAAGAATTGTCCAAGAAAAGCGCACTCGTTGTTGCAGCTGGTGCAGCATTAGTCGCCGCTATGGGAATACTAGGGACAAATGCGGCGTTCACAGAACATCATCACGAGTTTGTCAACTGGTCAGCTACACAAAAATGTCGTCCAAAGAACTTTTATGTACCTGAGACAGTGGAAGAAGTGGAAAAGTTACTGAAGATGTACCACGAGAAGAAGCAGAAATTACGATGCATGGGCGCTGGTGTCTCGCCTAATGGATTGGGCTTTTCTGAAAAAACACAGGGTAAAAGTACCGTTAATGAAGCTCTCATGACAATGGCAATGATGGATAAAATTATAAACGTTGATACAGAAAAGAAGCAAGTGGCGGTGGAAACTGGTATGATTGTTGGTGAGCTCCTGGACAAATTACGCAGCTACGGTCTTACCATGCAAAACGTTGCATCGATCCGTGATCAACAGGTTGGTGGTATCTGTCAAGCAGGATGTCATGGAACGGGAGCAGGTATTCCGCCAATTGACGACCAAATCGTTGAAATGGAGATTGTGACCCCAGCGAAGGGGAAAATGACACTGAGTGCCACGCAGAATCCTGAACTCTTTTCATTGGCCAAGTGTGGCCTTGGAGCACTTGGTGTTGTAACCAAAGTGCTGCTGCAGTGCGTGTCTACTCACAAACTTGTTGAAAAGACTACTGTGATGACGCTGGACGAAATCCGAAAGAATCACAACCGCTGGCTTGTAGAATTTCAGCACCTACGCTACATGTGGATTCCGTACACGGACGCGATTGTTGTAGTGCAGTGCCGTCGTGCTAACGACGACGAAATACTTGACGAAAAGCTGTTCCCACCGGTGAAGCACAGTGACGAGGTGCGTATGGAGGCCCCTAGGAAGTTGTACTTGGAGCTGACAAAGGGAAAGCCAGAGCCAGACTATCTCGACTGGAGTTTCATGAAGATGCGTGATAAATTGCTTGAGATCAACCCGCTGGACAAAAAGCATGTCATTCGTGTGAACGAAGTGGAAAAGCAGTTCTGGAAGCTCAGCGAAGGTTATCGTGTTGCGTACTCGGATGACATCATTGGCTTTGACTGCGGCGGTCAACAGCTTGTAGAAGAAGTCGCGTTTCCGTGCAATGGCACGCAGGAGCTAGATTTCATGGAGAAGCTTCTTGAGCGGATTGTCGAAAAAGACATTCCTGCGCATTCACCGATCGAACAGCGCTGGACAGCTCGCAGCACTTCGTTGATGAGCCCTGCGTCATCTTCCAATCCGAATCAGATTTTTTCGTGGGTGGGTGTGATTTTGTACTTACCAACCACGGAGAAGGAGGTACGTCAGTCCATCAGAAACCGCTTTACGGAGTTTTACGCAATGTATCGCGATTTCATGGAGCCGTTCGGAGCGACAGAGCACTGGGCAAAAATTGAGTGGCCTGAGGATGCTGCCGAACGCCAAAAGATGCGCGATCGTCTAAGCAAGAGATACCCGCTTGACAAGTTCAAGAAGGCTCGCGACGAGGTGGACCCGCACCATATCCTCTCAAACCACATTGTTGACGAGATGTGTGCTTGAGTTGCTACGCGTAAACTTTCGAAATCACTCTTTGTCAGCTCACATGCAACAAAAGCGCAATGTTAAATACTTCAAAAGTGTACTTTAACGCTGTGAATGTTTAGGTTGCTACCTTGCTTGCACAAACTTAAATACCTGAGCAAACTGACCAGCTGGCAGGTAGGCTAGCCACGCCGCTACAAAACACTGGCTAAATTGTGCTTTACTCGTTGATGTTTCTTTCAGTTGCACTAGCTGGTGCAACAAACGAAGTAGCAAGAGCTCTAATTGTGTTCGAAGAGTGGGCCATGCCGGCATCTTGTCCAATTGCATCTCAAGTGCAGTTGACGTCAATACACACAACCACCGGATGCAAAACAAACTTCCTGATAGCGATCCCTGCGAAGACGTGATGGCTGGTTCGTGGGAAGCTAAGACATGGCTGAGAGATTCCAGCAATAGCGCGCTATCCTGTGTAGCGAGCTGGACGTTGACAGCAGACGAGAGACCCCAGCATCTTGTAACGTAGCGCATTATTGAGTGGGTCGAAACAAGCCCACACGGAATTTGCTGCTCAATATTTTGCTGCTTCGGTAGCTTGTCAGCTGCCCAGTTAGGTATTTCAAGTCTATCTGATGAAGACGTTTCTGTCTCGTACTCCAGCAGATAGGGAATAATGTTGCTGAGTAGTGCTTGGAAGAGGACACTACCACACCCTAGCATCATTTCTGCGATCGCAGACTGGATCAAAAGAGCACCTGAGATTGTTTCAGTAGCAGAGTCTGATCTCAAAAACTCACACCCAGCAATGCCATCCACAAGACTCCAGGTTTCAGTCTGGGTGGACTTCACTCTCAGTTTTGCCGGCAGTGTTGTATCCCAAAGTAATCCCCAGAGCAATGCTTGGATTGCTGATGTGACAGTTGATAGTGACAAGCTCGATTGTGAATCACCAATTGATTTTCCTTGCATAAAAGCATCAACCAATGCAACATCTTCCAAACCTTTGGAGAGCTCATCGTTAACCAGATTGCTGTCAAAAATACTCAATAGTGTCCACAACGACGGATGAAGCGGTGTGTCTAGCTGCTCCACCTTGATCATTGACGCAGGTCCAGGCATTAACTCCATAATTTTTATGAGTAGGAGGAGCAATCTTTCCCGAATGAGAACCCCAAATTGCAAAATGTGAGCATCAAAAGAACATAGAGCTTTCAGGATTAGGTTGAACGAGCTTTCCAAGATGTTACAATCAAGGTCTCGACACGTGTTTGCCGCCACAAAGTATTGGAATAATTGTTGGACCAGTGTGTACAAATTGAGGTGCGGTTCATGGCGGAGACCAACAGAATAGCAGACAGGATTTATCACTTTGTCAAGAAGCTTGTTAATTGTCATCACTGGAGCTTCTCGTTTTGATAAAGAGCGTATAGGAATCCCCACAACAGACAAAAGAAATGATATCACATTGTGACTTTCTTGGTCAAAACTGCTTTGGTTACTGGAGACATCAAACACAGCCTGCTGTAATTGACATTCCAGCAAAGTCGTGCTTCCGTTTTCAGCACCTTCCGTCCAATCTAGTAGCAGTGGAGACGCACGAAACACTTCTATATACAGACTGTGATGTAGCATGTCTGCACGAGCGCCGGTAATGCACTGCCGAACGATTTGACCGGGATAAAATGCAGATAGAACTACCAACGATGCCACATGCTTTATGTCTCGGGCTTTGTCTGTCAGACGGTTAAATACGCGTCTAATTCTTCGTCCAAATTCAACTTTGGCGGACTCACAGTGATCTACGAAACAGACTTGCCGACGCATTTGCAAACCAAGAAGGAATGACACCTGAATTGAGATAACATTGAGTTGCTTCGTCGCGGACAACTCGTCGAAAGCCTTTTCAAGTATGTCACTTGAAATAAGCTCTTTTCTATCTGGTGAGGTACAAAAAGTTGAGAGCAGTTCAATAGCAGATAGCTCCGTATCTTCATCATCAACAACATGCGTAGAAGGAATATTAGTGCAAGATTGACCACTTGTCCCCTTTGCTTTCAACAACATCTCCAAATCAGTCATGTTGTCCACGACGGCTAGACGTTGTGTAGTACCAGAATCTATGTAATGATCATGTTTGACATCACTGTGGACTGTCTTCGTTTTGATCAACTCCACCAACTGTTTCGTAAGATCCCACAGTATCTTTGCTGTCAATGTCTGTCCTCCATTCACCTCCCCACTGGCACAAACTCTGCTCGTTCCTCGCATTTCCTCTAGCTCAGTTTGCTGCATGAAAATAATTTGTTCTGCACAATCAAGAAAAGCTCGACCACTTCTTGAATTGAACAGTTGAGTATCTAATGTACTAGGAAGCTCCACAAACTTTGTCCAAAGGTCCGTATCCTCTTTGTTTGCATGACACTTGGTCAATAGTTGTAAAACATTATAAGCTTTACTTGTTAGCATCAAGACTCGACTCTCCATCATTATGCTCATAATCTCAGCCATTTGTCGTGACCGGTTCATATCACTTCGATCACAAGCAGCAGCTCGTACAATTGCCACTGTCACTAATACATCCAATAGCGTCTCCAATAGCTCAATGCCGTTTACTATAAAAGACGGATTCGAGCAAATAGTTAAGAAAATTTCAATATCATCCACTGTATCATTGGCATGAGACTGCAATAACCACAATAGAAGCTCCTCCTCCAATTGATTGGCGACTATAGACAGTATAAACTCGATTGCAATATCAACAGATTCCTTATGATTTTTCCATTTACGTAGAGCCATTGTAAATAATTCATTGTCACTATATCCATGCTTTGATCTCCGGATGACAGCAATCGTATCTCCATTCATTGATTAGTTACTACTTGTACCGGTATTGGTTCTGACCTTAGGATAGGACCAATTAGGATCAACCAATGAACAAGAATACAGTGTTAACATCGAATGGGTTATAACGAGGTTTATACTATCGTACTTGTTCTACTACTATTATTGCGTGCTTTCTCCAGATAACGAGCTCGTAGTAGTCGGTAACATTGTCGTGTATCTGCATCCAAGATCATCTCACCATTGATTTTGAGCAGTGAAATCGTGTTCTGATCTTCCATCAATTCATTCTGTCGCTTGAGCTCTTCAATCAACGCGGCGGTGAGTCCTTGCAACTCGTTTTGGTTCGAGAGCTGTGCGTACGATTCGAGAGACACATCTGCACGCCTTTTGTGGTTAGGAGGGACGTTAAACGTCGTCTCGTCAGACTCTTGAGGAGCAACATCCACCACATCGATAGAAGACGTCGCTGTCTCCTCAATAGGAAGAGATGCCGTAGTCTTCACACTAGGCTCAGGAGATGTCGTTGGGGGGTTTGCTGTCGTCGAAATCTCTGTTTCACTACTGGTATCAGACGACGCCTCTGTATGGGTCGGTTCCTCGCCCATCGTTGCCGTGGGTGTTGATGGTAAAGTGTTGATTGCCATCACCGGATAATTGCTTGAGTTGGCAAAGAGCTGCACCCATTTGGCAGAGTATCGCAACTGTTTCCAACACGCTTCGAACGAGAACTTGGCGTTGTAGATCCGATGGAACATGACTTTGGCGTCATCAATCCATGGCTGCTCCGTCAGTAGTTCCACTGCTTCAGAGGATTCTCCTCCGTTCTCCTCTACTTCTTTGATCCGTTTATTCTGAAGTTCATTAAAGATCGACGCAAACTTTTGTGAGTCACGATTAATGCGCGTCCAGCGCACTTTGAGTCCATTGAGTGGCCGCTCTACTGGAGACTCCATCTCCTGGTGAAACAATTCCATTACCACATTCCAAAAGTTTGATGCCTTCTGTTCAACACCATGTAGCTGTAAATCACTGGCATTTAACCATACACGACACAATGTCTGATCTTCAGTCGTCGTCCAGTTGGTTTTCTTGCCCATTGGAGCCGTTCGACGCTTTAGAAACGTGTTTTTTTATTTCTTTACTTATACCAGATAAAGTACGAATATAATGGTATTTCCGATCGAACTTAACAGGATTGCGCATCATTTTCACATGACGAACAATGTATGGAAAGTAGTAGCAACGTCAGTGACACTGACAGTGATACCGCTTGCATACTGGCAATATCAACAACATGTGTGCGTTTCTTCAGTTGCAACAATCTGATAAAACATATCAGTATATGTAGCATCAGTGGAGAGTTAATGTCATTTCATTTGTTTAGCTGTTAACGGAGCAATTGGTGTCGACGTCTACTTGTTGCAATGGTTCAGTAAGCGAAAGGAGCATTTTGAGGCGATTAAATTACTGCAAAAGGTGGATCTTATTGCAATGGAAGTGTCAGCTCGGTTGAAGTATCTAGAGACGCAAGTGAAGGAGCTAATGGAGTATGAAGCCAAGAAGGAGGATGGGGAGACGGAAGAGGAAGACTCCGCGGCTATTTCCACGTTGAACGCCTGTTCGTTGCTCTCTATATTGTAGTGTCAACTTGCAAATGAGATGCTACACTGATTATAATTAGTGCCAAGATGCTGTTGCTAATGATCTTTTTTGCATTTGCTGTCTGTAGACTACCATTTTGACTCGCAGGGCAACAAGCTCAAGACAAAGTGGGACGTGTACGACGTGGATGCAGAGCTGGAGCGATTGGAATGCGAAGAGAAAGGAATAGAAATGTCGATGGCTCCTATGGAAGCTAAGAAAACATCGCACAAGGCCCCGTCAATCACAAGGTTAAAAGCACTGGCTACTTCCCAAGGCATTGAGCATGAGTTTGAGGCTGTGCTGTCATTTTTAGACGACATTCGTGGCAACGATGAGGTAAAGCAGCTGCGTAAGTCGATTGCAAACAAGATAACGAGTGATTGCTTTACACGCATTGACGCACTCCAAGCAATGCTCGCCTGAAGTAACGGAAAGCAGTTGATGTGCTTTTGATATTTTGTTAAATTTGTAATGACCCTTTTAATGAAACAAGTACCTATTTTTGAACCCTTTTTTTAATGTATACTTTTTATAAAGTATGAAAAGTGTACCCTTTTCAAGCGTCACAAATGAGACGTAGCTCAAGCCCACGGCGACGGTATCGGAGTCCATCGCCGCAACGCAGTCGTAGTCGTAGCCGCAGCCGTAGACGCAGCACACGTAGAGAATCAAGACGCTATGATAAACCTACTGGTAATCGACACTCTCGGTCATGTTCTCGTTCTCCACGACGAGGGCGTCAAGATTCGTCAAGTTTTCGAGAGCCAATGGGCCGCTACGGACCTATGAGTGGCTTCAAAAGCAATGGAAATAGGAGCCGAGGAGGTGGACGATACAATAATGATCAGACCGATGATTTTTTTGAGGACAGGAAGAAAGAGCGAGATGCCATTGAGTTTAGCATTTGGGCAGACATTCCCAGTCCTGTGCCGGTCAAGAAGAAGCCTACGAAGGCGAAACCCATGCTGTCTCCATTTAGGTCTAGATCTAGGTCAGTTTTTGGATCTAGATCTAGTTCGTGTAATGACTCGGATGTTTCTGGCTCGGACACAGAAGAGGAGCGCCGTCGACATCAAAAGAGCAAGCGGAAGGCCAAGTCCTCGCGTCGTTCTCATAAGAAGAAAGGCGTAAAGAAGAGTAAAAAACACAAAAAGGATCACAAAAGAAGCCGTAAAAGACGCAAACGCGCGCATAGCGAGAGTAGCAGTGGCAGCAGTCACAGCGATCATGGCTCGGATGTATCAGTGGCTTCTGATGGGAGAGTGCGCGTGGATTACCGCGATAGCACGAATGACCTGAATGAAAATGAAAAGAAGCAAGCAAACAAGTTCAAGGAGGCGGTGCAAGGCTCTCGCCACGACAACGATGAGGAAGAAGAGATTGGACCAAAGCCGTTAGTGACAGCTGAAGAAACGGCGGCATCGACGCTAAACTACGGCAAGGCGCTGCTGCCTGGTGAAGGTGCAGCGATTGCTCAATTTGTGCAAAAGAACATGCGCATTCCACGTCGTGGTGAAGTTGGCTGGAATGGTGAGGAGATTGAAAATCTTGAGAATCTTGGCTACGTGATGAGTGGTAGTCGTCACAAACGCATGAATGCTGTCCGTATTCGGAAAGAGAACCAAGTGTACACTGCCGAAGAGAAGCGAGCTCTAGCACTCATTAATTTTGAGGAGAAACAACAGCGTGAAAATGCAATTATGAATGATTTCAAGGAGATGCTGACGGAGCGGCTAACGAAGAAACATGGATCTCGACTTGTGGAAGACATGGAGTCTTCAGCGAAGGACTAGGAATAACCGGATAGTGTTTTCACGTGCTCACAAGCTTTTGTTTGCGAATAAAGTTTCTACATCAGTTCTTACCACGACTTATGCCAGAATTATAGTGCTAGCCGGGTAAGCTGATCACGAAGTGACAGTCGTCCGGCGCAAACATGATAACCCGTGATCGACGCTCGTAAACATCATTGGTTCATCATCTAGAAGCTAACATGTTCGACATGAAATCTTATCATGACGCTGGATGGTGTCCAGGTTATCTGTCCTCATCTTGCCATTCTTATGCTCGGTGGTGACAACAAATACCTTTGACGTCCGACATCGTGAAAGAGCTGTGTAAACAGACATAGCTGCACAAGCACCGATGGAGTGCTCATTGTCGTACTCCACCAAATAGCGGTTGTCTTCAGCTCAGCATTCGTATCCTTCGAACTCCAGTCCGTATAGAATCGATAGCTAATATACGATAACAGTGCATTTAACTACTGCGTCATCGGTTGTATTGTTATCCAGCCCGTCAACTAAGGATCCAAATTCTAGCCAAATGACTCTGGTGAATTACGCGGCATAGACAAGGATCGACTCGGCGACCACGTGGGCATTGAATCGCTGTCGAGAAGTCCCCATGATAATTTTCTGAAATCGTTGTCGTCTCCTGTAGAATTAGAAGCTGGAGTTAACCGATCCATCATGCTGTTATGTCTTGCAATATCCGCTGGTTTGTGTCTTCGAACAAACTCCAGGCACGGTCGACAAACGTGCACTTGTCTCTTCGTAATTGACATATGTTTCTTCTTTGGCTGTCGCTCCAGCACCTTAAACACTCGTTCTTCACGACAATGCGAACACACTGAAGCTAAGCAAAGTACACAGCTTTGCTGGTCATTGCCGCGACTATAGACAGCTCGATCAAAAGCCACAGAGCACAGAACACAACTCATTGAATCACCCGTGTTTGCCAGCCATCTTCGACGGGCGTTGCTCGTATTGGCAATACACCACCGTAGTCTCTTATGCTCAAAAAGCAGTGGAGAGCTGAGAAAGCCAAAGAAAGCTTGCCAAGTGTGGTTGATGACGAACGATTCAATCACACTGCCTAGCGCCTCCACATATTGCTGGACATACATATCAACATTCCCGTCTTCTTGTTGTCGATACAATGACCCCATCACAAATTTGCCGCAATCATAGGTTTTGGTAGTAGTATACATTGTGGAAGTGGTGCCGGTTGCAGCAAATCATAACCAATTCGCTCGCCATCGGCCGTCGTAATGATCCCTGACGTCGAAAGAAGCAGAAAGTCTCGAGGTTTCACCACTTTACTTACAAGCCACGGCAGCCGACTTACCAAGCAAAATACTAGATGAATTCTATAACGGTTTCTTGTTCGTCGGTCCAACAAGTTTCGCAGGCAAACGCCACCAGTTTCTCGGTTTCCAAGCGTTGACATGCAAATTTTTAGAGCTTCAAACGTGGGAATTGCCATGCCAAGCATGACATCATCCAGGGGTGATTGAATCGTACCACTCATCATCAATACCTTCGGATCCTGCCAATTGTCTCCAGGAAGATAAAGGTCCGTACGTACGCGTCGAATGCGTTCCGAATAGAGTGATGCATGTTGGTGGGTTTTCTGAAGTTTCCAGCGCGCGCTATCAAGATTTGCATGATGTCGTGGAGTAATACCAGCCATACGTTCATCAAAGCTTTGTAGTGTACGCTCTTAGCAATTGCAGACTCAATTGATGGCAATGTTCTTGCTCCTAGATTCATCCAGTAGGACAATATCGTCTTCGCTCATGGCAGTTTGTCGGTTTTGACACGCTTTGAAACTGTTTCCCGGTATGTGATGAAATCACCGGTAATATCGACAATAAAAGTACCATCAAATGTCAATGAGGACGGAATTTTGAATACAAAAAATATAAGCTTTCACTAGTATGTTCCTGGCCCTAACCTTACTTCAGTGTTTGAAATATCCAAAATGTGTAGCAAGTCGCAGAGAATTCGAATCGGAATTGTCGGTGGTGGAGCTGCTGGGATTAGTATGTTACTACTACTACTACTACTGCTTCTTCTTCTTCTTCTTGCTTTGTATACGTATATTTCTGAAGAGAAGTGATGACAATGTTGCTTGTTTTCTTACTTACTGCAGTTGCAGCCAAGTGTCTGCGCGAAGTAGGACATGAAGTAGTTGTGTTTGAGAAGGCTGGAAATATTGGTGGCGTGTGGAAATACGACGAGGCCACGGACGCTTCCTCGTCGGTGATGTACAAGTCTTTGCACACGAATCTGCCGACTGCAATCATGCAACTTCAGGAGTTTCCATTCCAAAAGGACGTATCCAGTTTTCCATCTCATGTCGATGTGCTAAAGTACTTGCAAGATTTCTCTAAACACTATGAGGTGGACAGCTGTATGCGTCTCAAGTCAGTGGTAACAAGTCTATCGAAAGTGGCAGAGCAGTGGAAGATTTGTGTGACGTCGGAAGAAAAAGGGGATTATGAAGAGCACTTTGATCGCGTGGTGATCTGTAATGGCCATTTCTCCAAACCTTCTTTTGCTACAATAAAGGGGATCGAGCACTACAAGGGAGTCGTATCGCATTCGCGATTGTACCGCACGTCCGCTCCTTACAAGGGCAAGGTACGCATTGGTTGCAGCGTAGTATCGCGCCACGTTTATTTTCTGATCAAATCTGTGTGGTGTGCGCTGGTTTGAGTGCAGCGGGTTGTAATAATTGGACGAGGACCGTCAGGCCAAGATATTTCTCTTGAGCTTGCTAGAAGTGGTGCTTTGGAAGTTATTGTTTCGACTCTTGATTATGACTCAAACTCCGTGGATCCACAAGACCGGCGTTTGCTGAAACCTGCCATTGACCACATCGCTGAAGACGGTTCAGTAGTGTTCATGGATGGATCTGCAATTGCTTCACCGGATGAGATCATGCATTGCACTGGATACCTGTACACAACAAAGGATCTTTTTGCGTCGAAATTGCTATTTCCTGAAGTGTCAGTCCAACCTAATGCTGTGAGCGACAACGTTGCGACTGACCTTTTGCAGTGTACAGCAAACGGACATGCCGTAGAACCCGTCTACAAGCAATTGATTGCTATTGAGGACCCCACGGCCGCCTTTGTCGGACTTCCATTCAGCAATCTGCCGTTTCTCTGCTTCCAGCTTCAAAGTCGATGGATTGCGCGCGTGTTTGGTGGATCTTTGCTCCTTCCTTCGAAGGAGGAGATGTATGAAGATTTCTATGCGTATCTTGGCACTTTGCGAGAAGGTATGAGGAAGCTGCATCAGTTGGGAGGCCGCCAGAAACATTACTTCACGTGCGTCATGATTTGTGATGTTGATTCGTTCTGCTCTTACATTGTTGATGTATGCTGAAACAGTGAAATGGCTGCTCTCTCCAACACGGAGGTGGGAGAAGAAGTCCACGAAATCTACGAAGACACTCGTTTCCTACGCCAAAACTTTCCGTACAACTATCGGGCTGCGGAATACCGGCGGGACCCAGTGACAAGGAAGTGGGTTCGCCGTATCAAGTCTAGCAACTCATCCCCGGAGCTTGTGAAGGAATTCTCAGGCTAGTTGCGACTAGAACGATTATTGTCCGCCTACGTTTTGGATACCTTTAGACTAAAGGTGGGGAAGACACCAACACTCTAGTTGCATTCTATGGTCACTTCAATCGTTTCCGATTTCTGAGCTTGTGAGACCCAATGTGTTCAGTCATTACAGAGTATCGACGGGTAGTACGAGTTCGAAGCTTCGCGGACCGCAACACACGATATAGAGGGTCACCACAAAGAGTCTCGACTGAACAATGCTAATTCACGCCATTACTTCCAATGTCGACAAGGATTCAGTCTGATCGTTCGCAGCGTTACAGATAAAACCATCCAGCAACTGTAGATACAGGGCTCCTGTTCTGCATGATGGTAGTCAATTCCAAATGAAGCGAGCGCGATGATGCCTATCTTCATCGTTGCACGTTGCTGACAACAGAAAACTCACATATCTCGCGACGTTCATCAGTCCTCCTACTGCTATTGGCTGGGCCCAAGGCACTTGATCGCCGGATCACTGATCGCATAGTGTCTGGTATTGCGTTTCCTGTATCATTCGCTCGGGAGTTAGCTGGGTTTGACCTGTGGCGAGTCGCTGGCAAATAACAGCAAGCTTTGTCATACCACAAGCAGCCGCATGGCTTCAGCAGACTAGACAGCCGTTGAGGGCTTATACTTTCAGCTATATGCAGTGCCAACTAGTAGACGCTTGTGCTGTTGGGTAGGAACCGAAAAGAGAGGAGCAAACTGCTTGTCGAAAACTTCTACCACACCCCAACGCGTCGACACCTGCATTAATTCATCGGAAGAAACAGCAAAGCTATTGTGTTGCAAAGGCGCTGGCATGACTCCTGCAAGCCACTGCCGTCTCACACAAATGTGATATTTGACCTTGGACCTTCTTAATATGCGATTTCTTACAGAGATAGTTGCAAGACGAACGAGTTATAAAAATTGCTGATACACGGGTCTTCCTCGTTTGCTTGCCACGTCTTGATCCAGCCAAGTGGCTAGATGTATCTAAATGTTTTTCACATGTTTACGATGGAGTTGTAGCGACAAGCGCAGATTTCGCCGGGCGTTTTCGTTTACGTTTCTGCGGCATTTTTTGTAAATCACTTGTAGATCGTACCACAATATCATGTTGCCATTGGGTTAGCACTTGGGACGCAGCGATTGCCTGCTTTTCTTGTCGCTGCGGCAATGAAAGCTCAAGTTCTCTTGCAAGGCTTTGGTCATATTGAATACGGACTCTATGGGCACGAGTGGGGCCAACCGAACAGGATCGCGAACCGTCAGCGACACCTTGAGGCAGTATGCGGCCTTCGCTAGCCGAGATCCATTCCACGGTGTCTTCAGGCCACAAGGAAAACTGCATTAACAAAAACTTAACAACCCCCAGTGTGTCATCCGAGTAAGTTTCCATAACCTCGCCATAATTCCAACACCCGTTTCTATCGAGCACGTCCACGACGTCTCCAACACTCAATCTAAGGGCAAATTCCACCGACGCTACAACGGCAAGAGAACAGTTGTCCGCAACATCGTAGCGTACACTATGTGCAATCATGTCATGTGGAGTACTCCTAATTATCTGTGACACCCGAGGTTTACGGTTTGAACCGCTAGCATGAAGTAGGGCAACATCCGCGCTAGTGTCGCTTGAAGAACACAACTGCAAAAACATATCCTCTAGATCTTTTGCAGCGGCAGCTTCACCCTCCAGGATTGGTGCACACTGAATACTACATGCTGCTCTTTCATATACAAGCTGAGCAGTCCGCCAATTGTAAATGGATAGCGGTATCAGACTTCTTATTGAAGCAGCAAGTGTCTGCGATATTTCATCCTCTTCCATACTGTTGCCAAACGATGGTAGTGTGCCAGTGACTTGATGGTTCAAGATTGTGGCACGAAAACGGTCGCGGATGCTGTCACCAGTACCTTCGTCATCCCCATCACTTGGGTCGGCAAATTCGTCCGTTTGCTGAAGTTGAAACTCGTACTGTCGTTGGTGGTGATGTTCCATTTCCTCTTTCCAGCGAGCTGGAACTTGCGAACGATTTACAGACGCAGGATGCACAACTGAATAGTCGGGTTCTTGTTTCTTGCATAACTTCCAAAGACCCAGAGACGCTGGATGCAGCTGACAGATGGGTAGACTAGGCAAAACTTCCTCGTCAAATTCGACTTCCTCCGCTAGCGTCTGTGCGACATTATCGTCCACATTCGTACTGGCATTTTGTTGACGTCTTGTAGAAGGCGTTGGCGGTGTAGCTGGGAGCAGGTCAGACTGACAAGCCTTCACACGAGACACCAAATGGTCTCGAAACTCCTGAAATCGATCATCATCGTACCCATACACGAGGTCCCGATAAGATGCTAGCAACGATGTTTCTGCAGCAATAACACCTTTGCGCTTCGTTTTCCTCTTCATCATTCGATTTTTCATCTGAGTTTTGCTCACAAAGCTATCATGCTTCAGTCGATCAAGAAAGTCGATTTCCTCCCAGACGTCAACATAACTACGTCCCCGGCGCATAGGAAACTCCACATGCTCCGTCAAGGCATCTGAAGCATCCGCATCCATGGTCGCTAACAATGCACGCTTGCTCTCCATTCCTGACGCACCTCGCCATGCTTTTGGATTCGCAGCTATAAAGTTAGCGTTTTCTCTACGCCATCGCATCAGGTTATCCAGGTCGCTCTGTGCAATAGGGCCAAAGAACGGGTCAACGTCCTCCCATCGCAATTGCATGCCTTCTGATGTAGTCGGGTATAGGTGCGATGCGTCAGCAGCAGGATATATGGGTGACGGAGGTGCATTACTGCTAATTTTAACCTCTGCCCCATTTTTAGCTGAGTGTCCGTTTACTGAGGTACTCAACAACATGTCCACTAACGCAGGTGACGCTGGCATAGTGCCCTGCTCCTGATTTGCTTTAGCAGTTGCTTTACTGCGTGTGGACGAGAAACTAAACTTCTTCCTGCGCCTTCTCCGTCTCATCGTACGATTGACAACAATTTGTGTCGCTGTATCCACTGCTGTCATGAACGTAGAAGCTGTGGAAGTGGAACCTGTTGATGTCAACGGTATTCCTATTGACATCAGTGGAGGTGATTTTGGTGTAGTCGATGCAGCCTGTGGCGAAGCCTTCTTCATATTATTAGATGGACGAGGTGGTGACTCCGCATGCGTTGGCTCAACACTTCCATCGCTCGAAAAAAGACACAGCTCAATCGGCACTTCGTCCTCCGGAAACACCATATCAACACTGGAGCGATGAACAACTTGGGACGGCAAAGATGATGTAGAAGGCATAGCTTCCATGATCGTCGATACGTCACCAAGAGTACTCATTTCTTGCTTCCCTAATGACACACCAACACGTCTCTCATCGCTATCTGTCTCCTGACTCAACGACTGAGACGCCAACTCATCATGTTTTTCTGGCTCCTCATTCACTGACACATGACGTTTTCCTGGCTCCTCCTTCACTAACACATGACGTTTTCCTGGCTCCTCCTTCACTAACACATGATGTTTTCCTGGCTCCTCGTTCACTGATACTTCTCCACAATCTTCTATATTTTCCTTTGAAGCATCAATCTCGTCGTCCACGTGTCCATTTTCTTTCCAATCTTCTTCACTGTCCTTCATCTCTTCTATACTTCTCTGTGCTTGATGTTGAAAGGCAACAGCAGTTCCATACGTTCGCAAATCGCTTTCCGTCGTGCCGCTCCGTGTCCGTCGACGCTTTTTGCTAGGACTCGTACCATCCATTGCATTCACAGCTATATATACATCACGAGAATGATGGTCCTGCATTTTCTGAGCCTTGTTTACGGGTGCACAAGTAATCGCTGTAGTCGATGCATTCTGCTTAATTACGTTCATTGGCTGCTCCTCCGCCGGACTCACAATGTCGTTCTGGCTCTGTGCGCTGCTCATAGCACGCAATAATTTCATCCAGTGCTGCAGAATAATACAATACTCTTCTATCTGCGTCTATGTGGCTTTCTACTGCTGCCAAGCGCTTGTGCAAGAGCTCTTAAGACTCGACTCCCTGCCGTTGCAGCCACTTACGATCTCAAGGAGACCAATTTTTCTACAGTCCAAAGCGGACCATACAAAAAACAAATCAAAAAGACTTTCAATTAAGACTTCTTGTTAAGTACGAATCTACGGTAGATTCACCACCATGTCCGACTTAACCTTCTTGCTTAAAGTCGGACCATCTTCCGTAACTTTGTCCTGTGACCTACTGCGCTTATGCGACACCATATTCACTGCGTCGACCATTTCCATAAAGTCTTCATCGCCATCGTCCGTTTCATCCTGAGCAGTCAACTTAAGTGACGCTTGCTTGGCCTCCTCCATCTTCAAATCCGCCGCCAATTTAGCAACGTCGCCACCCAATGCAAATAGTTCTGTTGCGTCTTCACCAAACTCTTCCTCATCACGATGCAAGACACGAATGTTGCAACGAAAATCCTGCGAGAAATCTTCAATGGAAACTGTGGTTTCGTGGTGGATACCTTTGCCAGGCAGATCTGCGAGCTTCTTCTCCAAGTTGACAGCCAGACTCGTTTCAGCATCCTCGCCTTCTTCATAGATCGTATTAGCGCCAATCGAAATTGTAGGCTCATTTACGCCTAGCTTTTTCTTCAGTACCTGGTCGACCAAGTCACGCAGCAACATGCGGTTCGTATCAACGGCCAACTCGACTGTATGTTTTGAGCATACGTAGCACTGCGGATTGGGCTTTTCAAGTGCACTAGGCTGAATCAGCACACCACGACAATTCCACGAGCGGTTACAGTGCGTGTACATGCATGCTTCTCCCACCGGTTTGGCAGCTTGCAGGATTCGAAAAGCCTCCAGCACCTGAAAACCTGCTACAATGGCGTTCGTAGTGGCAATGGCTGGAATGATGTTACCAGCAATACCCTTGCAGCTGTAAAGCGACTCCATAGAAATGGAAAACACAGATGCGCGCAAATTAGCAGCCGCGGCAACAAACTCCATGGCGATGGCGTCGTCCTTGTCGAAGTCATAGCTGCCCAAGTTGGCACGAGTCAGCTTATTTCCAAGGATACGGGTGATGCACGAAACAAAACGCGTCACGCACTCAGAGACGCTCCACACTTTGCGATCGTTCCAGACCTTCCCATTGTCTGCCTGCTTATTAGCTGCTTCGTTGAGACAAATTGCCTCTGCAATGTTAGCACCAACAATTTCCTCCAGCACTAATGGTTGTGGACGTTTGGAAGCAGTCTTGTACGTCTTCATCTCAAGCCTCTTTTTGATCTCAAAGTCAAAGAGGCCACGAAAAACGTTGCACGCATACTCCTGCAGCTTGATCACATCATCAAGGTTTATATCTGATGAGCGTGTGACAAGATCCATGAAAGCCGACTTCTCCTCGTTAGTCGGATCTTCCCACAACATCGAGTCCTCTGCCTTGCCAAAAAGCAGCTTGTAGCACTCCTTGGCCCACACAATACAATGCACCATCTTATCAGGAGTGCTACGGATTGTACAGATTGGGTACTGCTTCTGTGAGACTTTTGGTGTGCACTCGTAGCACTCAGTCTCGCCCTTCTTAATGACCGAGACCTGTCCCAAATAGCCAGTCGTACCGCTCTCGATAAGCGGCGTGTTGGTCGCTAAACACAGACGATTTACATGTTTACGAGCATCCACATTGTCCAGCGCATTAAGCACAAGTGCAAACTGCTGGAAGTATTCACGACCAAACTGGCTGTTCTTGATATTGCCGTGATGTGCAGTGATGTTGGCTTTCGAGTTGAAACTCATAGCAATTTCCTTCGCTACTAAGGCCTTGGACTGACCCACGTGACGGGAGCGAAAGAGAAATTGACGATTCAAGTTTGATACATCAATGGTATCGAGATCAATCAAGTGGATATTAATAAACCCGCTAAGGACCAAGTTCTTGAGCAATTCGCAGCCAATCCCACCAGCACCGACGACCAAGATCTTGGCATTTTGTACCTTAGTACACAGATCTTCACCCTGTTATAACAAAGACACACAGCGGTCAGTAGAAACCTCATATCTATCTCGATTATCGTATACTTTACACGCACTAAGACTGTCAGTAAACTCCCCGCCATTTGTATCGGTTTTTGTTCTACTTGTCGATTGTATCATTTGATTGGCTGATATACAAACTTGAACCCTAGTCATGCATAATCAGACCATATTGATGTATACGCCAATCAGAAGTAGCCGAATGAAAGCGGTGCTTCCACATCGATGTACAAAAACGCTCCTACAGATATATTTCAACCAATGAACGTATGTCAGTCTGTCTTTTTAGCCACTTACATCTCATACAACAGAATAAAGTTTCTCACCCCCTCCCCCCCCTCTCGTATGATGCCACTAAATTCCTGGACAGGCTCAATAGTATAGTGACGCTATTTGCTCCTCCTTCTTCTCTTCTCTTCTCTTCTGCTTCTGCTCTTCTACTTGGTCTTCTTCTTGCTCCTTGCTCTTCTTCCCCATTCCTTGCGCCAGAAAAAGAGCATTTTTTCTGCACTGGATTCCAAGATCAACACGTTTGAACGATATTTTTTGTGCTCCGAAGATTGTTCCGCTTAGAATCCAGTCCCATATATATAATACTATCGACAATAAGCATATACTATGGAGACGACGACGCACGGAGACGCACTGGTGGATGTTATTCGCGCTATCATTGGACCTAGTGACGTCTCACGTGAACGGATTCTAATGTTGTTACAGCAGGCAGGGAATGATCCAAATAAGGCCGTTGATTTGTATTTTCAATCGGATACAACCACTGGTGGTGTATGTAAAGTGAATGACGTGGAAGGTTCTGGTGATGAGGACGAAGAGGAAGAGGATGGAAATGATGCTGCATGGAGTCATACGACAGTACGAACTCAAGAGACAGGGGCGGTGAATGTAAATACATTACCAAATCTGTCTTCTTCTCTTTCTTCTTTAGAATGGACGTGTAAGGCCGAAGAACTTAGCGGACTTTTGGGTGGTAAAGTCAAGCGTGACGTTATTTTGGCTCTACTTTATCGTACAAACAATGACCTGCAACAAGCAGTAGAGATTTATTTTTCAGAGAATGGAGGAGACACCGAATTTGATGAAGGAAGTGACGATGATGATGATGAAACGACTACTATCGTCAAGACGTCATTACCGTTAACATCTGCACGTTCTGTGGACAACGGGACGAAAGTGTCACTACCGCTTTCAACTACATCAACGACAGTTACGATGCCGCCATCAAATGCGACGAAACCTTCTCAATCGCCATCACACTCGTCGTCAACATTGCCACAAACTCGGTCCGCCTTGACGCCAATTGCGTCACACCAGTTGACTCCACTGTCTTCACCAACTTCGATGGATAAACCGGTGACAGATACAAAAATGCATGCTCCTACGACTGAAGAGGAGTCGCTATACGGGCCTGGAACATATGAGGTTGTGATGTCCAGCAGCAATTTCCGCTGGCAGATTGGCAATGTTTTTGGCCGAGCAGTTGTGCAGCAAGTGGAACCTGGTGGACCTGCCGCACTTGCTGGCATCCAAAAATCTGACGTACTACTGGCGTTTCGTGAAACTGTGCTGACTGAGACGAATTGTGCTGCTGTAGTGCAACAATTGTCCAAACAGGTAAACCTCGTCGCTGTTGCTGATTTTGTAAAATGTTGCCGAGTGTGTGTTTTTGGATTAAGCAAAATTTTTGTGTTTCTGTGTGCTGTAGCGAGTACTTGTTCCCTCTGCACTTCGTTTTCGGCGCGCTTCAGACTCGCATAACCCGCAGCATGCTGTTCCAAGAGGTAATGGTGCGCCTATTTCTGGATCAGCGTCTGCTACTTCTGTGTCCCATTCGCGAGATAGTGATGGTGATGTGGTAATGGCGGTAGTGGATGACGCAGCTGTGTATAGTCCTGTTGAACCGAAGTATGGACTCCAGGTGATCTGCCAGGCTGTGGAGTCTATGCAGGATGCAATTGCGGGTCCGCCAGCAGTGGAGTTTAAGGTCTTGGTGGATTTACTGTTGAATTCAGAATATAGCTTGGACCGTGCAGTGAACACTTTTTTGACGGAAGACCGTATTACCAGCGACTTTCGTGGAATTGTCGGTTGCAATTGGGATCCAGAGCATTCAGTTTCGACGGCCAAGAGCACAAACAAGCCCTACGATGCATCCATTCCAGCAGGGCCACTTGGACTTACTGTTGAAAATATACTAGAGCGAACGATCATTGTGGATATAAAATCTGGAGGTGCTGCTGATCGCGCAAATGTCAAACGCTCTAGCTGGCTAGTTGGTCTAAATGGTCAGCGTGTCACGCATTTGACTCATAAGGAAACACTGCGTTTGATTGAGACCGCTGCCCGACCACTGCAGCTTCGACTTGTTATTGTTTCGCCAGATGACTACAAGGCTCTCCGAAGGCAGCTTTCAATGAACATTCGTCAACCAAAAACGGAGCGTCCAATCCCAGAACAGGATCGAATGTCGTTTCGTGTTTTCCAGATCAAAATTCATCAGGGCGTGCTGGCCTTCCCGAAGCTTGTGACCAAGGCCCTGTTCCATTACCTCAGCAGCGAGGAATATCACCCTCCGACTATGGATCCACAATATCCGAATCCGCTCGAAAAATTGCTTCCGGCAAACGAGGCTTGGGATGTTGCACTTCTGGACGACATTAGAATTATGGAGGAGGAGCGTTCGGGCGAGATGTGCGCTGAACGCCGGTTTTTGCTGAACCTGTTTGCATCCATTCATGACTATGATGATAAGGGTGAGAGCACTGTCATTCGGACTATCCAGTTTCTGGGTTGGTTGGCGGTCCGCGCAGCGCGAATGCAGCGATTTGTGAATGCAAAAACACCAAACTCGACTGATAGTGACCGAAGCGGCAAACACCATCGTTATGAGTTATTGCTTGCGGTGGTGCTGCATGTGCTTGAGAGTTTATCGATCATCGAAAATCATGCTACATGGGATGTTATGGTGAATGCGTTAAAGATGCTGATATTGTCGCTGACGGATGTCGACGTAAATAAGATATTGGTGCCGATGTTCGCCCGACTCAGCATTAGTTCAAGTCCTACAGCACGAATTGTGCCTGTGGCACTTTTGCCGATGGTCTATCCACATGTACGTGGAGATGTACGCGTTCAGCTTCGTGGTATGCTGGACCGCATGTGCAACGACGACAATCCACTGGTTCGTCGCGCTGTAACTTCTGTTATTGGTGATCTGGCTACAGCGGGTGGTTCTCCTGTAGCTAGTTGGACGGTTCAATTGCTAGAAAAATCCACAGCAGATAGTCATGACATTGTTCGTATCTTTGCTGTGAAAGGCTGCATCACGCTAGCTACCACATTGCACCGGTTGCTGCTAGAAGACAACAGCATTTCGCAGAAGGAAGCTGAACAGACACTGCATCTACTCTATTGTCAGATGGTACCGATGGTGAACACATACACGTCAGATTCGTCTTGGCAAGTACGGCTGGAAGTAGCGCGTACTTTGCCTGCATTCTGCAGAGCATTTGGTTCGGAATATATTGACGTTTTTGTCGACCATTTCGTGTCGATGGTTGGTGATCCTACTGTTGAAGTTCGCCGTGCTTGCGCTGAAGGTGCTTATCTTCTAGGCAAGTCCCTGCGCGACTTAGCTATGGAACAAGCACTTGGTTTACAGCCAAAAGATAGTGCAAGACAAGATGAAGGGAATAAATTGAGCAGCGTGACTTCGAGCATAGGCTCTGAGTTTATGGTTGCAGCTCAAGTCAAGTTTGTGCGCAGCGTGTTGCCTGCAACATACCCTCTGTCAACCGATGTGTCCGTGGCCGTCAGGCGTGCGTTGGCTCAGTCTGTTGGCCGTTCACTGCAGTTCATTGGCAGTAACTACTACGATGAGCTGGTCCCTATTTTTACCCAGTGTTTGGACGAAAGCCAAGATGCTACTGTATCTGCGTCGCTTTTAGAAGAGATGGCCCGTTACTGTGATTGTTCGTCAGAGACGGTGAAGGCTCTGATTTTCCCAGTTATCCAGGCCCTGCGCACCTCAGTACAGTGGCGCGTGCGCGTCAAGTTTGTTCATTGCGTGGCTGCATGGGCTGAGCGTAATGATGGTGCAGCACTTCCTGGAGACTTTGCTGATGCGTGTTTAGAATTACTGGGTGATGCTGTTCATGAAGTTCGTGCAGTGGTGTGTACAAAACTTCCTTCTTTAGGGAAGTCGTTAGGTAGTGAATGGGTGGCTGAAAAGTGTGTGCCTCGTGTCTGTATGTGCCTCCAATCGACGTTCCATGGACGTCTCACTGGATTAATGGCAGTCGAGTATCTTGCACCAAAGCTACAGCAGATGGATCTATTAGGAAATGTGATCAAGATTGTGGTGGAGCAGTGTACGTCACAAACAGCAAACTTACGTTTTCGTGCATTGCGAACTCTTGGATTGATTGTTCCAAGATTGAATGATCTAAGCACGACGGAAAGTACGCTAGAGATTATTCGTCCTCTTGTTCTCGCTGAGACAGAGCCTGATCCAGATGTACGTGAAGTTGCAGAAGCTACACAGACATTACTTGAGACTGTGTTGAAATAGTGAATTGACTGCCTGATTGATTCATCCATAAGCTCCAAACGAATAAATCTTCTCCTTATGCGGCGATGCTGTCGAAATACTTTCATGATGAGCTGCAAATAAATGGGTAATAGATTTTATAGTTTGCTCATTTTTTGAATACTTAGAATATGTCGGTACCTTTCCAAAAATGGGTCTTATTTCTAAAATCCGCTGGACTTAACTCAACAATTAATTTCATTTTATTTCAAATGGAGACATATGTTACATTACGACTGTGTATTGCACAGCTCCATGGCTCAGCTGTGACGTTTCATAGGTACACACAGAGCTATAGAGTCTCTCATACCAAGATCAATCGAGTCCAAGTGATTGGATTGCTGGTCAAGAGATGCGATATGCAGCTTCAAATTGGTTTGATAAAAGATCACAAATTATTTGGATGTTTTTGACGTTTTTTTACCCTTTTTTACCTAAAAATGGGTACATACTGTATAATAGATGATGGTACAGGATTACTGAATGTCAAGGTTCCTCCAAATATCTTCCGATCAATGTGTCATAAGCTGCAATTAGGCTCTTTAGTGAGTATATCTATATATTATCGTTATTACCAAGTCAAAATAACTCTATAACAATCGGCATTTGTGTATGTAAATTTGTATATATTTGTTTTCTTGATAGGTGGAGTGCGTAGGAACTATCAAGGAAGTATCACCACCGTCGGAAAGAATATACACACGACGATGGCTGAATGCATTGCAGTAAGTTAAGAGGACTTTTCTTACAGGCTGTTGAATCAATTGATGGATAAATTGCTAATGTTATTGCTTGTACAGTATTTACGAAATACACGATCGCAACGTAGAAACGCTAAGGATGCTTGAAGTTATTTATCTGTAGGTTCTATTGCTAAAGATGACGTACACGATATTCAGTATGCCATTGCTCACCGACTCAATCTGTCTATCTCAACGAGGTACAAAACTGACTACGCTGTCCAAGGCTCTTCACCACCTGGTAATTTTGAGCTGCTTGCTTTTCCTCCGATAACCGAGAGCAGCACTACATTGATGACAGAAATGGATTCAGAGGTTACAAAACATCGTGTGAATGGTCATCAGTCTAATGAATCTGGAGCCTCTTCAACTCTTATTGAGAAGCCATGGGAACGGCAACGTGTCGGTGATCTTCATCTGGATGTTGGCATACCTCCTGCAGACTACCACTTTGCGGTGCCTGAACAAGATCAAGTATCGATCGAACAGGGACAAAAGTCGCTTGAAATTCGGTACGTTCAAGTAGCAAGAATCAACCGAGGCAGCAATGTTTATTCTTTTTTTTTCTGCAGATTGAACGTTGCTCCTTACTCCATCATTCACGTGAACGACCGGATTACCGTCAATGACAAAACGCCAACCGTTGTTGTAGCGGTTCGCAAATATTCTAGACTGCAATCCGTTTTGGAAGCTGAAAACATGAATGCACTGCTTCCACAATGTTCCTTCTTAAAAGCAGGGACTGTGGACGCGACAGCTGCTGCGGAACGTCATTATCGCCAGTTCTTTAGTGCTGAAGAGGAAAAGCGCTACGGTCTTGTGGTATTTCAACTAGCTGTTCCGCTTTTGAGTTTTTCTGCACCAAAATCGCAGGAAGCGTGGAGCTGTGAGTTGCAAACTTGGAGTTTTGTTTATTCAGCTACGGCAAGTTCAAGTAATGACTTGTTGTTCCGCTACCTCTGCAGCATTGGTTCTTCAGCAATTGGAGGCAAGAAACGATGTTGGATGCTCTGTAGCAGACCTCCGTTTTGCCTTTCCCACTCTGCCAGTTGATCAGATCATGGATATTCTTGCAAATGTGCGTCAGTTGTGTGTTGAGTTATTGATGGGCTTTGCTGACTGCGACTTGTGTACTCGTTTTGTAGTTGCAATTTGACGCTTTGGTTGTCCAGGTGAGCGATAAGTACCGTCTCGTGTGATACAAGGACACAATGGTATATAAAAAACTGGTCTGCTGCGTGTTGGGCTGTATTAATATTACTTCAAATAGCGACTGTGGATCCATGGATGTTTAAATGCATCTTCCAGTCTCATTCGATCATTCGGTTTTCGTTTGAGTAATCCGGCAATGAAGCTTTTTGCGCTATCAGAAACCAGTGGGCTCGGCGGGAAGTGATAATCAACGAGTTGGATTCGCGCATACATGTCCATCTGATTTGCGCAGTAGAACGGTGTTGAACCAACAAGCAGCTCATAAGTTAGCACACCCAGACTCCAAGAGTCGGTCCGATAGTCGTATGGCTCTCCCATCACCATTTCCGGACTCAGATAATCTGGAGTTCCGCAGAATGTTTTGCGAAAATTGTACGGTCTAGGTGCATGCACTGACCACCCAAAATCAGCAAGTTTGATGGTTTTATTGTACCCCAGCAGAAGATTTTCAGGCTGTGATAGACACGAAACAGAGATACGGTCAATTTTAAAATGTAAATAATGCAACTAGTCAGTCATTGATATTACCTTGATGTCCCGGTGAATCACGTTGCAGCTATGACAGTACTTTAGAGCTTCAGCTACCTGAGCCACATAATGTGCAGCCATGTCGTCGGAAAAATACTTTTCTCGGACTAACTCCTTGTAAAGTTCTCCATAAGGCGCATATTCGAGCACCAAATATACGCACGAATCGTCGTAAAAGTAGCCGTGCATGCGCAAAACGTTGGGGTGGCGAAGCCGCACTTGAATTTCGACTTCGCGCTTTAGATTACATGTATCTCCGTTACGCGACAGCGGTGACTTGAAAAGAACCTGATCACAAATTGCATCTTAGCAACATCACTCAACACGCATCTATCTACCTGAGCAGGCTTACCTTGAGAGCGACGGAAACGTTTGTGCACTTCTCCTTGGCCAAATACACGTTTCCAAACTTGCCTTGACCTAAGTTCTTTGTTACAATGAAGTCATCCACTTCCCACTTAGATCTTTCTGCCAGTCGCTTGCTAAGTGACTGAACGGACTTTGAATGGTCAAGTGAAGTGCGGCTAGAAACACTTTTGCGTGATCCCTCCAAATCCATGCTAGCCCTTGTTGGTGTCGGTGCTGGTTTCGATGAAACACGATCGGACAAATTGTCCAGCGCATCTTCGGGTCGCGCATTCTTCGTCTGTGTGTTTGAGCTATCACTGTCGTCTATGGTTGACACACGAACAGCTAGTGGCTCCTGCAGTTTTTTGTTTTCTCCCAGCGCAGGACTGGATTGCAATTCCAGACTATTATGACTTTTAATTTCGTTCTCTTTCCCTACAGCAGGGTGCGGTACACGAAGCACTGCACCAATACTGCCCAACGAGATCGTATCTCGCGACAACATATGTCCCTTTTCCTCTTTCTGCTCTGTCTTGTATGGTGATACTCGTTCAGCAGCTTCGTCGCTCTTTCTCTCTTGTTTTAGCACACTAATACGTCGTGGACCTGGCACAACTTTTGGCGTTGTTTCCTCCGTATCTCCATCCATCCCACCATCATCACCACTTTCGTTTTCCATTGGTGGTTGCGTGGGTGTCAGCACTCGCTTTGCTCCACCAGCCAAGGACGGTGCATTGGAGATTGGAGAGATGTAACTCCGTCTTCTGCGTCTTTCCCTTCGATCCACTAGTACACCACTTTCCACACTATCAAATGAGGTTGTAGAAGTTGTTTTATCAGTCTCTGCTTCAGTATCGCTTCTCGTCTTTGCTGGAGTCTTGAACAGCAGTTCCTGTCCCTTTTCCTGCTCGTTAATTGGCGCCAATGGGTTTAAATCACGCGCTATTCTACGCGCAGTAATCAGCGACATTGTTCTCTGTTTATCAACAACATTCATACGCTCTGGTGGTCCTCGAGTGGATCTAATATAGCAAATAATAACCTTTTCAGATGGCAAGTGACGCATTTAGAATGGATAAAACATTATTATTGTCTGGCTGTTACCTGTGAGTAATGACACGACGTGCTGGACGAGAGACTTTCTGACTAGTCATATGGACATTATTCTCTTCTTTCTGTCGACGTTTTTCCTCACGCCATCGCTCGAGTGCTAGCCGTCGACTATCTGCCATGTCCTTGATTGATTCAGATTACGACTGCGCGGCAAGAAGTCAATCTTGCCTTCTGGCGTTTCTATATCGAACTTTCAATTTCTAATTGATAGCGCAATAATTCAAGTTTCTGGACCAAGAGTCACAAAAATCTCAATAGAAATACCACATTATCTCGTTCACTTTGTTAAATTAGGATTACGTTGGTCCTTTCTGACCAAATATAAAATCTTAATTTAGGGATTTTCAGAGCTCGCCCAGTCTACGTTTCAAAAAGTCTCGAATGCTGACGCAATGGCCACTTACTCCGGTGTGGTTTTCCTGTGGATTCTTGGTTAGAAACACACTTGTCTTGGTCTTCTAATGTTGCAGTATGATACATATCAGCAGATGTCTGCCACTTTCGCATTGCATAGTCATTGAAATGCTTCCACACATGCTCAAACATACTGGCATATGGATCCTCTTGATCCATTGAGGGTGGAGGATGAAGGACAGGAGGTGGTCCAGGAACCGGTGGTGGATCTGTTAGTGTGCCTCTACTTCTTTCATCTTGACGCTGCACAACTTTTTTCAGCTGTGAGATCATCGCATTTGCTCGAACTTTGCTGTCTAATCCACCGACACATGTCTCCACATGGTGTCCATCCTCTAACGTTGTTGCAAATCGAAGGCTATACGATGGATTGCCGTGTACAGCGTTCGCTTTTACTGACATACGAATCTGAGGTATCACGTTTGCTTCATTCACATTCTCTTGGCCATTCTCTGGTTCACTGTCAACTTTCACGCTTTGCAGGTCGCGCGCCATTCTGGAATTTGACTGCCACCTCGTTTCACTCGTCAACACGGCAGGAGGAATAACCACAGCACTCTGAATCCATTTGGACAAATTGTCGCTGTGATGCTTCACATCAAAACCTCGTGGTTGCAGCGAAACGAATTCGGGGAGAATCAATCTTGCTAGCTTGTCCTTGAGTACTGCCTCCTTGTCTAGCAACGCTGTAACGGTGTCCACCGTTTCGGAGCATGAATACGGGTGTTGATGCTGGAAAAGCTGCCAGTTGAAGCCAACAAGCATTTCACGCGTAAATGCTTGCACATTCGCTTTTGTTGGAAGACATACTGCATGTTGCTCTAATGCGTAGTCTTCGACCAGCTGTGTCATATACTCTTCAATAACAATGCCCGTGGCAATTGCAGCTGAGTCTTCAAACGTTCCAATCAGCTCCCTTATATTTGATGTCTTGATGCTTGCCACATACACTAGATAATCTACCAGATCCTGTTACATGTAGCGAAAACCAGTCATGTTAGTGTCCGTAAGATATAGAGGAAATTGTACGCGTATACGTACGTCAGGTGGCATCGCAGCGTTTCGGTCTGTTAATCAGCAACAACATACATCACAAATAACGCTGTAAGTCTCGAATTCACGTGCATTGCGATGACTAGAATTTCCGCAAGATTCATGCAATCTACCATGTTCAAACACATAATTCTCCAGTCCGCGGCAGATCTCATCTTGCATTGCCTCACTGATGAACTGTTGAATCAACGTATGCGATGCTGTTAGTCTTTGTAGGCTAGACAAAAAAGTAGTATACGACGAATAACTTACCGCAGCAGGTGATGGACGGCATCTAGCTCGTCCATTTCGAGGCTCGATGCCCTCTAGTAGCGTGCAGCCTTCCGACCGAAATAAATCGTGATACGAGGCCGGACGGTGTTCAGCATCAACCATTCTCGCGGTCATCGTGCGCGGAATGACACTTTTAATGTTGGGAAAGAGTACTTCTGAGCCCGGCCCGTCGTCCAATCCATCATCATAGTCACTTTCCAATCCTTCATCGCCAAGAAACGTTGTGACCTTCTTGCTGCGATAGATATTATCACTCGTCGGAAAACCTGAAGCTCGCTTTATGCGCCGGACACGCTCAATCTCCTTTAGCGCTTTTGCTTCCTTCTCCTTTGTAGCAGCAGCTCCTCCATGACGATGCGCAAGCACAAAGCAGCTGCATACTGCCTTCTCTTCTTCCTTTGTGAGCTCTATGTCAAGTTCTGGGTGTCTCTTTATCCATAAAAATCTCTGGTGCAGGACACAGCGACAGTGGCTAAAACCATGTGGCTGTCGGCAGCCATGACAAAGTCTGCAGCGCATCAAAGGGTCAATCAAAGTACAACTACAGGCACGTGACTCTTGACACAACGCACGACGCCGACGTCCAGTCGATCCACAGATACAATGAAGCTCCACGCATCGGCTGCAGGACGAACAGGCTTCAGAACTCGAGCAGCCGCAACGAGGATACGATAGAGGCTCCGGCTTGCGGCCCAACGGTACTCGAATAGAAGCAGCAGTTTCTTCGAGTTCAACACCGTGTTTCTTGATATATCTGGCCAAGTATGCCATACGGTCTTTACCCGGTTTCCTGGCAAGAAATTCCTCGCGATTCATACCCTTGGGCCAGATGAAATTCGTCGGCACCGTCTTCTGCGGCGCACGTTTTGGTTCAAGTCCATGTTTCTTCCAGTAGTTGTCCATCAACTCTTGACGCTCTCTGCCTGGCTTTAGCGTGTAGTAAGACTTGGTACTTACACCTTTAGGCCACCATCCCTTGCGTTTGGGACGATCGGTGGTTGTTATCGTAGTGGGCGGATGGGTCCTGGTAACGGGCGTATTGGAATCAGCTGGTAGCCAAGGCTGATGAATTATCGCTGGAGTGGAAGACACAGCAATAGGGCGGCTCTTTACGCCGTGCCATTTTCTAAAGCGTTTTAAATACGCCTGACGTTGCTTGCCGGGTTTCAAAGCACGGAGCAACTTGTGATTAATATGCTTGAGATGCTTGGGATATTCCGAATCTCCACGACGTCTAGCAGAATCTACAGACGCATTAGCTTCTATCAAAGACGCATCAGGAGTTGCCGCACTGCCATCCGACGCAGTCGTGGCCTCAGACGTCGGTCCATTCTCAGCGTCTTCCTCCTCCATTTGTCTTGTAAAATGTTTTTCAAGGTATATTATCCGGATATTATCCTTTTTATCTGTAGCAATTTGTTCAAAACGACAAAATCTGGATTTTATTCTCAGTCTCTTTTGTCGTATTACGCTGGACAATGGAGAATATTAAAAGAGGAAAACTCAAGCTCAAGAATGGCAGTAACCTCAAGGTCGTATCTAAGCACAGGAAGAACAAGAAGAAGATGATGAAACATCAAGAGATAGAAGAAGAAAAGCGCTATCATGAAGACAAGAGCGACGATGTGGACGTGGATGAAATGACCCCAGCACAACGCCGACATGCTGAACACCAGAAGAAAAGAGTATGGTCACTTTTATTGTTCTTTAGTGTTTATATAACCATCATAGGACTAATTGTATTGATGTTATATCCTATAGGAGCAAGAGGATATAAAAAAGCTAGCGTCAAAGACGTACAGAGAGCGCATTGAAGAGCTCAATCAGCACCTCGGGAGTCTCACAGAACATCACGATGTGCCTCGTGTAAGTTCTTTTCTATTGTGTATATAATGATGTTGTATTGTGCGTTGCTGAATGATTGTGTATGTTGCTGAATAATGCACAGGTATCAGCTGCTGGCAATGGTTAAGGTGTTGTTTTGATCGATCATGGAGTGTACTAGTCATCACATACATAATGAAAGGACATTGGCCATTGACAAACATTGTATCGTAGATACACGTTTAATCTTGACCCACATTACTGCCATCCTGTTACATACTTGGCATTCATCTGTACGTTTTAATCTAGTGGCAGTAGCTATGCATCGTTGTCGTCCGATACAAGTGCTTTATACGCGATGCACTGCTCATTTGTCGACCAGTTGCGCTGTCTTGTGTCGCCGCAGGAGAAGTACAACTCACACAGATGAGTACTCGTGCTGTGACAGTCCATTGGGGATGATTTCTTACATCGAACCTCCTGCACCAACCCACCCAGTTCGTCCACCTCTGGAACGATATCTTTCCTGGGCTTCATTGTCAAAACGTAATCGCGAACATCCCGAGACGTGATGTCGAAGCGTCCAAGTGAGTAAAGCAACCCTGGTCCAGAGAAGGACACGGCGCTTGTCTTAGTCTTGGCGCCAATCATGGCAGCAATAGATCCACCTAGACTATGTCCAGTGATTACAAGGTTGTCCCCAACGCGAGCACGTGTATCTATAGCATGGTTTAACACGTCCGTATACACGGGCGACGGCATCACGCTCGAGATGAGACGCATGGACAACAATTTCACTACAAAAGCGCGAGGCAACTGCTTGAGAAGCGGCACAAAAATGTCCGCTGCCTGCATAATGCAGATGCCAAACCAAAAGTGCAAATCCTCGAGAGCCTCTGTCGCAGAGGCTGTACCTCTAATTGCAATGACCGTCATATTGACTACTGGAAAGTAAATCTCCATCCACGTTTGTCCATCCGTAATCTCATTGTTGCGTGCCATGTATTTCCAGTCATCTAACTCGGTTCCATTGAAACGATTTTCAAGTGCAGATTTCTGGATATCCGTCGTGGAGCCATAGGCAGCGTCGGCCACGAGCGCTAAATCCAGCACGGAAAGTCCTTGATAGGTTATGCTACAAGCCGCGTACTCAGATGTATCGTCAAAGCTGATCAACTTTCCATTAATGGTGACTGAAGCTGATACACCATGGGTGGCTTTGAGCGCGCTGGTTACCAGTTCAGTAGAATTGTCAAATGCACCCAGCTTAAATCCACCACCATACACAAAAGTGCCGATGATGAAAGACGACGAAAAGAAAATGAGTGATACGACGACGAAAGCCGAAATGAATTTCCGGAACGCTTGACCGAAAATCTGCGGAAAGCGTCGTTGTACGACAGAGCTCAAGAAAATAAGACACGCACCCATTACAGGCCATCCGATAAAAAATGATTCCAACGAAAGCAGCGCTGACCCGACCACGAGCACCAACAAAATCATACCACGGACGTTTAGAGATAGATGGTACCACGGGTTGCGTGCACGCACCCATACTCGAAATTTTCGCACTTGCTGGAGACGCGAGACATAGACAGAAGTAGCATGAGATCGGTCAGCAGTCGCACTTGATTCTACGCCAGCGCCAGCAGAAGCTGTCGAAATTTGATCAGGGCCTCTAGGTACTGTAATTGCGATTGTGATCTCATCGACAGGCATCTTGTCTCTTTTCTTGTCTTCCTTCAGTTTGTTACAACAAAACCAAACAGCAAGCCCCACGTGATAAACAAAACGAAAACCAACAGCCAACAGCCGCAAGTGTTCGGCGCGCTTCTCTTGCTCGATAGCTTTAACAGTACGGCGCATGATACGCTTTCGACGGCGATAATTGCTTACAAGAACGCGCATTTTGCCATTACGGCTGCTCCAAAAGTGCACTATCATCCACAGCGCTAGATACATGCTGACACAACAGAAGCCCATCTGCACATAGGCCAAAAAAGCACCCGAGATTGACCAAGTTGTGACAAACTTAATAACCATCGAAGATGCCGTCACTACCTCAAAAAGAAAAGGACACACAATGTCTACAGCAATAAACGTCGATAGATCGATTGCTGGTCCTTCGTCCTGCACCTTTTTGATACGAAGAGTGGTTTTCACGGTTGCTTGCACGCGTTTCCATCGGTTCATCGCAGGCTGCTTCGATGGGCTCTGGCTGACATCCGAAAGCCTCGATACACGCGCTTCCATCGCATCCGCAGCCTCCTGTTGCTTCACTGAAGCCGCTTCCTCGCGTATCCAGACTTCATCGTCTTCTTCCTTGTCATCGTCCAAGTATGGGTCATTCTTTGCCTCTAGCAGCAACGACCCTTTTGTTTGAAGTATCCCGCGACGAATTGCACTCGTTTGACTTCTCTGTAGCTCATCGTCTTGTGTTTCGTTCTCTTCATGTACTCGATCATCTAATTCTTCCGGTCCAATTAGCTCTGTTCGATGGCGTAAATAATGGATCACTACAGCTAGCGCCAGTCGAAAATTTGGAAGTGAGCCATCTGACTTGTTGAGTGCATCCAAAAAAAGTCTCGAGGCTTCTTCAAAAATGTAGGACAGGAAAAACAGCACTACCGGTAGTAGCACTAAGAAAATTATTGCTCGTAGTGTGTAATACTCGTCAAACTTTGCACTTGGGAGAAAAATGGCAAAGAAAATCTCCATCAGCAGCGTAAAAGAAAACATGAGCACCATCATGACCACGAGAAACGACAAGTAGCTGAAACGGACTTGACAAAGCATGCGGTAGAAACGCCATTGGCCAGCAGCTTGATCATAGACACGCAGCTCCTCCTCTCTTCCTTCAACTGTTGCTAAGATACGATCTATTTGCTTGTACGTGTTTAGTAGATGACCATGTAGAGGACTGGGTGAGACTTCAAATTGCCCATGTGCGATCTCTAACGAGACAGAAGATGTACGCCCACGACGATTGACTTCTAACGTGGGTACGTCTTTACTTGGATTAGGTCGAGTAGTCATGCACAGGGGGGGTATTTCTTAGTAGTGATAGATGTACTAATATTGGTATGGAAACGGCTGTAAACAGCTGTTTTTCTGATCATGATCATTACTATTTGAAACTGCATATGACCTCTTCACTGGTCTAATCAATAATGAGAATTGCGTTATCATAATTAGAATTATTCATTCTGAGAGGTTCATATTGTTGAAAGAATCGAATGACATTGTCACAGAATAAGGTGATGCATGTACAGCTACCAGAGCTAAGTGGTCACTCACGCAAGGTATACGCACTGGGATTTAACTGTGATGGATCGATGCTAGCGTCAGGATCCAATGATCGTAGTATTCGTATCTGGAACCCTCTCACCGTAAGCTTTCGTCTTGAATTTCTTCAAGGTTTACACGACTTTAGTCAGTTTATTGTATTTGTTTCTGTGTATATGAATTTGTGCGACCCGTTAGGAGCGAGAGTTGATGGAGATGAGAGGTCACTTGGACTCGATCTTGTCTCTGGCATGGGACCCTATGACGCCCCACCGCCTTGCCAGCACGAGCGCCGACAAGACCGTCCGCTTCTGGGACGCCAAGACTGGCCGTATCGTCAATAGCGTGTCATTACCCAGCGATGCTGTTAACATCGCATACAGTCATGACGCCAAGTACGTTGTGGTGGGCAATCTAGACTGCATTACGCTCATTGATACGCGCAAAGCGCGCGTCGTGAGACGGGTAGTGAACCCTTTTGAGTCGTTTGAGATGCAGTTCAGCAAGTCCGGCTTCCTGTTCGTCGCAGCTGGTCATGCGGCCGGTTTTGGCACCTTTGAGATCATGCGAGTGGTTACTGAGAAAAAGGGAAATCCTAATCTGATTAGCGCGCACAAGGTGAGTTTATTTCTGATAGTTTACAGTTAGCAGATGTAGTCTTTGTTGAGACTGACTCTGTTGGGATTGAATTTGAATAGGTTACTGCACATGCGGGAAGCTGCGTTTGCTTGGACTTGCACCCGTCGGGAAGGTAAAGACTGCGTGCGATGCATCTTGTTATTCACCACTGCCATGTAGATGCTGACGAAATAGTATACACTTGTATCCACTCAGATACTTGGCTTTAGGCGGTGTGGACTCGCTCGTGAGCCTTTGGGACTTGGAGGAGCTCTACTGCACCAAAACGTTTGTTGTCACAACGTACGTAACTACATCTACCTCATTGAGCAAAAACAACGAGATTGCTTACACTACGCGTGGTATGGTAATGACAGATCGGGCATTCGGTTTGTTCGCTTTAATCACGACGGCAATTTCTTAGCAATTGGCATGGACGACCCCAATTTGATTGTGTTGGACGCAGCAAGCGGCGAGGTAGTCATCAATCTGCAGCTTCAAAACACCCTACAGAACTTGAGCTGGCATCCTAGCAAAAACCTGTTGGCTTACGTTGGTGACAAGGCTTTGAGTGAAAAAAACGCCAACCGCGATGGTGTAATCAAAATGATCGAGATAAAGGAGTAGCTTGATGGGAGAATTGGCGCGTACATTTTTGCCACGGTCAACAAGCAGAAGCAGTCGCACAGCAGCAACACGGAAGAAGAAAGAGAGAGATCTCATCGTTATCGTCTTGTGAAGGCGATATTGCCATCTGGAGCTCAGGTTTTTATTCTTTTTGTAGTCTCATGGAACTTGATAGCTAGCGGATGTAGTGTTGCATTTGAAGGGACGTGTCGAGATAACTTCTAAGTAGCAACTGCATTTGCTTAATCGCTATTGACATAGTTGTGACGCAACAACGTGTCGGTATTGTCTGTAACCTTCTTGTATTTCGAGCAAGGATAGACACGCGCATTGTGATTCACAGTATACATGCAATCCTTCGTTAAGGAATATAACCGATTCAAGGCTGCACTATGCAGCTAAAGAGGTCAACACATGACAAGCATCTGCTTGTTATGACGTGATTGATGCGTCTGAAGTGAAGTTGACTTTGGGTGAAGTAACGCCTAAGTTGCAGAGCGGTCTTTACTTTCAGTTGACAATAAATTATAAAAGAAGTAATGGTGGCAACTGCAAGCGATCCAAACTGTGTGGAGCCAGCATGCGCCGACAAGATGGAGTTTTTCAAGACGTCAATAGGCAAAAAGACTAGAAAAACATCTACACAAGAATCTACACATGTCAACGATTGCCCATTAGATCGACAGGAACTGGGGAATGCCACTTGGGGACTGGTATGTGAGCATTTCTTGACAATGAATGTATCAGCCCTGCATTGAAGTTGACATGCTTGTACTTGTTTGCAGCTGCATTCGATTGGAATTTACTATCCAAACAATCCATCAGTAGAGTACCAAGCTAAGGCAAAGACCTTTATCGAGGCATTGGCACTGATGTATCCGTGCGTAGATTGTGCCCAAGATTTTCAAAACGAGGTTGCCAAGTCTCCACCACGGTAAGTTTTGATGCACGGGGCTTTATTCATATGACTATCTGCAATTGCTTTACATTACATGTCGGTCTAACACGTCGGATGCGCGTTGTGTGTTCTTATCTAGCGTGGAGTCGCGCACAACTTTCTCAATGTGGCTGTGCGAGCAGCACAACATTGTAAATCGTAAGCTTCACAAACCTGTGTTTAAATGCACAATGACGAATCTAGAAGAGCGATGGCGAAAAGGCAAACCATCGTGCTGGGGCAAAGACGGTGACGAAGATTCTGCTCAGGACTCTCTGGGTAAAGAGTAACCTGCAGAACTGGGTAAGAAAGTAACAGTACAAAACAAGTCATGTACATGTGAACGCTACTTGTACTTTATCCAGCTTTCTACAATGTTACAAGACAAAGTTGAAATGCGTTCATTTCAATCCAACAGCACTGTTAGAGCTCTTCAAGCTTTGACATCTTGCTGGGTTGTGGGCAGACTATTCAACAGTTTGTGTCAATAAATATATCTTGCCATGCAGTCAGCAAGTACATTTTGATAAATGCTTACCTTGTAATATGCCCGTGCACATTCGCTCCTTTGCAGGCGTAAAGTCATCAAAAAAGAGGCGCGTCAGCTCCTCCTCGTACTCACCAATGAAGTCATTGCACTGCAAACATGTGCAAACGAGATATCTCATCAGCAACAGAAGCCAAATGTGAACCAGAATTGATTCGTTGCACGATACGTACCGCAGCACTCAGCATTCGCTTGGTACTGTGGTTGCTGGTCGGAAACTTGAGCGGGATCTGCTCGCACACGTCATCCAATACCTCGAGAATACGAGCCTATCGTAAAGACAATGCAGCAATACAGGCATCGAGGGTCAAGCCATTAACGTGGTATGAAAGACGCCACGAGTCATACCTCACTGCGAGAATACTTGATCTGCTTCTTCTCCTCACTAATACGAAAGACAACATCCATATTGTAGTCGTTCTGCAGCCATGTGATGAACATACATGCCGTTACATCATGATCCTATCCGTTCCAATCATCACTGCTAGGAAGCGGCGAATCGATAAGAACACTGACCTGCGTATTGTTCAGCTGCGTTTCGACTTCAAACACGATCGACTGACAGACTGCAAGTCAACCGAAATCCAATGCAATTGATCTTGATCGTTAGCATACAAACTCAATAGATACTCGTATAGATAATACATACTGCAGCAAGATGCAGGTTGACTTGTGCCATCGCAATCAAGCTGTTCGTGACCAGCGGCATTAAATCGCTTGGAATGATCCCATCTGTTGTAGCAATTAATTTACATCATCATCATCATCACAATCAGCAGCAGCATTAGCAATGTGACACTCGCAGCAAATGCACATGATGCAAGCAATCCATTCTCGTACTTTTCTGTCCATCCAAATACTGCAGGAAGAACAGTCACGGCGGCAAATGCCAATGTCTTCATTCTCACGTCTACTCGGAGTATATACAACGTCTGACGCGTAAGCAGTAATCCTTTTCAAACCGATCTCAGGGAATCGTATCGATTTTTCTTATCAAACGTTCTAGAAAACGCCTCGGTGCGTCACACGTGGAAGCAAGTTGACTTGATTTTCCTACTGTAAATATTGTGGAAAGTTCATGATAATTGGTCTTCTGTTGACATGAATATTTGGCGTCCGCAGTAATTTCATCGTTTCATTTTCAATTTTGCCAACAATATCGCAAGTAGAGATCGCAAAATGATTGGACATCGTCGCTCGTTCCTGTTGCTGTTGCTAGGGACTGTCACTTTGTACTATAGTACATTACTACCAGGCAGCTATGCTGAAGTAGCTACGGATACTGAGAATGTACAGGGGTATGTGATATATCACGCTCTCTATCGTTGTTGTTTCTGTACTTGTCACACTTATATCCCTATGGTTGTTTGATGTCGTGTTTACAGAAACAATGCGCCGAGTCTGCACGTGGATGAGCTGCAGGACAAGCCTATTACTGGTGGTGAAACATATGCATTCCAAGCAGAAGTCTCACGTCTTATGGATATCCTCATTAACTCACTGTACCGGACAAAAGAAATATTTCTGCGCGAGCTCATTTCGAATGCCTCTGACGCGCTGGACAAGATTCGCTTCCTGACATTGTCTGACAGTGAACTCCTTGGCAAATTGCGAGATTTGGAAATCCGCATCAGCTTTAATAAGGACGCGCACACGCTCACGATTCGAGACACGGGCGTAGGTATGACTAAGGATGACTTGGTCAATAACCTTGGCACGGTAGCCAGATCTGGCACGGCCAATTTTGTCGAAGCTATGCAGGCTGGCACTGATGCTACCAACCTGATTGGTCAATTTGGTGTCGGCTTTTACTCTGTTTATCTTGTTGCTGACCGCGTTCGTGTCGTGAGTAAGAACCACAATGATGATCAATACATTTGGGAGTCAGATGCCAATGCGTCCTTTACGATTGCCAAGGACCCGCGTGGTGATACGCTCGGCCGTGGTACGGAGATCACGTTGTTTTTAAAGCCAGATGCCACCGAGTTCCAAGACCAGGACAAGCTGAAGAGTCTCCTGGGGCACTACAGTGAGTTCATCACATTCCCCATCTACTTGAACATGAGCTCGACGGAGTCGTACGAAGTGGAGGAGGAGCCAATTGATGACGAGAAGGTTGATGAGAGCGAGGCAAAGGACAGTGAGACCACTGACGATGACGAAGAACTGGAAACTGCTGAAGAAGATGGTTCCAAGACTCCAAAGGTCCGCAGTGAGACCCGCACGGTGTGGAACTGGACACGTGTAAATGAAGTTCAGGCCATTTGGACGCGTCCTAAGGAAGACATCAGCGACAAAGAGTACGAAAGCTTCTATAAGTCGATGCAGAAAACGGACAGCACAGATCCACTGACGTGGATCCATTTCCAGGCGGAAGGAGAGATTGAGTTCAAGTCAATCTTGTACTTGCCTGGTCGGGCTCCTCATGATCTGTATACGCGTTTTCAAGATATGAAGGCGGATATCAAGCTATACGTCCGCAAGGTGCTCATCACTGACGATTTTGATGACTTTTTGCCACGGTACCTGAATTTCATTGTTGGTGTTGTGGACTCGGACGACTTGCCAATCAATGTTTCTCGCGAAACGCTACAGGAGAACAAGATTTTGCGTGTTATCCGTAAAAAGCTTGTGCGCAAGGTGTTGGAAATGTTGCGAAAGTTGGCTGAAGACGACGAAAGCGATGATGATGATGAAGGAGAAGAGGACAATGAAGCGGCGGATACTTCGTCCGATGCTGAAGTGTCCGGCGAGAGTGCAAATGAAACGAAAGATGAGGAAGAGGACGTAGATGGTAATCCGTCATACACGAAGTTTTGGGAACAGTTTGGCAAGAGCATCAAGTTGGGTGTGATAGAGGACGATGCCAACCGCGGTAAGCTAGTGAAGCTGCTACGCTTTGTGACCAGCGAAAGTGGTAGCAAGTGGACGTCTCTGGAGCAATACGTGGACCGCATGAAAGACTGGCAGGACTCTATTTACTACATTGCTGCCGAAAGCGCTGAAGCCTGCGAGAATTCGCCATTTATGGAGAAGATGCGCGCTAAGGGTCTGGAGGTGATATATTTTGTCGAACCTCTGGATGAGTATATGGCGTCGCGCATTTCAGAGTTTGATGGCAAGAAGTTGGTATCGATTACCAAAGAAGGTATCAAATTTGGTGATGACGACGCGTCGCTTATGGCGAAGCGCGACAAACTATATGCAGACAAGTATGCAGCCCTCACTTCGGCTCTGAAGAAGCTTTACGGAGACAAGATATCTCGTGTCACTATGTCGCAGCGTGTAGTGAAGTCGCCAGCCGTCATGGTCACCTCCCAGTGGGGCGCTTCGGCTAACATGCAGCGCATTATGAAGGCACAAACCTTTGCTAAAGGTGAGCGGATGCCGATGCAAGGCGTTGGATCTGCAATCCTGGAGCTAAACCCGCGTCATCCAATTATTTCGAAGCTGGACGAGCTGATGACAAGCGATCCTGAGAACGAAGAGATCAAGGACCTTGCTTGGCTGCTCTACGACACTGCTCTTGTTAACTCTGGCTTCGATTTAGTTGACACCAACCACTTTTCTTCACGCATCCACCGCATCATGAGAAGTAGCATGGGCATCGAGAGTCTAGAGCTGGAGCCTGAGATCGAAGTACCCGAAGACAATGAAGAAGAAGCAGCTGACGAAGAAGAGGACACTGAGAATCTGGACGAGCAGCCTGCTGCGGAAGCCGATGATCTCGATGAAAAGGATGAATTGTAGGGCGAGGGTGCCTTGAAAGTAGCTTCGACCGTAATGCGTTCATCCACAGATTACGCGTAGCTTTGTAGATGAGGGATCCAGTTGGAGCATTCAATACGTAGGCCATTTTGTCTAATCTTTGGATGCAAAACAAGCTGCTTGCACACTTCGCTTATCACCCGCCCACTGGTTCCTGCTGAGCTTCAGCAGGCTTAATCGAGACTGGCATCATTGCTGAACGCATGACAACTGGTTTGCTGCTTGCTGCGGAGGCAAGTTTCGAACCCTATTTTCGCTTACGGCGCTTCTGCTTGTATCATTGTGTAGCTCACGCGTAAGGCGCTCGAATTTCAGCGACTTCAAGCCTTGATTATCTATCACCAGAATCGCATATACCTCTTGGTACAAATCCTGTCTTCTCAGGAGCTTCTTCCTCCACAAAAATCTACTGTTTGATTCATCTGAACTAACTCGTACGGGCTGGGTCGTTTACTAACCTGTTGTCCAGCTCCTTTTTTGACCAAGTCGTCACCATAGTCGTAAAATGCGAAGTACACGCCAATAACGGCATAACTCACGCTTCAGCATCAGCTCGGCCCATTGGTGGTTGGAAAATGTGGAATTCGCGCTTGAGATCGGCCGGTTCAGCTTCTGCAGGCACAGCTCAGTAGTGTACACTCGTCATTGCGTCGATGGTAAGGCGTGCCTAGGATATCACTGTCATTGATACTCTTTGGACTGCTCTGAGCGTTGTCCGCCGCCATATGAGCCCTCCGTGTCCTGTTTTTTGACAGTTTCTTCGTTGTAGTCAGTAGCGCTCGCAACGAGATAGCTCACTCTTGTGCTACTTCTCGTCCTGCTCTCTTCTTGCTTTTTCGTCAGCGCAACATCTACAGCATCAACGTCTTCCTTAAGCTTTCAATCTGGTACGTGTGATCATTAATCTGCACAATTTCATCTTGCTGCCAAGATTATGCTCACGTAAACGCAAAACAAAGCATTTCTGCGTGGTCCCGCTTGCGCCTATAGGCTTTTCCGTGGCCGTATGTCCCCGCTTATCTGCTCCACATTCTTATCATTTGCTCCTTGCGTCGCAGCTCGCGCTCCTCTTCTACTGCCTTCATAGCGAACTACTCCTTCAAAGCTTTGACATCGTTGTTGTGATGCAGTCGTGCTGTCTATTTCACTCAAAGAAAGATGTAGCTGTTGCATTCACTCATGATCAAATTTGGAATAGCTTCTGCATCCCTCGTTTGCACGCATTGTTCTTCCTCTGCGCACGCTTCCTCCAACATACTTTCTTGGTCAGCAACAAGTCCTGTGCCTTGCTTCTTAAGCCGACCAAGAGTGACACATTCTGGTGGATGGTCTCGTTTGCATGCCTCTATTTCTTGGTGAGACACATCCACCATTTGCCAAACCTCTGCAATTTCTGTAGTAAGACCATACCAGTAAAATCTTTCTGTAAGCTTCAGCGCTATCTGCATCTTAGCGGCATGTCAGCAGTTCTGCACCCCATTCAAAAACTTTTGAGCATGCTTCTCTCCTGCATACTAGACTCCACAGTGTCGAACGCAGCTTCGCACTCGACGTGGAAGCTCCACACTTATATTGCCTTTCACATTCTGCTAGCACTTCCTGAAAATCACCAATGTAGCTTCAATCTAGTCTTCTGTCAGGCAACAATGTTACCGACCCTCCTCCCAATCTGCTCGTGGTTCCGCTCTACTAGCTCGATTAGCTAAAAGTCTTTTGACTAAATGGGCGGCGCTTCAGATTCCTGCTACACCACGTTCTCTTCCAGTTGATCAACTCATATCTAGATCTCTCATCGTCTTTGGACCATACTACCTCTTATATTGCAGAGCTCGATGATGAAATGGCCGCGATCTGGATTTGGGTTTGTGGCACAAGCGGATATGATGCTTCAACACCCCAAAACAACAGGGACAAACAATTTGAGTGAACATGCCACATCAAGTAGGTAGCATGAGGAGACAAAGAAATTAGCTACTGATACGTGTGGATTGACAAGTTGGCTGGATACTGATCATGGGCTTCGTAACTTCTACTGTTGCACATCCCAAATCTCAGCAAAAAGTTCAATGACATCACCTAAGCGCATACGCTGCGGCAAGTCAAAAGTCCTGCGCACAGACGACAATCCGTCGAACAGCAAATGAGCAGGTACTGGAGGCGGGCGTGGTGGACTGATGTAACAAGAAATACAACCAATCGTTACACGTCCATTCAAACCGACACCATAACACTCTACACTCATCAATCAAACAATAAAACGCACCGCGCCTGTGTGGGAGCAAGCCATATCGCACGTGACTCCTGCCATGTGCGCAGACCGACGTTGAGGAAAGGTCCGTTGCGGCCTTGAGGCCACCATGGGTCAGTATCGCTAGTAGCCGTAGCGACCTGAAAGCGATGCAAGTGCTGTAGAAACCAGTCCAAAATTTCTGCAATTGCCTGCGTAGCCGCATCTTCATCCGTGATGTTGGAGAATGCGAATCCACTCTGCTGATTCACAAACAGCGACGCCTTGAGCGCTGTTACCGCCTGCGAGCTACCCGCACATGAGCTCAGCAGCGTCTGGTACTGCACATGACCCACACATCAACAGTATTCATCACATTAGTATCGATCCCGGTCCAATTGTAGCGCTGTGAGCAAGAAATAAACCGTACAGCTTCGGATGCAGCATAGGATGATTTCTCTCCCAATTGCAGTAACACTGGAATGATCGACGGCTGTGATACATCAGCATTTTGGTCTTCTTTGAATGGTTTCCAGGACACAAGACCTTTAGGACACATAGCGACGACGCAATCCATTGGCGCTGATTGTTCCATAGCTACCTTTATAGCAAGATCTGCACCTGCACCTACTCCACAAAGCCCGACACGTTGTATATCATGTTTTTGCTTCAGATATAGTGCTGCCTGTTGTATAATAGCCACATGCTTTTGTATCGTGCTATCTGTTAAAGCCACATTCCCTTCTTGAAACAAATCCAATACTAGCACTTTATAGCCCTGTTCTGCTAATTTATCAGCAAAAGAAATGGTCGTCAGACCAAAACGATGCGTCATATCAGCATGATCAATGATCTCAGCAGCATCCGTGGCAAATGCGCGACTCACGGGGCTCTGTTCAGCTACAAACACAAGACCAGTGACGACGCGACCAATGTGCGATGCTGGTGCGACAAAATACGCATCCTGCAAACGAATTTCAAGAGGTAAAGGGTCGATGTTTGATACAGATGAATGGTCGAGAGGGAATTGTAGTGTCAAGCCTGCCCCTGCGTACAGGAAGCGAGGACGTACGATACTAGAGACACTCATCTATCTAAGTCGTGGCGCTAGATCGGTTTACCAATAATTGGTTTAAGGAAATTATATATATACTCAATCGATATACCATTATTATATTGTTATATTGTACAATATATAACGCAATTGCAATTAATTGATGAGCCACGTCACTGGTCGATTTGTTGCTGATTAAGAAATTGAAAAATCCATTCAGAAACAGGCAGTTGCTATTTAAGGGGACCGACTAGTTGATGTGTTCTCTACGTTTTTGTATTACTCATTCTAGAAGAGGCCACGCGTTGGATTAAACAACAAGTGGAGGAGGTATAAACAAAGCCGTTAAGCAGCAGTAAAGAATATGAGCACGAAAGAGGTTGTCGCTACATCGGAGACTGTGTCTACGGTATGAATTCTCTTGTGTGTTTTCGATTGATAATGCTCTTATTGTTTTGATTGCTACAATTATATTGGAGACTCAAGTACTTTTGTACCATTGTGTTACTTCAGACGGCAGAAAAAGCATGGGAAACAGAGAAGGGGATTCGTATGATGGCAGATTTATTACGTGGACGTAAGGGTATGCCCTCCCGTCATGCTGTAGAACTGGGAAAGCGTGTTGAATACTTTCGTGGTGATCGGTTGGCTACATTTTTACTGGCAAGTTCAATGGCAAAGAAATATTTTCCAGAGCTTAAGACCAAGGAAGATGTGAACTCTGTTGGTCATGCACTGGTTGAACACAGTTTTATTCATCGCTCGGAGCGTGATGCGAAGAACAAGAAGCTATTGAAGCCAACGTCTGTACAGGATTTTGCTCCTGATGGCTACTACACGTGGATGTATGAAGGATCCAAGACTCTTAGAAACATTATGACGGCATTGTTGATTATTGGATTTCTCACGATCACATGCTTCCCGATTTGGCCACAATGGGCTAAGGTAGCATTGTGGTACGTATCGGTCACTTTTCTGATCTTCACTGCTATCTTTGTAGTGATACGCCTTTTCATCTTTTTCATTCTCTGGATGATTGGTTACGAGTACTGGCTGCTACCCAACATCTTTGATGACAATCTCTCGGTCGCAGACTCGTTTGTACCGCTCTACTCGCTGCGCTCGACGGACCCATCCGAGCGTATTTACCGTATCCTTGGCCTTGTTGCTTTCACATGCTTTTCTGTATGGGTGATGAATCAGCCCACGGACTTTGATGAGTACATGGAGTTGACAAAGCAGTTTACTGATGACATTTACAGTGGCAAGCTTTTGAGCGATATGTCACAGAAAGATCAGGATAACATTGACGGCGTGAAGGTGCCGGATCTTGAGGATCTCCTCAAGGACGACGAAGACGAGGATGAAGATGCCAAGTTTGCGAAGATCTTAGACGAGGACGAGAAAGAGAATTTGAAATTTTCGGAAGCGACAGAGGACGACAAGCAAGAAGTGGTAGACCGGGATTTGTAGACGAGAGGGAGTCGACAGACTAGCTGAATGACGGGCATAAAGAAAATAAATTCCAATTTAGTACGTGATTGTTTTGCAAGCGAAATAGAGTTAGCCGCAATGTCTTGCCGCGTCCCGCACAAAACAGTACTTTAAGTCCATGACTTGCATGTTCTTCCGAGCATCGTGCGATACTTTTTACTTCCACGGAGTCAAACAGACCTCATCGTAGACGACACCATTGCAATTTAAAACGAACTGCACCTTCATGGACTCCTCGGTCGAGTCGATGCGAAGGTGGCCCCATTTACCCACGTGACTCACGCTCCATTCGCCTAAGTTGTTCGAAAAACCTTGCTCCTCCAAGTTCGCGCCTGCGGATCCAATCACAATGTGGACGGGCCCATTGCCATCTTCCGTACACTTCCCGTTGCGCACTGCACAGCTGCGTTCGTACGAGTGCTGGTGACCCACCATCATTAGGTTGACCTTGTACTCCCAAAGCAGGTCCTCAACCTCAGCACGAAAGTGTTCAGATAACTTGTAGTCAGCGTCGTCGCCGATCTGTGTTGAGTACATCATCCGGTGAGCCGTGAGAACGATCCACGGTGTCTCACTCCGATTCACACTCTTCAGATCATTCTCCAACCATTTGTACTGTTTCGATCCACGGCGCCAGTCGTGCTCCGATGAAATCTGGATGACGTGAATCCCACCGTAATCGAAAGAGTACCAATAGATGCCATTGCCAGTGGCAGGAGCAGACCAACGGTAGAACATCGGCACTGAACATTCGCCTGACGAGTCCTCGCCGTAATTACCCCACTCTGGCTGAAAGTCCATCTCCCCGTCCGCTCTCGTAGCTCCACTGGGATCGTTAGCGCCACCCGTCATATAATCATATTCATGGTTGCCGATACTAATCATGTACGGAACTCTTGTAGCGTACGGCTCAATGATGTGGAAAAATTTGTCCCAAATGTATGCATGACCCCGAGCATAGCTAATGTCACCAAAGTGCAAGAGGAAGCTGTCATAACCGTTCATTACATTTTGAAACGCACGCACGGCCGTTGAGATCGCCGCAGGCGCAAATTCAACGCCCATGTCGGCGTAAGCAATAAACTTGGCGGATTTTACAGATTTATCCGGGCGACTCATAAACGAGTAGACCGAGCTCCAGCCGTCTTTTTCGCTACCAAATTTGTAAAAGTATCTTGTTCCCAGTGTCAGTCCTTTCAAAATGACCGTATGCATATTGCCCGGGTCACGGAACCATTGCTGACTAATCAGATTCGCTGGTTCACCGCACATATTAGCAGCAGAATAGGTCTTCGACGTGCCCTCGGCACGTTGATTCAACGTAGTATAGTCAAGACCGTATTTGACTACAGGCGTCTCCTGTGATGCTGAATTAAACATCACCGACATTTCATCAGCATTCTCTGTCAGAGCAATATGTCCATGTTTAGGAGCAGTAAGTGCTTCAACCATTCCAACTTGTACATTAGCAAGAGGTATAAAGACGTTTCCTTTAGGCTGGAGACTGAAATACTCGACAACGTAGTTGCAGCGCATCATATAGAGCGATGGGAAACGTACAGACGTCGGAAGGTTCCGAACATCTGCTCCTGGTCCATTGGCGTCTGTGATACCGATTTTCATTAGAAAATCATTGGCATGAGCCTTTGGACCACAGCTGAGACCCAAAAAGTCCTCGTGATGCGGATTCTTTACACCATTCCAGGTAATTACGAGATCCTCACCGTCCGTTAAAAGCGGTGGCATTGCCGTTAACGTGATATTCATATCCTCAGTAGATTTAATAATATCAAGTAATACACGACGATCATCCTCATTATATCTCGGGTCCCAGACGCCATTTTCATAGCGGAAAATCGGGTGAGGATTGGCACTCAGAGCGTCGACATGTTGCGACGAGTCTACATTGGTTTCAGGTGTATCTGCCTGCACGGTAGTAGACACAAGAGCGGATACTAGCACGACGGTATGCAAGGGGGTGATCATCGTGTAAAGATATGTAGAATGATTTTTCTGCGTCCAATTTTTGTGGTTGTTTCCAATACCGGTCTATTTACCTTGCTATTTATACTCCGGTATGGAGAAAATAACTCCGAATTTGTCCGACCGGTTCGTCCAAAAATAAAGCAAACGTACAAATAATAACATCATGGGCATGAATTTCTGGCACTCAACGCACTAGTACGTGGATTCGTGTGAAGGAATTGAAGGAGTATTTGAATGTCAGATTGACTCTAGTGTCGATACTATTGATCCTCATGGTATAGTTTGTACTGGATGAAAGATGTGACAAAGGCCGAGTTGCGTAAAAAGAACCCGCTGGACCGCAAACACTTGACGGACGATGAGATTGACAGCATCCATCTTGCCAACATTTCACGTGAGTATCGAGATTGCTGTATATCTCAAACGTCAGTGACGGATGATTGATGTTGAATCGCTAATAGTCTGTAATCTTATGATACATGCTAGTGCTTGAGGAGATTGGGCCACGATTGAGGGTTCGCCAGATTATTATTTATACGGCCATCATCTTCTATCGTCGTTTCTATCAGACGTAAGGTGTTTCTTTGTGCTACTCTTGCCTGGTATAAGAGAAGTGTCTGACGATCAAATCGTGCGCGTACGAGATTACAGCCAGAGTTTTGTGAACTTTGATCCCCATTTGATTGTCGGAACGGTGTTCTTTCTTGCTTCTAAGGTCGAAGAGAGTCAGCTCTCATTGACAACAGTCGCGTCTGTTCTTCATCATTATACCACAAGTATGGCAAGCTAGCTGCAATAATAAGTTTGGATGTCATAGCACATACCAACGGGGTATTGTTTGGGCTGTTGATTTGCACTTTTGTAGCTGGTGTGGATGAAGATGAGTCCATGTACACGTTCCAAGACAAGGACATTCTTGAGTGTGAGTTTTACGTGATTGAAGCGCTGCAGTTCGATTTGATCTTGCACCATCCGTTTCCATCTCTTCTCCAGTACGTCAACTATAGTTTTGAATGTGCTCCATTTGTTGTTGATAACGAGCTGGAGGTTCTTTCTTTCTCGTTTTGCAGGATGCTGGACGAGTTTGAAATTCATGAAGAATGCCTTCAGCTTGCATGGTAACACTGTGCCTTTCGTAGCTACACACTATCATTTACTATATTGTGTTACTGGAAACTAATGCATTGTACTTGTGGGTGATATTGATAGGCAATTAGTACAATATTCTTATCGGACGGACATCATACTTCTTTATCCACCATTCATGGTAGCGTACGCGGCCGCCTACATTTCTTGTCGAGATGCAGGCTATGACGCTGAACAGGTGTTTGCTAGTGTCAACATTAAGAAAGAAATGCTACTAAAGGTCGTTGTAGAATTCCAAGAGGCTGTCGAGGATGAAAAGAAGCTGTATATAGTGCAAGCGACAGCCATAGAGCGTCTGGAAGAGATTATTCCAGATGCAACTGCTGCTGAGTCCGATGTGACTCCCAGTGTATCAGCGGAGAAATAAACTTGTAAGCACTCAACCTTGGCCACATGTGCTGTCGACGTCTTGATCTGGGCAACATGATGTACTCAAATATGAAAATGGTACATAAGCAACTCTTTTTCTGCTCAGGTTGTTCATTCTCGATACTTTACCTGACCATTTCGTGTCCAAATTGGTTTTGTCAAGTCAATTAAGAAGCTGTTCTTGTATGTATCCTAGTTGCAGCTACCGGTATTGGAACAGAATATACTGAGAGCTGCCCACGGTATTACATGTAACATACAAATGCTAGCGTTTGCTACAACCTGTTTAACAGCATTACATACCCCTAAATGAATGTTGAAGTAGCACAAACAGCTTGTCCATCATTGTTTGCAGCGATTTGATTCGCTTTGCAGAGCAAGCTTGGTTGTGTGTTGCTTGGACGTGTGTTCAGCAAACATTGTCTGCTATGCTGAGCACAAAGTACGACCTGCTGCTGTCCATCCCCCCAACGTGCAACGTTGCTGTTGGATCTAGTCAAACTGATATCGTAGACGATGGGGAAACGTATCGCCTGAAACTTGAACCATGTCGTCACTTCCGCGTGTCTGCATACAACACTTTTTGCACGATTGCTTTGATACGGCAGATGGCAAAAACAGTTGCCAAAGTAAATATCTTGCGTGCAACACCGTTAGAATAAGCTTGCCATCTCAAGCAAGGCTGTCATTAACATTGTCTGCACCTGAAATTGATGGCTATCGGCTGCGCAAAAAGAATTCTCAGAGCCCCTTTACTGTCACCGATTGGCCGAACGTAAGTGCAACTTTGCATATACACGTAGTATGACCTAAGATAGTACATTGTTGTGTCTTCGTCGACTCAATCGATCCCACAGATCGCACCTGTGCCTCAAAGCTTTGCGGTATAAAAACTTTTGTAAAAAAAGGTTATTCTTTGCCGCTCAGGCTCAAACGAAAGCTCAAGGTCAGCCTAACAATCAAGAATAAAGCTAGTCACTTTCAGTGAAAGTTTCTTGCTTTCGACCAGATCTGTCTGTAGCAAATAGTGAAAGCATTCGACTGAACCAGGTTGATAAACACTGAACTCAAATAAAGGTCATTATTCTCTGAGGCCATATCGGTATTTCCAGGGTTGGTCAAAGGAGATGGGTATGCAGAAGATAGCAAACGTTTCTGAACGCATACTGATTCTTATTGACAGTATATCATTGACTACAGTTGATCTACTCTACATAATCAATCAGATATGACATAAACGTGACAAAAAACATGCAAAGAATTAATTTATACAAGTATTGTAAGAGAACTTCCCTGATCCGTCTTTATTTGCAGACAGCGCAAACGGACCGTTCATTTCGTGCCTGTTTCAACAAATTCAAAACTGTCCTTCACCTGCTGAGATTTAACCGTTGTAATTTCTGTCTCCATTTCTCTATTTGCACACAGACAGACAGATACATCCCGACACATTTTCTCTCGTGATTCTCAGCCTTTTTAGCCAATAGAATAAACAAAAGTAATTGAGACGAGTCATGGTCATGCAATGTGTCTTGACGACAACACCACCGCGTGTGCTACATACTACCATCGCACATGTTTCGAAACCGTCGGCCACTGGCGCGCACACGCACACACAATTCCTCGTGCGTGTATCAGACGAGCGGTCACCTGATTTTAACTGGATTGTCTATCGACGCTACTCGGAGTTTCGTAATTTTAAGCTTGCATTGGGAGAAGCTATCAAGACTCGAGATATGTGTGCACACTGTGCCATCATGTCCAAGCGCACGTGCTTTGTGCTTTTCCCTCATCGCCGATTTTTTGGTAATCTGCGTGAGAAGACGCTGGAAGAACGGCGTGTTGGACTCAACGCCTTTCTGGATGTTGTTGCAAAGCATGCGCGTACGTGTCGAGAGAGTATGACGTGTCAAACTCGACCATTGATGGACAAGTTTCTCATGGTGAATGACATGCGTTATACGTACTTGAGCGTTGATATGAATGAGGCAGACGGAGATCGAAGCAGTAATGCTTTGGGGAAGAAGAGTATATCAATGAGTGGCTTGACACGACGTTCATCATCAATGGTGAGCCGTATCGATCGACATAGCAATTATTCGGACTATCGTGACGATATTGTGCGCAGTTGCACCGAGGAGTGGACGCATACGAGCGACAAAGTAGAGACTGATCCAAAGGCAGATCAGTCTCAGATACTGAATGCTTCTACGACAAAAGACACGAATCAGATGCACAGGCAGCAACAGAGTGCTAATGGATTGGTGGTAAAGCCTAATCGAATGTCCAATCTTCTGTCGTACTCAAACGACCGACGTTCACGCACGAAGTCATGGAATGAAAATACGAAGTCGTGCAACGAAAAGACGCAGCCGTCGGCAGCGCGTCAGAGTCTCACCAGTGAGCGGGAGATTCCTGCATACAAGCAACAGCCGAACACGTCCACGTCCCGTCATTCGGACCCTGGACTTGCTCGCAATGAGCTGCTGAACTTTACGCGCGGCAGCTTTTCAGGTGGTGGACGTCCCCTTCGTGTTGAAGGCCGACCACGCTCGCGCAAAGTGCACTTGTCATCAGCAGCTAAGCGTGTCAAGAAGCTAGAGGAGGCTGAAGCGCGCTTTTCTGTGCAAGCACAGATCAGAAAGCCCAAGTGTCTTCCAAGACTCGCACCAATTTCCGAGGAGATCTAGCTGTATATAGGGTCTCCCCCGTCCCCGTCAAGCTCTGCCGGTATGAAGGCGGTGCTTGCCATGTACAGTTTTTTTTATCTATCGCAACATAATTTAGAAACAAAGATCTTACACTGTCGCAGCACTCGTTATCTCTGTGCGCACTCCAGAGTGTCATCATGAGATTCTACATCCAACACATCATCTTCATATTGTACAAAATGATGTGTCAGCTATTTTAGCAGGAAACGCCCAACGCGATCGTACATGTCTTCCTATCATATGCAAGCATAACGGAAACATATGACGTACGGTACTTCAATGCTCTAACTGGTAAGACCACATACATGCACAAGAACAAGAGGACGGTTTAACAACTACAGTGTAAGAACATTGCATTGACACAACAGCACTTGAAGTTGTTATCATAGTTGTCACGCATGAGCATTACACACCGCGTCACAACGGCTGTTGCTTGTCGCTTATCCAGTGATTACACGCACACCACCAAGAGCAGCGATTGTGTGAGCGAAGTTGTAGTTGGGCTGCTTGATGAACATGTGGTTCTTGGGTTGCTTATATTTGCGGGACACCCACTCGACCATGGCGGGTCCAAACGGGCCCTCAACGCTGAGAAAGTTGAGCTTGATTTTAAGGTATACGTGATCAAACATGGACACCGTCTCCTTGAAGCCTTCAGGCACGTTCGTTCCACGGGGATGACAGTGCACGATGAACAGCGTGTGCGTTTGTTCATTAGTGCGCACGTACAGGATAGCCTTGTTGATGATGTTAAGGTTCGGGGTTTTACAGAAGAAGAAAACGGCAGGCTCGTTGATTTCGCGAATGAACCGGGCGATTGTCTGACCACCGCGGGCACCCGTGCGTAGCGAGTGCGTTTCATTCTCATCGTTACTGCGTTGAGATGGGCACAATTGACGCATGCAGTAAAGACACATTCGCAACAGAAAGGTGCGCTCAAACATGATGTACACAAGTGAGAGCACTGTGATAAAGTACAGTAAGAAGTACGTGAGAATTGTCGGATCGCCCAGCAAGTTTCCCATGAATGTTGTCACCACCATTGATACTCCTAGGATGCAGCTCCACCAAGGCGCAATCACCGTTCGCGGAATCTCAGCGCGTTTAAACTTAAGCAGCATGCAGCCAATGCCGAACAACGTCATGAGACCCAAAAAGGCGTACGTGTACACACCTGACAGTGTTTCTGTGTCTCCATGCAAGATCAGTACCAGACTTGTAGCCACCAGGAAATACCCAACGATAATGTAGTGGTTTGTGCCTCGCGCCTTGTTCACATGAAGCAAGAAATCCGGTACCACACGATCACTAGCCAGTCGACGGACAAGGCCGACAATACCTACGTATGCCGTCAGCACAGCTCCCGATAATACAACGAATGCATCGAGTGCAACCACTAACTGCATGTTCTCGCCCGCAACCTTTAGTCCCATTTCAGCTAAAACGGTGTTTTTCCTGTCCACAATGCCACCAGGTCCATCGAGAGGAAGCACACCTAGTGACAGAAAAGAGATCATTGGGTTGAAGATAGTTACGCCCCACCACATGTTCTAGACAACGATTGAAGCAGGCAGACACAAATAAAAGCAAGTTACAGAGAGTGGCCGTCAAGTTTATGTAAGCCAAAACACGTACCCGTAGGGTCTTTGGAAAAACGCCATCAGCTTGCTCCTCGACAAACTGTGATGACGTTTCAAAGCCGGATATACCAAGCATAGCAGTCGACGTGCCGAAGAAGATTGCAGTCAGAAAGTTCCCGGAGATAATGTCACCCGCGAGATTGATGTCTGAGAATTCCGTACCAAAATTTCCCCATAGCGTCTGAAAGTCGTCCTTCACGACATACACCATAGATAGGACGCAGAGCACCGTCAATGTCGTGGCATGGATGATAAAAATGACAAGTGCCACGACTGCACTTTCCGTGATGCCAATTAAACTTAGCAACGCAAAAATGAAGAGGAGCCCGATGGTAGCGGGTACAATTTGCAATGATGGCACGTGTGATGCCAAGTAGTTACAAGCCGATGTACCGGAGACGACACCCGTGGCAATGTACGATAAGATTGCAAGCGATGCTGCCATAGCAGCCACGCGCTTGGACGTGGTGTTAAGCAGGACATTATATGAGCCTCCATTGAGTGGTATTGCATTTAGGACCTCTCCATAAATAAACCGGTATAGATATAATATCCCTGCTACAACTGCAAGAGCTATCGGTGCCAGCTTGCCGGCTTTGGATGCTACGAGTCCCGACACATACAAGCAGCTAGACAAGATATCGTTTCCACAAATAGCAGTAGCCAGCCATTCTGAAAGCTTTGGATGATGTATCGATAATTGTGCTTGAATCTCATTTAGTTCACTGTCACTTGCTACCGTTGAGGTAATATCTCCCCATCCAGGAAACTCCCAGCCTTTAAGTGCATTGGTACTCTTGTTTACACGAAGCATTAATGGACTAAGTGGTGGTGTTTTAGTATTAATGACCTGTCGCACGTAACTTGGAATAGCGCCATAGGTAGAAGAAGACTGTTCATTGTCTGCCATTATTATTTGGTGTAAGTGGGTGACGTAGGATAGCGGTGCTTTAGTTAGTAAGACTGCAACAAGTGATCGATTGTCTTGGCTTTAAAAGATTTTAAGCTGAGTTAGATACCGGTACAAGTGTTTAGGTAACCATGATGAGTACCGGTAAGAGCTTAAATACAATCACATAAGATACCGGGGCTACAAACCGGCTCGCCGATACCGACGTTCCAGAGATGGACGTTGCATGGTTTGCATTATTCAGCTTACTTACTCAACGCTATTGTTGGTGGCAACTATGGTAAGAGATGGTAGCAACACTGACTTATAGATCACTTAGCTGCTTTGCGTTCTTGCGCAAAATTTCTTCATCTGCGCCAGAAAACTTGATAAGCATGGTAGAAAACATAGTCAGATAAATAGTTTTGCACCAAATCATCAGTACGAAACTTGTATGTATACCGACAGCGACTGCTGGAATTTGCCATTCTTGAAGTAAAAGAACGTCGGCATCGACTTTATGTAAACACAGCGAGGACGATATATAATCGTCGTCAGTTAACGCACTCAAGTCACAAACAATGAGCCACTTACACGCACTCCAGCCTTGGAAGCGGTGTCATTCAATTCATCAACGTCCAATTTGGCAAACTCAATATCTTCGTGCTTGGTACTGCATTGAAAACCGTTAACAGCATCTCGTCAGGTACTTGTGTCACTATCAACATTCAGTTCCCTCCAGAGTCGTCTCCTACCTCAATTCGTCATAAATCGGACTAATCATCTTACAAGGTGGACACCATTTAGCCATAAAGTACACGATCGTCTTTTGCCCCGTTCCCTCCTACAAAAACACGCAACGACCGCAATATCATGTCACGTGCGACTTTTCGTAGCCCGCAAATATCAACAACAACAGAAAAGACGTACAGTGGTAATCTGCGAGTACGCGTCATCCGACCTAATGAGTTTCACACGGCTCTGCTTGCTCAGAGACAAGAAGCGGCTGTTGTGGAGTCTCCATAGACTTGCTCGGGATGTCAGTACCTTTCGCATCATTGTTTTCGTAGTTAAGTCGAATGTCGCTATGATAAAATACCGCCAGGGATACCGGTTCATCCTGTGCGTCATCGTTGGATGTGCGTCATTCGAATCAAATGTATCATAAATTCCAGGAGAGAGAAATTCCTGAGGCGAGTCGCGATGTCCGCATGGCTACACAGGCAGAACGCCGTGCCGAGCTACAGAAACTATCGAGTGGTGAAGAAGAGTGGACGCTCTATCGCACATTGTGTCAGTTTCGGTTGGGCTACTTCTCGTTCCTCGTGCTCATGTGCATCCTCATGTTCAGCGTCACGTTTTTAATGGAGATCTTCTTCGCCATCTTTTTGCCCAGTGCACGTATGGACCCTTACTTTACTGTACGATCCATTGTACTGCTATCGATCTTTCCATTTGCGCTGATTTTTCTATCCTACTGCTTCGAGGAGTCTAGTCGGTTGTTCCTGGATGCCATTGACACGAGAGAAGGTAGTTTGGCCAATTTTCGTCTCTCGCTTTGTGTCTGCATCCATTACTTGCGTCATTGGCGTGAAATGCCAGATGATCGATTCGAGAGAGAAAGGTTTGACGCGTTTAGACGACATGATGAAGACCATGAAGCATGGGTACGCTTTGTGAGCTGGATCACCGCTGGGCCGAGGTATTTGCTAAGTACCATCCACACCAACGATCCGTTTGACGACACAAACAAAAAATCCGAGGATGAAACGAGATACGAACTAGAGTTGTTGTTTCAACGACAGCAAAGTGAGGAATTAAGCCACGAGCACAGTGCCTGCGTCCCGCGTCACAGTAGCAGCAGCAGCGATCAGGAATCTCCGTCGATCCGGTGGAAACGTGCATTTCAGGCTGCAAGCACGACTGTCAAGTTCAACACTACACACTTCGATGGACCACCGTTGGACTTCTCTACACTCGTTCTTACGGACGTACTTTGTCCCTTTGTATTCGAGCTAATCACATTGTGGACATTCATGGTCTCGCTAGTCACAAACATGTCGCCATTGGCAGCATTCTTGGATTATATCGAGTGTGGGTTCTACATGCAAGCTCTTTACCTGGGTCTCTGGATGATCTGTCACTTTTGCAGTGCTCGCAACCGCAAGATGAGAGAGTTTGTGAGTAACTATCGACGTCGGTACCGTGATATGCAACGAGAGCTACTGGAGATGGAGAATGAAAAGCGTGCCGAACATCTTTGGCTTGTTAGCATTGGTTTTCGTGCGGTCGAGCAATTCCAAACCAGCTTTTTCACACTGGTGGAAACTATCTTTGAGCTTGGTACACATGTCCGCGCGAGATGTTACCCTGGGGCATCAGTAGCGGAAGATGAGATGACAGTAACCAATGAAGAAAACCAGCCACTACAAGCTGGTGAGCTCATGCAATATACGCAAGTAGAACCAAACACGGAAACGCTTGCTGAAGGCACTTGCGATCCTGTTGAGGACGCTAACGAAACCCAGGAGGCTTTGGAAGGTAAACAACACTTACACTTAATTGGTGAGCGCCTGCATGACTTAAACCTTTGGTCAAAGTTTTCGTACAACCGCCGACTGCGGATTTTGTGCCCAATTGTCATCTTGAGTGCCATTATCTCATTCTATGCCTTCTATGCCGGCTGGGGTATCATGGGTATTTGTCTCATTTTGCTTGGCGACACAATCCAGGCCAAGTTTCCCCAGGTAGTTGACACCTTTTTCAGGTTTGTTAAGGTTTGTGCGCTCACTAGTACTTGTTTCTCGTCATTTGCGCAGGTTTTCGGCCTAACATTCAAGTCTTTTATCACGATTTTCGTCACTCTATCATTTGTATTTTTCTCGTCTACATGGGCAGTTGGAACCTTCGTTCATGGTGGAGATTTCTTTGTGTTTCCGCCAACAGTAGAGTCTCGTTCTGCTTCAACTCCGTTCGCTATGAAGCCAACAACAACGATGCCGATGCACTGGATGCACTTGAAGAAAGTTGCCGAGTATCCTGTGTGCGCACTAGACATGGAGTCATTAGATATCGTGGATTTTGCACTGATTGCTGACTCTATCTACGGTTGGACTACAGCCGTTCAAATAAAGTCGTTTACCCAACGTTTTAACGGCACTGAACTTGGCGACTGGAAGTATATCTCACGAAACAACGAAGCAGCGGGCCATCAAGTGTGGGCTGAGCTCTATTTCCCTACAATCAACATGACTGTCATAGCCGTTCGAGGAACAGCTACGGCAACTGACGCCCTTGAGGACCTTCACTACTGGTTTGGCGTAAGTATCATGCAAGCTGCCAATATTTTTATTCCATTCCTGAAACAGCTTCCCAGTCAATTTGTCGTCGAAATGCTTTCAATGAATTTTCTGCGAGCTTTCATACCTCCTCCAGTGTACTCGGAACTTCTAGATCATGTACATGTTGTCCGGAAACGTGTTGGTGATCGTCTTGTCCTAACTGGCCACAGTCTTGGTGGTGCAATGGCAGCAATGGTTGGTGCCAAGACTCACACACCTGCCGTATCGTTCTCTGGGCCTGGATTACTGTACTCACGTGGTCGATTCGGCGTTGATGATGAATCTATCCGTGACTATGTCTTGACTATTAAACCACGACGCGATATCGTTCCTCAGATAGACGAATTAAGCGGTATGGTACAGGAAATTGAATGTCGCCGTGACAATCCACTTGCTTGTCATAGCACTGTTACTCATATGTGTGAGTTGTATATCGCGTGTGGTGACAAGCGTAAACGTGATTGGTCGAAAGCATCGCAGTGTACGGAGTATTTTTTTCACAAATGAAAAATGATTACTACGTCTTGCATCACTTTGTTGTGAAGTACATGAAGTAACAATAATCTCATGGAGTAATTTTATTCAAATAAGTTGCATTTTGTTTAAAATAAATTGCATGTATTGCGAAATTTCATGAAAAATACTGATTTGGTCACAAGAAGAAACGATGAATCGCCGCAGTGCAGGCGAGGAAGCTAGGACAGAGATAGTAGTGACGTCGCTACCACCGACAACAGAGACAGCACCTGTGTATCGCATTCAATTACATCCACGACCACGTCCACATGTGACGTTTGAAGATAGTGTAGTGGACAATGAACATCTTGGACGTAAACGTTCGAACAGTACGTCATCTCGTATCAAACTATTTTCTCTTGTTTGTTTTCGAGCTCACTGCGTTATATTTTACATACAGAATGCTGTATTTTTCACAAGAAGCGAGAGTTTGGAGAAAGTTCGAGTGAAAGTGACGAGGATTCAGATAATTCAGATTGTGACGGTGAACAGTATCACCAACATGACTGTAAGCATACAGCTTCACATCGTCGCACAAGGTCGAAAAAGCCGTCTCCATCTTTGGATGAGGAGAAGACATCAACGCCGCCTCAGTAGAGATGAACGCGGTCAGGAAGATTGTACTGCATATAATTGTAGTGTTGATACATACTGCAAAGACAACAAACGACAAGGCACAAAAACAACGGGAGCACTTATATATTCTGGGCAAAAGCTTTGTAACCTCCATGCTATTATAATCACGATGCACACACACATTTCAATGTAAAAAGACTATGTGCACGAGTCCCATTTATTTCTACTCCTGTTACTACCACGCTGCAATGATTTACTGGGATATCCCTCTCTCAACTCTCCACTTTCATCTCCTGTGCGACCTCATCTTTTGCTGGTGCCTCTACTTTCTCCTCATTTTCTGGTGCCGTCTCAGACTCCTGTATCAACCCAAATTCAACCTTCATCAGTTCTGGTAAAGAGACAAGCATTTGAATTTTATTCTCTCACCTGATGTTGGTCGACTATCAGCATGCAGTCGATGATTGCCCGCGAGTTTAGCAGCGAGTTGTCCCATAAATTAAGTAAATGGAGCAAGAAGTTGTGGCGCAGACCGTGCTCCAAGAGCCTGTAAACGCAAGAAAAAAGCAGAGGTCAACAGATCGCTCCTAAATTGCAATAACGTACACTGCCAAACCATTTTCCGTGGTTTCTGGCGAACATGCGGCACGAAGACGCGACCATAAAGTCTGCCAAAATCCTGCTCGCAGCAACCATGTCGCAATAAACGTGAGAAACAACACTTTTGCTTCAAGCATGAAGTTGCGCAACAAACGTACTTGAACTCCTTCACGTGACGGTTCCACATCTTCATAAATTCCTTCTCTTCCAACGAGACGTCTTCAAACTCATCCAGTAACTACATCATACACATACAATGTTAATGGCGCTTAGTCATAAGTGTATGACAACAAACTACTCGTCAGCAATAAATGCCTTTTTGCCCCCAGTCTGGTGACGTACCCGTTCACTTTGTTTCGTGATCCATGTCTCATCCACATCTTCGTCACTATCATAATCCTTTTCGTAATCCAAAACCACAGCTCCTGTTCGGGAGTGGAAGTATTGACGCTGAAGAAGAGGCGCATAAAAGTCTTGCGGGTGCTCTTGTGAGAGTTCATCCATATCATCAAACTCTTGCATCAGACCTTCAACAGCCTCGACTGCTTGCGAGCCATGCGGACCGTATTTTTTCCCAGACATGTGGACAAAATGATGCTCAAAGCGATTTGACTCTTCAGTCGGTGACATCTCAAGCTCAGAGAAAGCAGACCGATAACCAGAGCTATTTTTCCCAGAATGGTGTTCTTGCATAACCATCACGTAAATATGCGGGATGTTGTCATGTCCAACCTGCGTTAAGAAAGATTATACAGTTAGTTCATTCAGCTCTGCAGCAGAAAGAACAAACGGGTAGCAACTCACTGTAGCCTGAAAGCGAAAACGATCGTGAGACGACACCAAATGGGCCACAAGACCTCGCAACGATCCAGCAAACATGTTGCACCACGCGCATGAGTACTCCGAGCGCTTCTCGCTCATTCTGCGTAGCATGGAATGGTAGAGGAAGTGAAACCACACCTGGATGACAACGAACCCAAAAGTTAGGCATACTACGTCAGCAAAGCCCTACATTCAACATATTTTACGTCAAGAGCAAACATACCCCGGCACACGGTTTCCGAGCAGTCGTCGTGATGTTCCGTTTGGGAGCTGCCAATAAGAAACGCTTTTCAGCTTGCTCAGTTTGCTTGCTATCGTGCTCCTTCTTAAGCTTCCCATCACAAATTTTTTCCTAGACGTTGCATCCTTTTCTTTGTCGGCAAAGGATCCCACGAGATTCGAAATTCACACTTGACGCCTGCAATTTATTCAATGAACATGTCGCATCAGTATCATCAAATTCACACAACTTGTTGCTCATAATACTCACCACCATGCACGGAGGACGAGGTTGCTGGCAGTTCAACGGTCACGTATCCCACACGAGGTCTTGACGCATTAAGCCTCAACAGGTTTCCGAACAAAGGTTTGCGGTCATTAGCACACGTAGCTAGCAGATCCTTTCCAGCAACAATAGTCACCACAGAGGACGTTTCAAAAGTATATGACGTTTGCTGATCAATCGTCTCGCCAACATCACTAATCTCCACGACTTGAAAGACCATCACGTTGATACCAGCGCTCTGGTTCAAAAACTCCTTCGGCAAGGACACAGTCTTTGAAAAAGGCACTGGAATCAAGCACGTGGCTATACACTTGAACTGATTATCATTAAATCTCGTTCCATTTGCTTCATACAATGAGATGAAGACACCAGGCCGTTGTTTCTTGCTCTTGAAAGCTTCCATCGTATCAGACGTCATGCCAATCTTAAACTCCATCATGGTTCCACCTATTTGTATGTTATGTATCTGTTGTTTCTGCTTGTAATGTTCTTCAATTGCCTCCTTCTTCTTATCCTTCAATTGCCACGCCGGGTCTAAACGATAACTCAAAGTCCGTGGCAGGAACAATGGACTTTGTAGATGCTGTACCTCCAAGAGCTTATACAGCGCTGTAAGTCCATGATACGTAGCAGCAAATTCTTCCTCCATATGTTCCTGACGTACTTTTGTATGCTGTTCCTTTGTCATGGGCACTTTACGCTCGTGACTCTCATCACGCTTACGCTTGGCATTATTTCCTAGTTCGGACATGAGGCTTTAGAAATGCAGGGGCAACCACCCTTGATAACCTTTGGAATAGCATACTGAGTAGTACCGATAGTATTCGATACAATAGGATCTTCCATCCACCATCTGATTCCATACGTCCTACGGATCTTTTGCGAAAGAGCGAGCGAGCGAGCGAATGACGGTCTCAAGTAGTAGTACTAGCGATACAGTAGCTCACAGTAGCACCATTGAACTGTCGGCGTCTCTCGTACCTACACTCTCTACTCCAGTCGACTCGAATGGAGCGTCGTTGCTACGTTCATTCGCGGTGATTCTCTGCCGTGAATGCCAATTCCTAGAGTTTCCAGGTTGTGATGTCCACGGTTCTCTCTATACAGATCAATTATCTGATACCGATGGTAAATTACATGCTAAATGTCCACGATGTTCAGCAGCTACAAATACTGCTCGACCCTTTCGAGATGGTTGTCGACGATGCAAAGCGCCGACGAATGTAGCCATGTGGGTTTGTTCACGTGAAGAAATTCAGCAGGCAATGGAAGCGTTTCCTGTTATGACTGAAATTATTGAGCATACAATTATCAGCTGTGAATATTGTCATAGTGTTATATTCCCACGAGCGAGAGAAGTGATGACTGTACGCACAGCAGTGGAACCATTAGCAGCAGCTAGTGGAAAACCATTGAAAGTGGCAAACTTTCAGCTTAGTATGCCACATGTCGATGGATGTCTACGAAAAGGAATGCCGTTGCAACCAGTTGCTGTGCAATTGCCAAAGAGTGAGCTGAATTTTGTAGTTGACAGGATTCAAAGCTGTCCATTGGCACCAAAACTTACAGGCAAACCGCAGTATCGATCAAGGAGAGTCGAGATTGTTACACAGCAGAACCATCTGCATCAGGTGAGACTGAAGATGAACTGCGTGAGATAGAAATATTGGGTGATGAGAGATATTGATGAAGGATTGGCAATATTGATTACCTATTTGCAGGTTGCTATTCGAATCTTGCTGACAATAATTGGCGCTTTTGACCCAAATTCAGCTGCTGCAGTCGAGCCTCTCCGACAGGTTCATTTATATATTGTAAAAACAACTCAAGTCTTGCTCTGTTGACGTATGTTATGGTATTGTCTAATTAGGTTGTTACAATACTGAAAAAGGTCGAGCCTCTTGTTTTGTTTTCCGAGTGGTCACCTCTTCGTCAACTTTCACACGAGAAAGTATTCCCAAAAGAAGTTATTTCGAGTTCCGTGTTTGATGAGCAGCATACAGCCTCCAAGTTTGTCGAATTTGCATTTGATTTTTGCTTCTGAGGGACATGACAAAACTGACTGTTGCTGGCAATTGCTTGTTCTTGCAGCATACTCGAAAATGACTCGAATTTTTGGAGATCGGCTACCAAGACAGATGAAAACATTCTACGATCAGATGAATGGATTGTGTGTCAGTTTAGCTCCGCAGTCACGGTTTCGTCCATTGAGCTGAAGTGGCACGCAGATTTTCTACCGGAGCAGTTTTCTCTTGGCATTTCTCGAGATGGCATGTCTTACGACACGGTGGCAATTGTGGTGGCAAGCACCACTGATAGTCGCATACTCGTACCAAAGGTTTCTTACTAGTAGAAGCTGCTTTTCATGATGAGGCTTCCGCTAATTATTTGCTGTTTGATTTGCAATCATAGGGAGCGCTGGTAACGTCCATTAAAATAACAATGATTTCGTCTGATGTGAGTGGTAAGTCACGAAGCTGCATCATGTGGTATTATTGTCACTGCTGACGCGCATATGATCATCGTGGCAGGGAAATCATTCGGACTTACTTTGATCACATGCAAAGAAGCGTCATTTAGCTCGGTGCACACTTCAACAGGCTTGGTGCTACGAAATATTCAGCATTGGCTACACGATGCAGCTGTTTCTTCTTTGCCTGAAGTCCGAGATCTTGCGCTACAAGCACTGCAAAGACTGTTAGTTGCATCAGGTTCACTTTGTGGCCTTCTGCAGCTAGCGACATGCCTCGTGATCAATACTCGCGTAGAATCCAGCCCTGTGTCTGCTGATGTAAACAGTCACAGTTGGAATCAGTTTGATTTGCTTTCGGAAGACGGACAGTCTTCTGCGCAACTTTTTGTGCAGGATCTGGCGGCATCAATCCAGCGTATTGTTCTTGGAGGTCGTCCGCAAGTTGACCTTCAAGACAAGCGCGTCATTGAGCAGTTGTTCTTGCTGCATGAAGAAATACGTGCTGCAGAAAGGAATTCGACAAACATGGTGAGGTTCCACTAATTGTGATGTCTGCCGTCATGATGCTAAAATTCGCATGGAGCAGGATACGTCCTGTAGCACTGACTCGTCAGCTTCCTTGTTCACCCTTATGACTGGTCGACAAGACGTTATGGAATCAATCAAGCGCAGATCGCAGGTACTTTATGGCTACAGAACTTTGTCAAAATCAGCACGTGCTAACAAACCGTATCTTTGTGTAGTTGGGATTGATTATTCTGCACATTATAAGCGCGCTATCAGCGTGGCAAATGAAACGAATGCAGAAGGCTGAAGAATTTATTGGGAAACGAGAGCTTGAGCTTATGCAGCTCGAAGAGCCTTTTTCGATAGAAATTTGTCCTGAGTTTTTTGCCATTTCACACCGATTATTGATCAGTGTACTAGACCGTTGGCTTTCAGATCCTTGCCAGCAGCAACAGGATACAACTGACACATATTTTAAAAACGGAGACGATGATGTTTCAGTGGGTGGGATTCAGGGTAGAAAGGATAGCAGTCGCGAAAGCTTTCGAGATCTGTATGATGCTTTGACTTCGTCGTTTGAGCATTACCGAGCGGACGTTGAGAAGCAAGGGGGGACAAAGCGGTACTGATTTATCTCCAGGACAATTTAAAGCAGGATATGCAGGCCACTCGATGTTTTCACCTGACGGTCTGTGTGTCGCTGTACTCGAAATTGTTACGTCACATCTCCGGCGTTTGGTTCTTTCCAGAATCGATCCGATTGAAATTGGAATAACACCAGCTCATGTTCAAAGCGAAAATGACATATTGTCAGCGCCTCCAGCGTTGAATCCTACTGTGTCTTTGTTAGAACAGCTGATCTCTCTTGGAACTAAACGTAGTGATGCATTCTTTCCGGTGTCACTGAAAGCTGCTGCTGCCATGGAGGTCGGGACCGAAGCGTTTTACCCGTCAGCTCACCAACGTACCAAAGTGCTAGCATCGCGTATGGGGAAGGGTGCAACACTAGAAGTACAAGTGCGCTGGCCTGTACAAGAGCGTGACCAAGAAGACCCGCGCTACGAGAGGCTCATCGTAATGATTCAACTTGAATGTATTAAGCTGGGTATTCGACATGCCATTCGAGGCACCTGGTGCTTTTTCATACATTTAGTAGTAGAGGTGCCTTCAGTTCGCAATACGGAGGAAGTACTCACGCAGCACTTTGCTCCATGCATTCAACGTGCGGGTTTTTCATCTTGGCAAGTGGCTGCAGGCGCACAGGAGCTTTCAATCAATCTACAACGACATCTTGATTGGAACCGTGTGGAAAAGATGTCACAGGACTCAGGATCAGGCTGGATTCGCGTGTACCCTGCGGACGTTGCCTCGTATGACGAAGTACTCGCTAATATCGAGGAATTTCTTGCAGAACATGCGACGAATGGATAACAATGGCGCGCTCATAGCACATTGGACAAGAGATATAATAGACAGCGACACAGCTACATTTTATTTAGTCTTGGTTACTTGAGCTAGGTTCCGCGAGCAATGAGCGTAACTACTGCCTTATCAGTAAGCGAGTAGGCGAAAAGCGATGTAGAAACTTTGCCGACAACCTTGGGGGTAAATGTCACCATCACCTCAATAAACTTCTTAGACTCGATGGTCGTTGAGGAGAACGAACACGAGAAAGGATCCTGCAAGTTCTGTAAGAAGACTGTCATTGGTGCCTTCGATCGATTGCACACATAGACTGGTACTTCATGCGACTCTCCAACATTGCAACATCCAAATTCGACTGCCCTGGCATGGAAATACAGGTCTCGTCGCTTACCGCGCTTCGTATAGTAAAATGAATCCGTCTGTGAGGAGAGCTGGTGCCGAGATCGTGCGATCTCACCAAAAGTAGGAAGCATTTGGATCACTCGCCGATCGACCACAACACTTACTTCATGCAAGTACCTTTTGCCAACTCGAACTGTAAGCGTACTCAACCAATCCTCTGCTCTGGAAGACGAGTTGGTACTGCCGATTTCTCCGCATCGGTGCTGGCCCACTGGTCGCGACATTGGCAGCACCGACACGCTAATCTCTGACGCTGGCTGGATCATTGCAAATGCTGGGCTCACGCTAAGATTTTCAGGCGCACAAATTTTGAACGGCAACGACTCAGTTGTGTTATTTACCAAACAAAGCTTGGCCTTCCGGAACAGTTTTTCACCATTTGTGCTCCGGATACAGTCAAAACGAATAGATGAGGGGGTGACTACCACTTGGCCAGCTGATAACCTGGTTTGCAGTTTCTGGCCACGCTCGTTGACCGCATCTGTTTCGCTGCGCTGGTGTCCTCTTTTTGAGCTAGTTGAAGCCTCTGATTCCGAATGTCGCTTGACGCTTGCTTCAATCACCACCTCATGCAGATTAAACAATGACTCAATGTCCACCCCTCTGAACTGAAAAATACCGGATACAGCGCCTACGTAACGCGCGTCGAAGGTGACATGAAAGGCACTCGAGGTATTGGGTCCTAGCTCCAACACCGCAGGTGACACGCTAAACTGTTGACATCCAGTGCTAAGAGGAAGAAGAGATACACAAATTCTTCCAACTGATTCTGTTCTATTCGTAAAGACAATTTGCTCCGTCATTACTTCGCCAACGGAACACAGAAACCTTCGGCATCGACGTGCAATCTAAGTACACAAACATCGCAATCGAATCAAAAAAATGTAAATGAACTTGATCGTTAGTGGAAAGGCATTACCGTAGCAGTGTCTGTCGTCGCCTGAAATTCGTATGGTCCAAATGCAAAACATAAGCACACAATGAGAAGTCAGAAGATGTACAAAAGTAAGCTTATCGACTGCAACAAGTAACTCATGTCACAGCGTACCACACCAAGTTTGCCGGATGCCACTGATAGTTGTTTTGGTACAGCGGTTGTGCTCGACTTGAGATCAGTGTGCTTTTGCTGTTGATCGTCTTCATGTTCTTTTCTCGTTGCACCACGTGATTGGTGGCCATTTTCCCTATAGCAAAAGCGTACGCTGTTTGGATCGACATCGTCCGATTGCGACGTTTCAAAATGACTTTGTGCTGTTTCACATTTCGCTCGTGCCTCGCTATATGGATTTCGTTTTTTCGAAGCATCAATGTCTTCGACAGAAGAACTAGAAGCGCCACCATGGCTGCCTTTGCGACCGACACGATCAGAGTGTGACAGACTCGTTTCGTCACAGATCGGATTCTGGATAGTGGTCTTATCCTGTACTTGATCTAGAGCGGCCGATGCAGTCCGTGATTTCGGGTCATCCCTCGTCTTTGAAGTTTCGCCGCTTAACGGCTTATCTGAAGACTCATTTGCTTCGACAAAGTTATTCTGCACCTTGTCTGCGTGTCGTCTATGAGCTTCATCCTTCAAGGAGCCAAGGTTATTAAACGTTCGTGAATGTAGTGCTCCTGAATAAGACTTGTGAAAACCTGTGGATTGCTGGCTCTGAGAAGCGGTGTTGGATGGGCATGAAACCTCGCGAATAGTGTCGAGTTCCGAAATCTCTTGAGACCTGCTTCTTCTCACACCGTTTCTAGTCTGTCCACTAGGCTCAATTCCACTAGAAGAGGATCCAAGATCCCGGCTTCGACGACGTGCGTCGTCGTCAATCTGAGAAACAGAGGTGTCTTCTCCCCAACTATCTGTTGTTCTCGAAAGCGGTAGCATGGATTCCAGTGGAAGTTCGTAGTCTCGGACGAAATCGCGCATGTAGTCAGACAACTCCACGCCGAGTGGATGCTTTGTCGGTGGTGAAGACGCGGATTGAATAGAGTTGTCGACAACGGCATCAACTTCATGCACCGCCTTTTTAATAACCCCAGGCCCACGCTGCAACGTGGCCACATGATCCATAGATGGATCGTCTAGAATCTCTTGATCAGAAAATGACTGAGCCTTTCTCGTCATCATCTCTGCCTCACCGGAATAGTCTGCTACGGTGTGATCAGGTCTCTTCGTGTTGTGTCTTTCGCTGTCGCGCTGCAATCGACTTTTTTCCTGAAAAGAAGCAAAATATGTTAGCATACGTATAGAAAGTCGATATGAGCGTACTTTCGCGAACCTGCAAATATCTTAACGAGTTCGGTGTGTATATTAGCCTTGAATTGTCAAAGTGAACTTCATATCCTGACGAATACGCTGTGCCCGATCCAGAAAGTCCCAAATTACAATCAAAACGATCGTGAATCGCTACGCCTTGTTCCGTATCAGTAGGTGACCACCTTTGCTCGGACTTGCACACGGTAGATTTATCAGCCGCGGCATCATTGTCTTGAAACTGCAGAACAAAGGATTACACAATCAGCATCAGAGTCAGCATCAACAACAACGAGACAAAACACCACACTCTTTTCATTATCCACACCATTGGATCATCGATACGTCTAGGCGATGAGAGCTCTACATGGTCCAGATTACGCGACTTCCGCTCAAAAAAGTCACTTGGCCGACCAGTGGCATTCATGTATTCCCAATTCTCTTCGACATCTTCAGAAAAGCTGTCGTCTCCACCCAATTCGTTTTTCTTCAGGAACGCAGCTATCCCACATATCCCAAGACACCACACACACAACACAACACAACACAACACCTCAGCATCAAAGATGAACTCTCTCGGTCCTACTTCATTGATCATGTCCACGCACCAGCATCTACAAACTCAATATCCATCATCATATCCTGCTTCTTCTCCTGCTTCTTTTCACTGATTTCTGAGGTCGGAAACACGTTAATGGGCACCAGATTAAAGCTATCGTCGTCTTCGTGTTGAGGACTCTCCACCGTCGCGTCACGTTCAATGACCGAGATACGACTTGCTTTAGCATTTGCATTATTTATACGGTACTTCTCCTTCTTCGTCTTATGTAGATGCTGCTGTTGATGGCCTTGTGTCTCCTCTTCTTCTTCCCATCGCTCCATATACGACGTCATTATTATTATTCTTATTTGCTTAAGTCAGTCACAGCGTGGGTTAATACTAATAAGAATTTGGATCGAAATTGAAAGAGACTACGGTACTATTTGTGTATTGATGTGCTGTAATTGGCTATTTATGATGATTTACACGAGTTCATGTCTTGTGTGGTGATTGGCTGAATATAACTAGCATCATTTCGACCAACAATAGTGGAATGTGCACAAGTCACAGATTCCGGTGGTGGATGGACGACGGACGACCTGTAAGCGATCGATCGATCATTTAGAGCACTTGGCACGAGCAGTAGCAGCTCATGGCGTCTGAGCTTGTATCAGTTAATGCAACAAGGACAGCAGCATCTGTACCTGTCAAGCTTGTAGAGTCTTCAGCCACACAATTACCAGCTTCTGCCACCAGCGTGCGTCTATGTAATAGCAGCTTCACCTCCCGACACTTTGCAGGTGGCGCTATCGGTGGTATGACTGCTGCACTTATTACGTCGCCATTGGAAGTCGTCAAGACACGACTGCAGATACGAGGTGGCACGTGCGTTCTCGTATTGCTGTTTGATACCGATTCATGCAGAGATTAAGACGCTGATTGATTGTTTGTGTGTATGTGTTGTGCAGCGGATCCTTTGGGACCCAGACGACGTTTGGTGTCATGCGTTCGATTGGGCAATCCGGTGTGTTATGTTCTGCTTTGATACCGAATTGATGATGTGTACTGAATGATTTATGTTCGTGTGATTGATCTTGTAGAGTCGATTTTGGGACTGTGGAGAGGTATCACGCCCACACTGATTGGTGTCATCCCGGCACGCGCGATCTACTTTGGCTCGTACTCGACTTTTAAGGACAAGTTCAAGGCATATGGCCTGAATGGTCGTGTCTTTAACTTTCTGTCGGCTGCGGGGGCTGGATCTATCGCGGCGACGTTGTGTTGTCCGATTTGGGTCGTCAAGACACGTCAGCAGCTCTTACCAGCGCATGCAATGACAACGTCTGTTGCGAGCTCGCGTCGGAACGTCGTGTTGGTAGGCTTTGCAGAATTTGAAACGGCTGTTGCGACGAAAGCCAGACCGCATTTCTCGAGTGTCCGTCAAGTGGCAGTTGATATGTACCGTAAAGAAGGTCCGCGGGCATTTTTCCGGGGACTATCAGCTTCGTACTGGGGAATCTCAGAAAGCGCCATCCAGTTTGCGTTGTACGAGGAATGCAAGGATCGTATTGAAAAGCCGACGAACCTCAAGTATTTCTTAACGGCTGGTGCCTGCAAGCTGCTTGCGTCAATGTGCACTTATCCACACGAGGTGTGTATGTTACAGCCTTTCTTACTGTGTGCGTATGATAGCTCATCACAGCAACTGTTTTTTTTTCTTTTCTGTAGGTTGTCCGAACTCGTATGCGAGATCAACGCGCTCCAATGGATTCAAAGGAGCTGAAGTAAGTGTCAGTGAGTAGCAGCTTTTGGAAGTATGTCAGACTCTATTAATACTGCCGGTGTTTATGTTGCAGATATCGATCAATGATTCAGTCAATCGTTACAATATATAAGGAAGAAGGAAGACGTGGATTATATTCAGGAATGCCAGCGCATCTAATGCGTGTCGTACCAAATGCCGCAATTTTGTTCCTGGTGGTAGAGATTATTGCAAAGAAGAAGGAGTAAGTTGCTACTGTAGATTCTACCTCATTCTACCTAGTAATAGATAGAAGAGAGAAAGTCGTGGAGCTTTATAGTTGAAAAACACAAATTAGTAGCACACGAGCAGTTGAAAATAGTTCATCAGGTATCTCTGTCTGTCACATGTACTTATTTAAGAGCAACATTCATTGTTTCATGTACTGTTGCAAGTTAATTGTTACAATTTATTTTCATTGGTCACTGCTGCTGGCCAGTCATTTCATGGTCAGTCATTTCCTTCCTTCCTAACTACCTCTAGCTTTGTGTAACGTGGTCAGTTTATTCAATATTCTAACCAAGAAATAACTAACCAATTCACTTGAACTATGACATCAGTAGATGCTCAAATCAAGAAACAAGTCGAGTTCTACTTCTCCGATAGTAACTTTCGTCGTGATCGTTTTTTACGTGAAGAGACAAAGAAACACGAAGGTGGATTTGTACCATTTAGTGTCCTCTTTACATTTAAAAAGCTAGCAGCATTAACTGTAGACGGTTCTGTACTACAGACAGCTATTTCTGATTCCAATGTTGTCGAATTGAATGAAGCAAAGAATGCATTACGTCGGAAGAATCCATTACCTGAAAAGGATGATACGTTTGAACGTACGATTGTATTGGCTGGATTAGGTAAAGAACTACCTACGATTGATGAAATTAAACAAGCTCTTGAATCATTAAACACAGAGCTACTCTTTATTGACCGTAAACACTATCGCCGTAAGTTTTGTGGTGTAGTGCATATTGAAGTCAAGGACAAGGATGCAGTACAGCGTGCTGTGGACTCGGCGTCTTCATTGAGTATCAATGGTTGCGTGCCGAATGTAATTTCAATGGTAGAGTACCAAAAATTGTCCGATGAGGATAAGGTGGAGTTTGACAAGGCCACTAACGCCATGTTGGTGGCGAAAGAAGTACCAAATAGACCTATGAGCTTTTTTCTTGACGAGCTACTGCCTGTTTGGAAGGATGACGCTAAACTGCGTGCCCGAGTACGCTACTTTGAAGAATCCCAGGCGCTCTATTTGCTTTTTACGCAGATTTCATTTGCTGAGAAAGTAAAAAAGCTCATAGCAGAAGAAATGCCAGTTGTTGTGGATAAGAAGAAGCTGACGTTTGAGCTCGTGACGGATAAGGAAGCTATTAAAGCTCGTCCTCGCCGGCCAAACACGAAGGATGCGAATGACGCCAACAAAAAGCGTAAACGCGACGATGAGAAGGCGATTCACATCTCGAACATTGGTCCTCGCACACGTATGGACGATATCAAGCAGCTCATTGCTACTGTTATTGACCCGTCGACGCAGTCACCATATGTCGAGTACGATGGTCTGGACGTTGCATCTTTCAAGGTCAGCGTTGCTGATGCAACGTCGCTCTTTGAGAAGCTTTGTGCGCTTGACGGACCGGAGCTAGGAGGCAAAAAAGTTTCGTTTCATCTTTTGGATGCGGGTGAGGAGCTTAAGGTTGATGTTCAGTACGACGAGGGTCTTATTGTGCGCTTTGATGGAATCGATGGAGAGGTTTCGCGTGATGATATTAAGAACTCTATAAACGAAAAACTTGGTGACAAGGCAGTTGACGGTGAGGGTGTTGCATTTATCCAGTACCAGATTAACGACAAGGATGGCTACCTCCGCGTTACCAGCGCTGAACTTGCTAAGGAGGTCGTGGGCATGTTTGCTGATGGTGGGCTTGAAGTGAATGGGGTGAAGATCCCTAATGCTGCTGTCATTGAGGGTGAAGAGGAGAAAAAGTTTTGGGAGGATGCTCGCTCAGCCCGGTACAAGCGTTTCAAGCAATCGCGATCGAACCGTAACCAGTTTCAGCGCGGAGGTCGTGGTGGTCGCGGTGGTCGTGGTGGTCGTGGCGGCCGTCGCCACTAGATGTAGACGCAACTGCTATGCATTTTGACAAATGTCTGAGCACTTCAGTGCTGCAGCTTCTTCAGCCTGGTGCAGCCGATTTTGTTCGCAGAGCGGTGTTGCACAGAGGAACGTGTTTGATGAAGAAGAAACAATTTGAGCCTCTTTAGATGCTTTCAGAACGAGAAAATAAATATATTGTGGGGCTTGCTTTCATCTATAAATGTTCTAGCATTCATTGCGTTAACTTGCATGCGCAAGATATGACGAGCCATCACCGATCTTTACGTTGTTATCAGCACCGGAGCTCAGCTGATGGATCAAAGCCTGGAGCTTTGCTTGTTTCCCGACCTCTTTTGTCTGTTCATGCAGTATCAATAACGACGGAAACCATATCATCTCAGTAACACAAGCACAGCGAAAGCATTTGTAACCGAATGGCCTGTGTAACTTCTTACCAGGTATCGAATCTCTTCTTTATACTTGTGCAAGTGCTCGTCCTTCGTCTCAACTACCAGTCGCTGCTCAGCTGCTTGAATTTCGAGCATTGCCATATCACTTTCAAGTTTGCGGTGTGCATTCCTGAGATCGCCAAGGTCTCGGACAATAGCTCGGTGCTTTTCCCGCTCGACCTCCAGCGCATTCTTGCTAGCAGTAACAGCGTCATCGAGCCATGTCATCTGATAGCAGTTTGGAAATATGGATGAGCATAGCTTATTTCCCACATACGCTATACTACTTACCCTTCGCTCCAGCTGATCAGCAAGCTCATTCTTTTCTTGCAGCTGTGACTGAATGGAGATATTCAATGACTCGAGGGTTGCCAATCTGTCTCGGACAGCATCCACTTCGTTCTCGCATATCTTCTTATCATCAACAAGAGCTTTATGAGCTTTTGCTAGCAACACCAATTCCTTGTACGTATTCTCACTTGAAAGCTTTTGCTCGCGTAACTCATCTTCCAGTCGCTATACACCAACCCAATAACGGTCGTCAAAGTATGAGCTACTATATCTGGATGACAGTGTTGTGCTCGCGCAATGCACTTACCTTCGTTTCATCATGAGCCGCCTCAAGCTCTTCTCGCTGGGCTGTGTAATCTCCAAAAATTGTCGCAATTTCTCCACGTACATCTTCCAACTCCTTGTCTCGAAGCCTAATCTCCTCCATAGCGACCGAATGAGTTCGGGTAATCTCTTCAAGCGCAGTTTCTAAACCTCTCACTTTACGGTCCAGCTCATTATTCTCATCTTCCAAAATTTCACGCTTAATACGGATTTCTTCAAGAAGCGCATCACGGTGCTGTAAGGCACTGATGTTCTTGTTCATATGCGTCCCCATCGTTTCGCATTGCAGTGTCATTTCGCGGATTTTCGCTTCGTACGTGTCACACATTTTCAGCATTGAATCTTCTTTTTGCCTTAACTGCTCGGCAAACTTGACTTGAATGTCTTTAATTGCTTGGTCTTGCTGTGCTTTGAGTTCCACTTGTAAGTGCAGCAATTGCTGCATTTTGTTCTCCAGCTTTTCAACCGTCTTTGTACTGACTTCCGCATTCGCTTGAAGCGAAAACATCCGTGATTGTAAGCTATCGCTTGCATCTCCAGCGCGCTGACTATAGCAAACTATTGCTTCAGCCAACCCGAAAACATGAAACTGTTTGCTCTCGGAACTGGCAAGCAACTTTGTGAGCAGCAAAAGTGTCTCAATAACAATATCTTTGGCGCAACTAAATAGCGCAGCACCCAGAACCAACGCCACTTCAGACGTTTGAAGAAATTGACTCAACGTGCGTTTTCTTTTGTCGGGCATATTATCGTCGGACATTATACTTGAGAAGAGATTCTGTCGCACGTACATGCATCGTTATCACCAAGAAAATCGAAGGTAAGAAACAAAACTGCATATACTTCGAATAATGAGACATATCTTACCACAAGGTGAATTGACAGGTAAGGGTGAAAGCATGTCAAGTCTTGTGGATCAATATTGCCAATCAACGCAGACTCTACTTGTATCAGCGTTGCAATCTAATGTATTCATTAGAAGTTAGAGGTTAGTAGAATACTATGCATTCGGTTACACTCTATATGTCTTCCGACGCACCTGGTTCAAACTGATAGCTGTAGCGCACAATGAGCGTATTGCTGGCAGCTCACTCAATTTGAAAAGTAGATGACACACCTCTACGGCATGAAGATAATCGTCGGAGTTGCTCAGTACCTCATTATCGTCCGCATCTTGCACTAATGAAATCACATCACTTGCGCAGCGCATCATCCCAACGACTATAGGGTTCAGCCGCTCTGGACTTGCCAAAGAGTCGAAAATGACTGAAAGAGAACGGACATCGTTGCTAATCACCTTCAAAATTAGTTGTGCAGTGACAGTGGCAGCAAGTTTGGACGGATGAAGTGTTGCTTGTAGTACACGATACAAGACGTCTTGATCAGATAAGCTTTTGATCAGCTGTTTCAAAAATAGGTGACTGAGGACGATCGAGGATAAGAAATGCGCAGCAACCAGGATCTGCTCTGTATCACCATTCAGATTAATCGTCATGAAACAATTTTCAAGCGTTGGCGCAAACTTCGGGTACTTTTCTAGTAGCTCCAACACTTCTTGGCGGTTAGCAAGGTCACAGAGAAGGTCAACACTGACCAGCTGCAGCAAGGATCGCCGATCAAGGATCGTGGTCGAATCCGACATTCGTTCATCAATATTATCATACTGGGAGCCATCTAGTACAGAAAAGATCAGCGACAATACTTGATCTGCATTCTTTCCACAAAATAGCTTGCTGCCGATGGGCTCAGATAGTACAAGACGCGCTAGAATGGCCATGCTAAACACCAACAGCTCCGGGTCCTCAGTACAGTTGAGCAGAGTTGTCAATGACCGATAAAGCTCCTTGATCTTCTTCATCTCCTTCACGTAAATACGAGCACCTGCGCTGGTCTTGATCAGTTCTGCAAGTACAAGAAGCTGCAGCTTGATCCCTGTATCACTCTCACAGCCATGTTGTAACGCAGACATCGCGACGCTGTCCACGATCCATTGGAGTAGTTTACACAGCGCGTGTGAAGGATATACAATTGTAGCCTTTCTTGCAAATAGATAGCAAAGTTCTAGTAACTGCAGTGAATCATTTCCTAACGCCTCTTGAGTCTGTGTCGGCTGCGAGTATTGAGTTGACGCTTTGTCCACGCTATTAAAATCTTTGGTCATTATTGCCAGCAAATGTTCGGCCAAAGTGTCCAATAGTTGCAAGCAAATCTTCTTGTGGGTTAAAGAGAAAAACTCATTGTGCACAGACATTATCTGTGTCAATTTGTAGAGATCTGAAGCTGTGGCAGTACCTGGAGATGTAAGATAACTGTTGATGGAGTTTGCTAACGTGGATCGATTGGGTCTATTCTTGCTGCATTTCTTTAGATGATATCGATGATTATAAGCGTCAGAGACAGTGGAAACAGCAGCCGAAGTGGAGATTGCATCAGCCTTTAAATCGTTCATGACGTTGCGTTGTGTGTGAATTAAAAGACAAGTTGAATTGAATTGTATTTAACCCAGTTGTTTTTGGGTCTTTTTACTTGAATAATTTGACACGTGATTGAAGTCGTGGCCAATCAGATGCATGAACACGTATTTTCTCCGGTTTGATTACGAAACACCAAACAAGTTCATCAGGTGACAGGATGACTAACTAACTGTGACTGTGACTGTAACTGTAACTGACCCTGTCACTTTTGAATTCTCTTGCTAAACCACAAGTGTGTAAGAACCTCATACTACCTCATATTACCATAATGACGAGTAAAACCACATGGGCCGTCTCTGAGAAAGGCACATTTGTACGTGATGCAAGTAAATTTCGCAATTGGATTGAACCTGCTGCTGATGCGGAATTCCCAGCTGCAATTGACCGTTACCATCTCTACGTGTCACTTGCTTGTCCCTGGGCACATCGGTGCCTTGCTACGCTTTATATAAAGGGACTGGAGAATATTATCGGCCTCTCCGTGGTGCATCCAGTTTTTCAGCGTACACGCCCTAACGATCCAGACGATCAGCATATGAGTTGGGCCTTTGTGGACCCGAAGAAGACCCCGTCGCTGCCTGGTCCGTCAGGTCTTGGACAGTACTCATCGGAGGGAGCTATCCCAGATACCGTGAACAACGCACAGTACGTGCGTGACTTGTACGAGATGTGCTCGGAAGGCAACACCCGCTATACGGTACCTGTATTATGGGACAAGGTCAAGAAGACTATCGTCTCGAACGAATCAGCCGATATTATTCGTATGTTGAACTCGTCGTTTTACGCCATTGTACCGTCTAAGGTGGATTTGTACCCAGCCAAGTTCCGCGAAGATATAAACACGATTAATGAGTGGATTTACAATGATATTAACAACGGCGTGTACAAGTGCGGCTTCTCGTCCTCGCAAGTCGCATACAACGAGGCTGTAGCCAAGCTGTTTGAGAGTCTGGACCGTGTCGAGGAGATCCTGTCGAAGCAACGATTTTTGATGGGAGACGTGTTCACTGAGGCGGACTTGCGGCTGTTCACGACCCTCATTCGCTTTGATGAGGTGTACCACGTGCACTTCAAGACGAACAAAAAGATGATCAAGGAGTTTCCGAACTTACTGAACGTACGTAAACAATTGTTGTCGCTCTTACCTCTGCGTTCTTTGTAGACACCTAACATTGTGGCCTATCATTTGTAGTACACGCGCGAGATTTACCAGTTTCCACCTGTGACCAAGTCGGTTTCGATGCAGCACATTAAACTTCATTACTACGGTTCGCACACTCACCTGAACGCGTTTGGCATTGTTCCGGCTGGTCCGAACGTCGACTATAGCGTGAAGCACAACCGCGACCGTTTCACAAGTGCAACTCTCCCTGAGTGTCCAGTAAGCAGCAACTAATTGATGAGAAGCGCACTTGATGAACTTAATTAAGGCTATGAACACGCACGCGTTTGCATTTTTTTCTTGTTCAGGCGAATTTAAAAGCCTTTCTCATTCAAAGATTACTTATCGCTCGAATAAACAGCAACCACCGAGTCAGTTGCACCCGCAGCTAAGAATAGCCGATGAGGATGGAAGGCTAAACACGAAATGGGACCAATTCGCTCTCCCAGAAAGCCTTCGTGATAGCGGATGAGTGCCAACTGCTCACCGTCGCTGCGAAACACCTTAATAAACTGATTGTGTGAGCCACTACAACAGCACGTACAACGGTTATTATCATGCCAAACGGTTCAACACGTTAGATGCAGCAAAACGTACCTGGCGAATATCGGAGCGTAATCATGAACGGCGAGGGCGGTCATTGGTGATCGGTGAGCTTCCAAAGACTTGACGCTGTTCTTGGGATACCGCATATCCCAAAACTTCAGCTCACCCGTCACAGACCCTGTGAGAAGCTCATTGCGACCGGGGTAAATGTGCGTTTGCACCACCCACGATGTGTGCTCCTTCATTACCAGTTTGACAGCATAATCAGGTCTGCTTCGCAAGTCAAAGATCCTCAATTTGCCATCACCAAAACCAGCCACCACCATACTTGGAACATTTGCATCGCTTGTCATGCTAGTGATGCAAGAATCAGTTTGAGTCGAAAGTGCTACTGTGCATTTTTCCTGGCGCAAATCCCAACCACGCAGAATACTTGAGTTGCCACCAGCATGCATCATACCAGCATTTTGTTGCCAGTTCATCACGAGACCCGACCCACGCGTTCCAGGCACAAGATCGGGTACTGCGACAAAAGCCGACAAAAGCTTTGGGGTGCCTGCAGGTGGATGAGGGCTATGTAAACCGTGATAAATTTTAATCACACCGTCGTCAGAACCGCATGTCAGAAGGCTTTCTTCCGTTTCATTCATCCAGTCCAACGATGTCAGTCGAGACCTGTCCGAGAAACCGGTTGCATAAAATCATAATAACAAAACGTTAGCAATGCAACGTTTAGCACGATACTTGCAATGCAGCACTTACCCAGGCGGGTTTTTGTTGCCAAAACTCAGCACCTTTGTCTCTGTTTCCTCAAAGTTATACAGAGAAATCTGGTCTTTTTCGTCAGCAACAAGAAGCATTGTCTCGTAAGGGTGGAAGAGGAGTAGCGATGTCATTTCCGCGTCGTTATTCAAAACAGCGCGCTGACGGAGGTTCAGCGTAAAATCCTTCACTTCTTTTTCATCACTTTGAGTTGAGGAGACACGGCGCCCGAAGTCATATTCGATGGGGGAGTAAAGTGGAGAGTTGCGCTGGCTAACACCTTGCAGTCCCATAACACCATTCGGGGTAGCAGACGAATTCGTCGAGCTTTGACGCAACGCAAAGCCTGGTGCGAGCTTCATCGCCACAGCTCGAATGCGTTTGTAGCGACGGCGACGCTCCCATCTTTCAGCGCCCTTCTCGCTCAACGGATCCTCATCTTCCTCTACGGGTTCTACAATGGGATCATTAAAATGAGCTTTGTGGCGTTCATAGCACGTTGACAACAGAGCGGGCGGAAAGTTCTCCTGACAACCGTATCGTTCCAGCGCAGGGTGGACATGCAAAGAACTGCCCATATCTCCTTCATCTGGAAGACCGCTGCTCGAAATTCTGTATTCGGCTGCAGTTTGTGACGAGCTCGGTCCGAGATACTGCCTCTGAGTCACATTATTGCCCATACTCATGGGAGCGGCTGGCGGTGTCAGGTGACCATCCCCAATCCCCAACATACCAGATCCTTGCTGGAATTTCTCTTGGTACTGGCGAAAATTACCCACAGATACGGCTGACCGTAGTCCTTTCGTTACAGGTGCGATAGTTTGCATCTGCGTTTCAGGGGTCTTTATCAAATTGCCTAGCTCAGAGTTTGCCGGGGGTTGAACAACATCTTCTAGGGCGGCACTAAGCCGTCCTTGGCTCTGCTGGGATTGTATATAGCCGAATTTAGACACTGGTCGCTCTCGTTGTAATTGAGAAACAGTGCCAGGGCTTCTCTCCGAACACATGGCCGTGACGCCTCCAGGGTTTGCACTTCGCGGTGGGGAAGCTAAGGCGCTTCCAGTTTGACTGCTTTCTCGTAAATGATCTTGCTCAGCCTCCAAAATACTAGCATTCACATAGCTGACAATTGCTTTCACAGCTTCCACCACATTTGGGAACGGATCTCTCGACTGCATCTCCTTTAATACGTGCCAAATCTGAGCATAGTATTTAACGTCCTCGCCAATCTTATCTCGTAGCTTCTCATTCACAAACACATCTGCGTCACTAGTACTCTCTTTCAAATTTGACGCATCATTATCACTTTGCAAAGCCAATCCAGTTGGAGGAGATCCGCCATCTGACTGAGTTACGGGGCCTTGCAGTGTCTGATTCTTAAAATGCTTGGCCACAGATTCAAAACGTGGTTGGTGGTAGTTATGCAGGATGACGTTTGCCAACGCTAGTACACTCTCCCTTCGCACCAGCGGAGATCCATCCTGACAACCCCGTAACAGTTCTAAAGCTACAACAATGTCATCGTGAGCTCGTTGCCGGACGAAATCTTCCAAGCGGTTCAAGTCGACGTGCTTGCCACTTGCCTTGAGATCGCACTGAAAACCTACTAGCGTGCCAAGCGCATAGGCAGCAGAAGCACGCACTTCCGGACGATCATCGCGGAGCTTAGCACCAAGTATTCGCGGAACTTGATCTTCGATCGCAATACGCTTGGCATCGTCAAAGTTTTCCCACAGTTTACCGAGACACAAACACACCCATGTGCGTACTTCTTCCTCAGAATCTTGTAGCAAATTAATGCAGATCTTGTGCAAGTACTGTGACATGCAGCTCTTTTGTCCTGGCAGGTAGTCGTTACAGATCGCCGAGATAATAAAAGCCGCCATGACTTTCTGATCAGCTGGCATCACATTGCCTCCCGCACTAAATGAACTTTGATTTCCTCCACTATTGTGAAGCCCAGCAGCGAGATGAGATATGAAATATGAATGACCATCATCCTTCACTAGATCAACCTGGCAGCTTGAATCAAGAGCTAAGATTTTTGCCCAAATGAAAACAAGCACCTGACGAAGCTCACTTGCTGGAGATTGGAGCAATTTCAGTACGTACGGGAAAATTCCAACAGAAAGTGCCAAGTTTACGGCCCATGGCCCCAAATCGAGAAATTTCTTTAATAGTACGAGTGCACGGAGACGATGGACTTGACTCAAAAGTACTTGTAAAACCATCGGCAATTGCTGAGGCGGTGAGTTCTCTGGAGACCCAAATTGCAGCCACACCTCAAACGCTGTAAGCTGCTCCGCAAAGAAGCGCAAGGGCTGGAAACTCATATCAACGTTTGGGTATGGGTTCGATAATTTGTAAAGCTGGTTTAAACATACCTCAGCAGCCAAGTCCCACGATCGCCACAGTGAATGGTGATTTGTTGGTGGTAATGCTGGAAGTGAACATGGAGAACAACCCTCAGACTTCATAATCCGTTCAGCAAGCAGAAAGTTGCGGAAAAGCGAGGCCACGAGCAAGTCCTGTCGAAATAGCTTTTGAAACAACTCGCGAGGTAACATGTTCCATGCAATCGTATCGGTAATGGCCGTAAATATCCAATTCAATTCTCCTAACGGCGTTTTCCTATCTGTAAGTTTTCCTGGAATACGTTCAATAAAACTAGCATCCAAATGCGCCATCGAGAGTTCGTTCTGCGAGATAAACCACCGCAAAGCGACGGTTATCGGCGTTGTCAAGCAAGAAGTAAACACGTCTGCGCAGAGTTCTGGATTCGTTGGCAATAGTTCGTCAGCAGAGCAAGCAGCAAGCACAATAGCTTCATTTGTTAATGGACTTTCATTTCTCCCATGCGATTGAGCTGGGATCGTAGGCGGCGATGTGAAGTGACTTAGCAAAACTCCTGCCGCTGAGCAATCAAACACGTAGATCGATGGTGTCCCTACCCAAGACTGCAAGTCATACACTAACAGTGGAATATACTGCGTATAGCTTTTATTAAAGACCCAGACTTCTCCATTCTGTGTCGGTCGAGGGACACCATGTCCGTTATAGTGAAACAAGACACGATCATGTTTAGCCAGTCGTCGTCGATTGACACACAATTCTCGTATTTTTTCCACCGTTGGATCTAAACTTTGTTTATATCTTGCACGTGGTTGCCAGCGTTCATACTGAGACTGCAATGTATTACCAATTGTTTCAATCGCTTTCTTCGCTGGCATCGAAAATGGATCGACCCAGCATTCTTTACGTGCACAAGGTGATGATTTTTCTACATCGGGTGGATCTGTTCCAATATTAAGACAAAGTACTAATGCTACGTCCATTGTTTTCATACGTTCACGCATACGCCATGGAACCACAATGTCTACAAATTGTGACTTTGTGGTATGCTTTTCCTTCCATCTTTCAGCATCTTGAGCAAAACGTAATCCACCAGCACGTTCTCTTGGACACTTCTTGTTGTTTACACTAAGAGATTCATACCCGTTCGTATTCGTTGTTATCCGTGACGATGGAAAAGCAGGTATCTGTGACGTTACTGCCATGACCAATTAAAGAACGTCTTTAGTTGATTGTCAAGTAAGTGACGAGATAAAACAGGGTCCTTTTTTATACAAGATACAAGGCTTTCATACATAAAACAAGAGAAATCTCCTACGAACAATGAATTGAACGTACGTACTTAAGTGAAATATACTTGAGTTTTGTAAGTCGTTTGAAAATGCATGAGTTGCAATCGCCCGTTAAAGCGCCAAAGGATCATCAATATGGAGACTATTACGGTATGTGTGTGTGTTCACATAGCAGCATCTAAGCGCTATTTTCCTTCGATTGCGGTCAAGTATCTTACTGTTATGTAACATAATATACAGTACAAGTTTTATGAGATTCAAGATGAAGTAAAGAGGATCAGTTTAAAGGTTCGTATGATGGTTTTTGACATAGTTCGATTAATGTCAACTTTTGACACTCATGTGGACGTTATGAGCAGATTCCTGAGAAGATTCTAGGAGGACAGACTTATCATGCATCGGAAGTACATCAATGGACGACAGACATTTCAACACAGTGTCTGAAAGAGCTTAAAGACGTGGCGAACGGGTCCGCGGGATTCAAATACATTGGTATGGGATGGAGATAATTGCAATGTGTTAAATAGTTTAAGGGCAAAAAGTGTAGTACGTACGCAAATGAATGAATGACCAGTGACGCTGATACATGAACAGTGCACTGTACAATTCTGCAGAAGCGAAATGCCGGCTATCACACCAACTCGTCGTGCTTTTGGGACGCGGAGCGTGACGGTGAGTTTAGATCTAGAGTGGTGTGTGCTTTGCTTGATAATGCCATTTCTCATATCAACATATCCAATTGCTTTTCTTTGAACGTACCAGGTAGCGTATCAATTCGATGGGAAAACGCGACCATGACCAGCGTGCTTACGGTCTACTGCGTCAGTCTCCAGTAGGTTTACCCAATCACGATTGTCGAAATAGTTCAGTGGCATCATTCCGCTGCGTATGTGGATAAGAGTCCTATATTTCCATTGAGAGATTGGACGGAGTATCCACTGACAAGTTTGCAATATCCATAGAGAAGTTCACGTCCATGGACATACTCGTAAAATCCACCATAATTGACTCTGCTTGATGTTTTTCCGGATGACGTCTTTTGGACCCGAGACGGCGACCAAAAATAACAGTGTCGATCACATTTCGACGAAAGCGATCAGCATATGGGATGGGCTTCATGCACGAAATTCCCTTCGCATCGCGACACTGCAGTCGCACGCGCATCCACCGCTCGAGACTCTTTTTGAAAGACCACGGAGTTAAAATGTCTATGATGCCCATGTTCACGACACACGCGTCAGCGCAGAACGTTGCCATATTTTCCCTAGGACGACTAAGACCTTGGAGGGTAGCACCGTTAGGGCTTGACGACTCTAAGTAGACTGCCTCATCAGCACTATTTCCGCTCACAAACAGCTTCCCCTTAATATGTGGACCAACACTCCGTGATAGTACTGTGCCACCGCCGCTGGAAGCAGAAAAAGACTTATGGCGGCTCAAACCTATCACTAAACTGTAGTCCATCGAATTCATGCGCTGCAAGAACTCTGTATCGGCGTACAACTGACTACCAAGTTGCTCGGCTAGGTCAGTAGGAAGTCCAAGTCGTCGACACGACCAATTCAAATCTTTTCCTACAACAAACTCCGCGTGACCAAATCCAGCATTTGGGTTATGAGAGCACACCTCCTCGGACATACCTACAACAAAATCACGACCACAGAATTTGCATACACGCTGTGTACCGCTAGGAGAATCGCCGCGGTGCCGACCAACCCATGCACCCTTAAGATCGTACAGCTCGTCAATATTTACGCTCGGATTGTTCAATATGTTGGTCAGCACGATGAACAGAACCGAGTGGTGCTCCATTACCAGCTCGTGGCAACCCACGTAGCGACATAGATAGCTGTTCGGGTTGCGGCGCAAATGTGCCATGTACTGGGGTAGAATGTATAAAAGATACTTCTGCTCAGCTGGCGTGCATGTCTTCAGTATAAAAATCTGGTCACCTGTATAGTAGAGGAACGAACCACTCTTTCCTTCGCTAAATCGCTCGCGCGTGCTACCCTTGAACGATTGAATATAGCTCTCGCGAGTGATCCCGGACATTCGTCGGATTTCATGAAAGACCTCTGGCTCATAATCGCGAAAAAGAGCTTTCTGGCCGGACAAAGCGCCATCTAGCTCAAATGAGAGCACGTCCGGCACCTGTGATATAGTTCCAAGTCGCAGCTGCCACGGAAAAATACCCGAGCGTTGTGTAAAAGAGAAGATGGACTCAACGTTTGGGCTAGTGCTATCGTTCTCCGGAATACCCTTGGCGCTACTCGCGCCGAGCTGAATACCCTTTGTGGCAAAGTACAAGATTTCCCGACGCAGTACCCACGAAGCGTCATACACCTTGAAATAGTCATCCCAGTTCCGCTGACGCCATAGCTTGAAAGTCTTGAGGACACTCATCGATTTCGTCCAGAGTATCGCACTACCAGTACCCAAAAACGCAATCGACACACGTCCTATGAACCGCAAGGCTTTCTCTTCAGCTGAGTTGTTTGCGACTACATGACGGTGCCGCAAGATGTACGGGATTGTCACAACCATCCACAGAGAAAAACTCCAGAACAAGAAACTTCGCATTGAATCCAAATTCGTGCGGGTTGTAGTACTACTTCCCATTGTGAGCCGTACGCGTTTAGTAGCTAAGATATACCAGCCAATACTAACACAATACCCTGCGGAGATCGGAATGAAAAAGATTTCCAGCAGGATAAACTCGCCATCGTCCACGGCGCCGTCGTAATCAGAGGCGTACCAGCAGAAACCATAAGAGCTGACTCGTTCCGTGCCTATTTGCGAAGCCATAATCGTAACAGCAATACTAATAGTCCATACGGCAATATGATAGATCGGGTTTAGCCACCTCGACGACCGAAACGGGTACTTGGTAGTAAAGTAAAAGTTGAATGCAAGTGCAAAGAAATAGAGCTCGTGCGAGAGGAGTGCTAGCTGAACAATTGGAGCTGTGGCGCAGCAAGCTCCATAGGTTGCAGGAGTCCGGGCTAGCACGGTGCCATGGAAAAGTATACCCATGAGTGCCACCCACACAAGCAGCGACGAGTGTTGCTTGCGCACGGGTGGAAACAACAGGTATGTGGTGAGAATGAAGGCAAATCCTAGCAAGGAAAGTGCATTGACGATCGTGTAGATGGCTATGACACCAGGAAACTCGGTCTCAAGCAGCATATAACCATCACGATCGCTATCATTTGTGCTTGTGCTGGCACTGGCCAGCAGCCGGCGTCCAAACAGATTAATGCCTTCTTCTGTGGTCTTGACACGTGAGTAATCCGATGAGTTATAGCCTGGTTCAGGAATACACACGGCCATTAGTCGTCGTCTCTCGTGCTTTTTCTAATCGTGTCTCGATGTCGGGCGAGTCGCTCGACTCGAGCGTCCAAGTGAAAAAAAATGCTCTTGTATTGTAAAAGCTGATGTATGTGGCTTGACTGTACTATAAAGAGACGGTCAAAAGTAAGATATTTAAATTGTAGAACGGCCAGGAAGGCATTTTAGCCAATAAGATGTATACAAACACATTACCTAATGTGTTAAAGACCTCCACGTAATAACTTGATGAGTGTTATGAACCATTTCAATTTGTTTACGCTATAAAAAATGTACAGTCGCTGATCATTCCTTCATCGTACCTCACTGTATAATCGGTCCATAGAGTCGTCCAAACGTTCTTCTTGGAGTTCTTTGAATCGGCTCAAGTGCGACAGCTCAGTTGTCTACCGGACGGTGTAGTATCCGGCAGCTGCGTTCCATATAAACTCTAGCGGAGCCGAATGAACCGATATGGAGACGAGACTTTGCACTGCCATCTTAGCAAATAGGTGCTTGCTATAACACAGTGACAAGCTATTGACGGCGACACCAGCGCAGCTGACAGCAGTGGGTGGATGGTATCGTGGTATCCTAGCACGTTATACAGGATATGATGACAAATGACTCAAACAATTAAGGGTGATGAACTCGAAAGGGAACACTATTCGAAGTCAGATGAGCTATCAGGAGCTATGAGCTGGTAGTGCGTAGTGAACATAAGTCTACGGCTTACATAAACTTTACCACCAGATTTTTCTTTAGGCTTTTCAAGTAAATAATTGAATCGATTTGAATCTACAGAAAGACATTCAGCATGTGCTTAAACCGTTAAACATAATGTACAGAGAAAGCTAAGCGTAGACGGTCATCTTGCCTAGAATCAGCGAAGTATATTGATTGTCGCAATATATATATATATATGTGGACAACATTGCTGGAACCAAAACCGAAACGCAGATCCGATATGCGTAGCAAAAGCGCAGCAAGTTCATTCCTCTATTAAGCAAAGACAATCTCTTGGACCTTGGTCTGCTGCCACCATGATAATTAGTATACCGACCGCACGAAAAGCATACACAATCGAGGTCTATCTTATTGCAACATTTCAGCAAGGTGGAAACGCATATGATCTGCTGTCGTCATTCATCGTAGATAAATAACTCGTGCACGAAGTACACCATTACCATCTAAAGATTTTCCATTTCAAGTAACTGTTTTTTCTAATACGCTGATTGTAGTACCGCTGCTTCAAAGGAAATGCAACGTAGAAAATCACCTACCGTAGACGATTGAGGTGCGGCCAAGAACCGCAATTTTAACCTTCGCCATTGCCGAAATAACAAAAATAAGCCTAAGGTAATTTGCCGTTCTTGCTACCCAAAGCGTGTCGAGTAAGAATCAACCCATCAACGCGTTCGCTTTGGCGATGGTGCTTCGCCACGTTGTGCTTCCGTAAGCAAAAGAATTCGCACCATGCTTCAGCTCGTACGCCGGTAGCGCCACATTGCTCATTGTCTTTCTCACCATTCTGTTGGAACTGGACACAGCTATCTGCTTTACAACAGAAGCCGCGATAGTAACACCGCTCGTAGTTTCACGCTCGTCGCCTCTGGTGACATTCTCACGAAGTCGTTGCCCGCCATAGGGATGTAAGATTACAAGGAATGTTCAGCTTGAAGGTGATTCAGGCTGATGTTGAGGAGGAGTGTTAGAAGACATTGTATCTGACAGGTCATGAAGGCTCGGAGTGAAGGCTACAGGTAAAGGGCAACCTCACCTGAGTGGCTAACATGTTGACAGGTAGGACCAAGGCATGCGGACGTCATATGGGACCAGGGACACATGGTGATAGGCACGCTGAATGTGTGCCAGGTGAATCTTGAATAGGTCAAGTTGCAGTGCTGGTCACCAAACTACATATGGTAGGGTTGACAACGAAGGGTAGTGAACACTCAATATATCCTACTTTTACTTCCTACTTCTACTGTACAAGCGCAACTACGTCTAACAAAAACATCAAGCGCCGCATGCGCCCCATCGATACGATGGTTAGCAAAAAAAGCTATATACGTGTTTGGCGAATCCTTTCCGTCGGTTGCCATGGATGTTCGGCGATCGTAACGTGCCGGTGGCCGTCAACTACTGAGAGGACGTAGTTGCCGCCATGTTAGTGACTTGACGAAGGAATCAATAGCTGTTACCTTTCGCACACAGGACCCTACGGATCTACTGTTCCTGGACCTGCATGTGGATGAGGAAGCTGCGTCTGATCTTGTGGACGAGGAAGACAATCTTGATATAGCGGGCGTCAGTACTGGCACCGCGATCCAGAATGACCGGGAGTTTGTGGACGAGAACGAATAGAAAGGTACGCACCTTCGCGGACGTGCTTGAGGCGGCACCTTTGGTGGCACCGTCGGCAGAATCATGCTCTCTGACTTCACGAATCTTGGTATCGCAGTTCCTCCACGTGAGTAATGGCAGATAAACTTAAACGGATGTCCACATGCTTCGAGCTAAAGGTGCTCTTCTCCGCTTCTAGTTGCTTGATCGCCGCTTGATTATCCACCCACATAGGCATCGGCTCGCACCCTCGAAGCTTCAGTTGGATCAGCAGCTCTCTCGCGCCCAATAATTCACGACAGCTTGAGAGGCGGATATGAACTGATGCTTAATGACACCCCTGACTGTTTCTTGCATGACCAAAATACAACAGCGCCACCCGTAGTAAGCACACACCCAGACACCGACTTACGGGTGGCATTGTCAGCAGCAAAACCTGTGTTGCTCCAACATTAAGTCTTAATCTCATTCGTAGTCGGCCCGACGCCATTGAGGTGCAGCTTCAAACTCTTGGACCTCTTCAAATATTGGGCGATACGTTTCGCTGTATTCTAGTCCTTGACGGTTGGTTTGTGCGTTTGGCGCATAGCCTTTTTGCACCGCAAGGCAAATGTCGGGGCGGGTGCACCTCCCAATCCAGAGTGATCTCCCGACCAATGACTGAAAAGAGTCCAAACTTGGTTCACCACTTGCAACGCTCGCAGGAAAGAATTCCGAGTTCTCCATGTCATCCTCGTTGCATTCATTACTGATTGGCGTCCTTACACCATTCGCGTACTCCAACTTGAAGTCCCTTTTAAGGATGTCAGTTATCACTTCTTGGTCCAACACATATCCATGGGTGTCATCCAACGATACCCGGAGTCCCAAAAAAATCTTCACGAATCCCAGGTCTTTAAGCGATAGCGTCTTCAATTCAGCGAAGAAAGCATCGACTGCACCTTGCTTCGTACCAGTGACCAAAAGGCCCTCCACGTGCACTCCTACCACGGTCCCAAGTGTCACCTTCCTGCTTGTAGTACAAGAACACATCCGTTGTGCCATGATTGAAACCCTCCTCGCTTAGCTTCGAATGTAGAAGCTTGCTCCAAAGTTGTCTAGCTTGTTTTAGGCCGTAGAGCAATTTCTTCAAAAGTAGTGCAATTTCCCCGGAAGACTTCACACCAACACTTTCGGCTTCTCTCAGTCACTTGCATACCCTTTGGTATTTTCATATGTATACATATATATATCCAGGTGCTCTTCCTTTTCTGCTTTCACGTAAGCATTCGGCACGTCACCTTGGCGTGCCGCCACGTTCCATCTTTTGGAGAGCACCAAAATTAACTGTACGGTCTCCAGATCAATCACTGCCGCAAACGTCAGATTGTAGTCGACACCAAAACTTGTTCGTTTCCGCACACAAACGACCGAGCCTTGTAACGCTCGATGTAATCGATTTCATCCGTCTTGGTCTTGTAGGCCCACTTTCTGTGCAACACGTGTGCGCCGTTGGCGGCACGACCATCTGCCACGCATCGTCCGACTTCAAGGAATCCAGCTCTTCAATCATGGCCACCAGCCATTTGTCACGATGCTTGCATTTTTCATTGCTTCGCCGTAATGTCTTGAATCTTGCCCAATGACAAGATTCACGACGTCACAGTTTTCCGCCGAGGTGCCGCCGTGGTCCTTTCGGCTAACTCAAGATCGTCGACCTTGAATCATGACGCTCTCTGGTCCAAGTAGTCGTTCAACCCTTGCGGACCTTCTTCGCACGCCTTGCACCACCTTGATGCACTTCGTCATTAGCTTGATGATTAAGACGTGGCTCGTCCTGACGGTGTACTGTATTTGGGTAAGTTTTCCTTTCATTCTGGTTATCCTGTGATGCTTCAACGTTTTGAATGTGTTGAGTTACCACGACCACCTTATCCACTGGGGTGTACACCTTGTATCTCTTCGTTTCGCTGTCTCGCTCGCCCCATGATGATGCATACCTTCCCTCTCTCCCCAAGTGACGTGTTGTTCAGGTCTCTATGCGCAGTTCATGTTGACCCAAGAAACACGATGTCCTTCAATACGGGAGCCTTGTTTGTCAAAGCCTACATGTGAGATACACTTCCAGAACTGGGCTTGGTCTTGCTTCGGTTTAGAAGATACGAGGCATATTCTGGAGAATCACCTCAAAAAGACAGCGGCAGGTTGAATGCAAATATCATACTCCGCACCATGTTTATGATGATTTGGTGCATCCTTCCAGCATTGCCATTGCTCGCTTGGTTTCTCGCTTCACCCACTTGACGCGAAATGCCTACCACTGAGCAAAATAGGTTGAGCGTCTTGTATTCACCACCACCGTCGGTACGTAAGATGTGAATCTTGCAGTTGAATTCACGCTCAAAGTTTGCCATGGAGAGCTTGAACTTCAATGCGGCTGCATCTTTGGACTTGGCCAAAAACACTCGACAGTAGCTTGATCGATGATCGATAAAGTTAACCGTGTATCGATTTCCCAAACGGTCTCGGGCGGTCATGAGACCTTTGAGGTCCGAACAGATGACACCTTTAATCACGTGGATTGGCAGTTTTTGCCCGTGTCTCTCTGACTGAACCTCCTTTGTCTGCTTTCCCTTTGCACAGTCCAGAAACTTTTGACGTGTCGTATCAGTCAGTTG